ACCCTGTGACAGGACTGCCGCTATGCATAGCCAACACCTGTCCCATCGAGTCCCTCATGCCGGGACCTTGCCGCTTTCGGAGCTGTCCCTGACAGTCACCCATGTACAATAATTGCATCCTTCATTATTGTGAGGTCTCAGTGGGTTTGCTCAGCACACAAGGCCATAAGTGATATGATGGTGTGTATATTACGGTGTGTGTAAGTGGTGTAGGAGAAATAACGGTCACCCTATGAAAACTCATTATAGAAATATGCCAGATAAATTACAAAAAACCCCATATGACAAGTAGATATGAGGAAATAGAAGAACCTGAATTTTAACGAATTATTACGACTACATATGATAAATTGGAAGAAAGAAAATTAATAAAAATACTTCAAGCTTAGTATCAACAAGATGGAATGCTCAGGAGAATTTATAGCGAATATTAAACAAGGAACTAGGTCAATTGAGCAAGATTTGACTATAAAATCAACCAGAGAACCTCCACAGAAACTACTTTCCCATGCCTGCACATGTAGCTGAGGTTGGAAGTACCACAGAACAAGGATTCCTTAGGAACCAATGCAAAATTTAAAGTTGTGTTTATAATAGGGAATGTAGATGTCTCCCAAACGGACCCGATGAAAGTAATTTCAGGGAAAACTACCCATAGACGATGGAGATATGACCGAAATTCACAGGAAACAAGGACAACGTTCAAAAGGAAGGGGGAAGAACAACCAGTAACAACTGGGACGAGCTTGATGGCCCATTAGAAAGGAAGGGATCTATTCTTAATCCACGCAAATTTTCATAATAAAAGGTTCATGCATCAATGAGATATTCATTAATGGGATGAGTGACATTAAAGTCATGGCCCAGGGAAAAGTCGACGTTCACGCAAAATCCATATTTAAAACACATAACGAAATTTACATGGAAAATATGATAAATTAGAAACTACCGCTATGCAAAGTTTCGGCCCAAACGGTCCAGCCGTTGTGAAGTCACACCAACGATGGGAATATAGAATTCCGCACTATGCTTAAAGACATGTGAGGGTGGCGATGCAAAGGGAACCAGCCATCGGAACCGAGATCCACACTTTGGCAGATTGCGAAGACCAATTTCTGTCCAAATAAGGAAGACCCTGGTCAAAACAAAGCACAGAAAGTACAAAAACACCTTAGATCATGAGGGAAAAATCTGAAATAAATCATGGAAGCCCATATTGAGGATACAAACACCTGTGCTGTAGGTGGGATAATTGCCCACATGCAGAGCCGGCTCAGATATCCATTCTTATGGCTAAGAAACCACTTCCATTCACGTGATGACTTGGTATGGATTTGGTACCTAAAAATAGTGCTAATTTGTACGGTTCTAACAATACCAAGAACGTCCCAATGTCAGGGCACACACCCTGACTAGCCTGACTGTCAGAGTCTGGATTGCTGTCAGAGACTGGATTATTGTCGGAGTCGGAGATTGTGGCAGAGGTCTGTTGGAGCGTGTGCGTGGATATGCGGGCGGAAATATGCGGCGCGTCCGGAAGCGCTGTTCAAGGTTAGCAGAGTGGGATCGCGGCCTCAGCGACTCAGGTGGAGCACTGTGCCCTGAGCTTGACGTTTGGGGGAGATCCCGTATTTATGGATTGACACTCACAGCGGACTTCAAACAAGACTTGCAGGTGGAGCGGACCTGTAGGAGGAGCACGGACTCTGCGAGCACGGACTCAGAGGGGGGGAAGCCCCCTTTGCAGAAGGAGAGACTCAGACCAGACAGGGGGGGTACTCTAGTTGATTTCAGACTGAGGTCCCCAAAAGTATTTACAAGGTGTATAAATAGGCAAGAGGGAATATAGAAAGGCTGGTCAGTCCGGCGCAGTCCGGTGCGGAGATAAGCGGGGATTGTCAAACTAAATCAGGACAAGAGCCCGGGAACTAGTGCCAATAAAGAGGGGATCAAATGCCAATATTGGCAGGGAAGCAAACAATCAATGGCACTCGGTGTTATGGAAATGGGAATTTCCCATTTTAGACTCTTATGGGTTCTGTGTCACATGATTTGTATAGTAATTAAGTTTAACCAATCAAAAAACAACCAAAAACCCGCTGTGCTAACATCTGTTACAACTAATGTTAAACTGCCTGTGATAACATCTGTATAACCATATGAACCCCATTTCCCAACCTTTCCCTCTTCCTGCGCTAAGGACGGACGAAAATGGGTGCCTCCGGCCCCATTTTTGTAACACTTGGCAAAGAATGAATGATAAGCTGCCAAGTGACAAATGGCCAGAGGAAAAGCGGAGGTCAGCGTGCAGCGCCGATACAAGTCTGCAAATAAGCGGGGTCGGTGCAGTGCCAACACAAGTCCGCGAACAGAGGTTGATCTGCCAGCACTGTCACACAAGGACAGCATGAAGGCCAACAGAGGTACAGAGGTGTTGACCTGACCAGAGGTGTCAAGGGCAACCAGAAGTGGCCAGAAGGTGCAGAGATGGGCAGAGGGTGCAGAGTGGGCAGAGGGTGCGGAGTGGGCAGAGGGTGCGGAATGCACGGAAGCGGGGCATGGCTGTGACCACATAGCGGGAAGTGATGAGTGTGGTTCAGATGGAGACAAGGCAGGCATGACTGAATGCCGGGAGCGCCAAGGGCTCAGGAACTGGAGGTAAGGTCGGAATACCGGCAGGGTCTAGGTTCTGATTACTGGCCAAGTCTCACGCAGTAGGGCAGGGGGGCCAGACATGGGGTTGGGGGCTGGTTAGGATGGGTTTTGGGTCGGCGGATTCGCCTATCGGCATTGATTCACCGCTGACGGAGCCCCAGGATTTGTTGGTCGTGACACCCGGACCCGGACCTGCATCCAGACCCGCTTCCACCTGCCACGCTTCCCGCATGTGTGCACACGCTGCATGCTCTGGGCCCGGTTCCTACCCCTTCATGTGACTTCCGGGTATCCCCGGAAGTTTTCCTGATATGGTGGCCACTGTGGGAAGATGAGAAGTTAGCTTCCTTCTCATCTTCTTACCCACAGTAGGTTGTGCCCTGGATAGGGCTGGTTACACCAGTAGGCTGTGGACCATAGGGGAGGGTCATGGGGACCCGGGAGTCGTCCCCTGACACCCAATTGGTGGAGATTTGACAGAGTTCTATGTTGGGCAAGTTAGGCACAGGCATGTGCAGGTGTGGGAATCTCAAGCAGCAACCCAGAATTCCAGCCTAACTCATTCCCACAGCATCTAATAAATTGGTAAAAATGCTTATTGGCTGCGTGAGAGTTATCTCCGGCTGCATTTCCAATTTCGGCTCTTAATTCCGTAAATCCGTTGAGAAATCGCTTATTTTCATATATTTTCATATTTTTGCATCATTTCAGTTATTCTTTTATTGTTACTGTTACCCTTTTTATTATTTCACCTAATAAGGTACCCAGGTGCCATATGGCACCAATATTCACCATCTATTATTTCTAAAAATAATTATTTCTTATAATCCTGTACATACTGGATTTTTGGAAAAGAAGTTCTCCCCTCCCCCAAATTCTCTAAGGTGCTAGGATGCGCTAGAGTTGGAGTGAGTGAGTGGAATTCCAACAGTAGGAATAAGGGCAGTGGTCTAGCTCACAACAAGTGAGTAGTGGACACTGAGCCCGGACCTTGCAGAAATCCCGGAGAACCCGCACCAGAGTTAAGGATCGAGAATGTGGCGAGTTTGGTGGAGAGAGTGGAGTTTTGGGAGTTTGGCCCCCACGAGCTTAGTCAGCATAGAGAGCTGTGAGCCCTCTTTCAGCGCATACAATAAATTCCGAACAATTAAACAGAAATGGTGCCCACATACAAATGAGTTTGGGAACAACACATGTGATTACTGTCAGGGGCGGTGCAGGAGAGGCAGGGGTGGCGGTGTAGCCCCCAGCGCTAGTGGCCCAGGTGGTGGCAGAGTAGCAGGAATGTATAGCAAGTGGCCCTCACTCAGGCTCACGTCCCTGTCTGGCTTCTTAGGCTGAAGCAGTAGTGATTGTTATTAGGATGAAAGGCTAAACTAAACTAAAGTAAGACACTTGCCTGAAGCAGTAGTGAGAAGAAGGCTGCTTCTTCGGTTCTGCTTCAGCTCAGTTTATATACAGGTGGGAACTGGTCATGTGGGGGGTGCCACATCAGCCTGGGTGGAGCCGGGTTATCGCAGATGGCTCCACAGGCAATCCCAAGTGTCAGAGGGGAGAAGTACAAATGAAGATGCGTGGCGTATCTGGTGGCACAGTATCCACATGGAGTACTCGGCGTCAGATGCGTCCATGCTGAATTACTGTACCCTCGGGCCTTGTTCACAGCATCGCGGCTTATAGCAGCCCACAATGGCAACCCTCGGTGCCGACCCCGGACCCGTATCTAACAGCATGCCCTGACACTTTCAAGTCCTACTGCTCATTATGGATGGGTTCACTCTTGCCAGTCACATTGCTTCATGTGCAGAGGAAACCATCACGCTATTAGCAATATAGATACCAATTTAGGAAAATTTGAATATAATATTTGCACAGCCACTGGAATCCGCCCAAATAGCGTGACACTGAACCGCTCTACTCGTGTGACACGTGACAATTTTTCAAAAAAGTACCGGACCGGCTGCCCTGCGTGACGCGTGACCGGTCATGTCAGTACAGTATTCGGCTACTGATAATCTTTCTCTAAACACAGTGCTTGTGCGCGTGCCTCCATTAAATTTAAAATACTGCCATGCACAATATTTGCCGCGCGTGACCCGCACTGCCACGTTCGGCAACTTCCGGCATGCGTGTGTGTGTGACCTATCCTACCATGCAAATGAAGTCGGTTTTCTGATGCATATTCCCTTATGCCGCACTTCCATTCTTATTCAGCGCATTATTTCTTCTCACAAGAGGGTCAGTCGGGTCCCAGCCTCTACTTTAATAGAAGCTGCCTAAGTTTCTTCCTGACATCAATTATGTTATCACACCGCGTAACACTGGTCAAGATTTCCTGAGATTTGGAGTTGGGCGTATGGAAACATTAGAACCTCCAAATCGGACTGGAGGGAATTGTGCTTGCGTGCTATTTTGGTCCCCGAAAAAACGCGCGCTCCGACTGTCGGCTGCGACCGCGATGATGCACATGTACGTCCGTGATGTCGCAATCTTAATGCTAGGCGGATATGATGCTGGAATTGCCGATATAGCCTCCTGAGATTGTACTCTTTCTCCCTCCTTGCCGCATACGCCCAAGACTGAGGTCAGCACTTCCTGCCTAACGCTGACCGAAGCGCATATACTTACCCAAGCCATGCACGCTGCAACAGCAAACACGATGCGATTCTGGAATCTCTTCGCCCCAATCGCTTTGCTCCCCATCGCCACAGCTGATTTCATCCTTGGCTCAATTTATCTTAACGGTCTTGACGGTGGCACCAATACTCACGGGGCTGCGGTCAATTCGTCCGACAGTGAGCCAAAATGCAACATTAAAGTTTTGAGCTTGATGGGCATTGATTCCTCAACAGACAATTGCAAAACTGCCGCCACCATTCTCAACGGCGACTTTCAGTATGAGGACCCCATTATCAAGTTCAATCTTTGTGACAGTACTGTTGTAATGAATGGTGCTAATTGGATGCTCGACCCTCAATTAGAAGGAGCAAATGGAACATGCACTCCGATCTGGTCCAAAGGCGAATCGTGTGTCCCTGATAAATTTGGGTCTGTTCCGGCCACGTGGTATCCTGAAATGTACTGCCAGTCGCTCGTGTGCGTAACAGCGACTTTGGATTGATGACACATCCCGTAGATAATTGTCATTCTGCAAAATGCATGTACTTTATACAATACTTGTTATCATTAATAACGCACGGAGTCTCGCAAGTGAGGACCATTTGTTGTAACTCTTTACATGTAGACGACGTATGTACTAATATGTACTACATTAAGTAACAAAACAACGGGTATAATGTCAAGTGAAAAAAGAAAAGTGCATTATCAGCTGTCTCACAAGAGAGAACTTGAAAGCCCAAAAACTGTGGTGTGCCGTGCCTCTCTGTGACGGGGCACCGATATCGTTTACAGTGTAACCGGCAATAAAACCACACCAAATAAAACTTAATACCGGTGGTATTTCCGTTAGAGAAACTGATTGAGCGTAAGCGTCGTTATCACAAACGCGTACCCAGCAGAGCGGGAACGAAGTGTGAAAATTTGAGCCATAACAGATGGGGAAAGAGACGTCTCAACAGAAAGCGGACCCAAACATTTTGGTTACAAATTCAAACTGAGTCACTACCGACAGTTGCAGCACATCGCATCCTCCGCCACAACCCACTTTCCCTCACGAAATACCGTGGATGTCAATCAATGGTATAATCGGCATAGAATTTTCGGGTAACTTGAGTTGCGTTATAGATTATTATCAAACAGGAGAGGGAGAGATGGCAGTAGTGAGGTTGGAATATTGCTTTGCCAAGGAGCTGAGCGATCTTTTTGGTGAGTGCTATCATAATGAGAAGGACCCCAGCATCACTTGTTTTAACATGAGGAGGCGGTACTCAAATGGCGCGGGCAGAAACAAGACCTTCCATGCTATTGTCATTCAGCATCATGGGGATCTGAACAAGAAGAAGGAAGTTCTCTTACATGTCCACGTTCGCTTTAGTGTCGGTGCCAAGAAATGGTTGGCCTAAGTCGTGAAACATACAAGAGTTGAGTTGTATGGCGAGACATACCTCGTTCAACTCGCTATGCTTCAGGCTATCCACAATAAGGAGCACTCTTGGAGACTGAGATAGACGCAGGTTCGCTCTTGCGCTTGATCAATGCAATGTCACACAAACTATGGAATGAACTTGGGGAGGAACACATTCATTCATTGTAGCTTCCCATGACTCAGAACAGTTTGCGATAAGGATTGGCACCACGACTCCGCTTCAGCAGTGCCATGCAGGGAGGACGGGGTGGCTTGGTGGCTGTACTACTCAATAGACAAATAGACAAATAAATTCGGCCAACTCCGCTACACTGCAAGACATACAAGCCGGCCTCGTTGGTCCGTAAAATAAGGCAATAAAAATCAAACCAAAACCAAGCTGTTTAAAACCCCCCACCCAAAAACTTTTTTGTCATTTCTTCCTATCTGTACTAATGGGGGTCGGCAATTCAGGTTGACGACTGTTCACCCACCCGTGGCTGTGCTGTCTATTGCGAATAAAGCTGGGAACGGTGGACATTTAACTCTCTACACAACAAATATAGAACTCAAGTGATTGCAAAATAGTGTTCTTGGTGACCCATACCAGTGCACCTTAGGTTTTTTTCATTTTGAATATGCTTCTTTGTTGAGATATTGCGAGAAATCACAGTGAAAAACATGAAAGATGCCATTAATTTTGAAAACGAAACCTACGGATACCTAGATACATCCAATACAATATATATTCAATTCATCTGTAAAGTCAAGACACTATGAGATGAAGGAGAAATTTGGGCAGCAGGATTTGTGGTTATCGAGTGCATGCGGCAGTTGCCGAAGCCCAAATTCGCGCGCAAAGTGGGCCTTTTTTGCTCTTTTAAGTGCATTCACACACCGGGTACTGATGAGGGATCCCATTGTATCATGGCTTCACAGCGGAACCGGGTCAAAAGGAATGGCCGTTCTCGTAATCAAAAAGCTGCATCAATTGTCGACGAATTCATCACAGCAAAGCTTACACCAAGAAAACACAAGATCTTGCAGACAGCCCCTATCAGCGCGTCAGGATCCGAGAAAGCTTGTAGAAAATTGCTTGCAGATGCTGGAATAGCGAAGGTTGCAGAAAATAGGAGGGAAAGGCAGATAAAGGAACTCAAATACACCGCTAGAATCGAGGCATTAAAGGTGGTTGAACTCACCAATGACATAGAATGGGCAAGAAACCCAAAGACAACTATCGTGCAGCTGGCAGCCTAAGCCTCAGCTAAATACATATAGGCTCCAAGATGTGTTGGTTCCTCTCAGCAGTTGCATTCCAAATCAGGATGACAAGGTTAGAGAGCTGGTGCTAGCAATTGAGCGCAGGAGAGGGCGAGAAATGGAGGATGCGGGAGATAGCGAGATGATGACAGCCGATCAGCACAATCCCACAGAGTAATTTTCAAAATAACTGGCCATTTAGATTACTAGAGACCATATATTGGCGTTAATAACAATAATTAAGAGATTGGAGAGAGTTTGAGCACTTTGTTAGATGATCAAAGGACTCGCCAGGTTTCACAGGGAAAAGTGGGTCACGTGGGGGTGGCACACTTCAACATGGATTGCTGACCCCCAGTCACTGCGTTTAGAGTAAAATTATCCTGTGTACAATTCCTGTGCTAAATAATGCAGAATCAGTATTATCCTGAGCTGTCCCCTGAGAAATCCCAGGCCCCTGAGCAGGTGCGGGTTCAACTTATGAGACGTGCAAAATCACAGCTGAGTATTTGCCTGGATATAACAGAGCTGTGCACATGCCTGCCATATCTCTGTTCTGTTCCGTCGTTTCTGCAGTATTCCTGCCCTATCCTGGACCAAGCGCTGCCGCTTTATGGCGAAATTAGTTGATGTCGACTTGTCTTGTTCACAAGTCCCTTTTATTCAGAGGATTTCTTCGACTGAGTCTACATTTGACATTTGACGAGGCTCGTCGATGACAGGAGGATGATCAACACTGTTTCATCGTGCAAATGACTCTCTTTCAAAACCAAACAACCTTATTGTGTGCACTAGTGATGTTGTTGACGCGCGTCAGTAACTCATGCTGATGGATACTGCTGCAGCACTCCATACTTGCCACGAACAGATCATTCCGTGATAGGGAAGGGGTTAGCATATCTGAATATCAATACAATGGACATCTGGTAAGCACACGAAAGATAGTAAGTATTATGGATTTAACGTTGGTTTTAATCTTCATAACTTCAAGGGAGATGGATGCTCATGTGCCGATCTCCCAGTGGGCTGGAAACGAGATGTTCTCAGTATCTGTCAGTCTACCAGACAGTGCCTGAAAGATAGTATTGTCATAAAATCACGCAAGACGAAATTCCTCTATCCTCAGGTACGTCGATGGATTAATATTGTTCTCAAGTTCGAAGGAATGAAGTAGTTTGTCGTAGGCACCGAAGCCCATCTTTGCAGTCCACTTCAAATCTTTCTTTGAGCCGCTGCCTCTTTGTGATGGTGTTCTACACATCAGTCAACACATGAGTCCGGAATTAGTTCATCACCGCTGGCAAGGTACCTCAGAGGTGGATGCGCCTTTGTGGGTTTCTGAGGGTTGGTGGATCTTAGCAAACGACGGTGCTGGGTCTCACAAGGAGATGGTCAATTTTGAGGTCGTTCCGCATGCAATTGGACTCCGTATGGCACGCGAAAGTTCTGAATATGGCGGGTACCCCATCGGAGGTTGGGCAACTATATCTTACAACATACTGGTCAGTATACAAATATATTGGGTCATGCTGACATGGTGCTGATGTAAAACTGTCCCCATTTCCAGATGGACGGCTTGATTCAAGCTCTCCAAGACTATCTTACCAAGTACCTTACAGCCGTGCAGACTAACCCTGCCTACTGCCTTCAAGTCGACCTCCCTAGGGACCAGCACGTCCCTGTCTCAGATCCCTCAGGCCCGTGGGACAATCTCGAAATGATGCTATTGGGCTCACGCATGGCATGTCTGGATCCTGAGCATGATGTACTGAGCGATGCTGGAGCATTCATCAAGGGGATGAGCCTTAGTTTAAAGTTTGAGGCGATGTTTTCAAGTGCTTGCGCATCTCTACCTGGTCCATCTCGAGCACATTAGTTCATAGGATTTTTGGATGTACATTCTTCAACACCGACTGAAGTGCTTGTCGCACTTTGGAATTTGATGCAAATGTATCGGAGACATAATTTGATCATCTTGGAACCGTCAAGGCATACATTACATGTAGGTAAGGACCACATCAGCTCTGAATTGATGCCAAAACTTCGAGAAATGCTTGTCACATTGAAATGGTTTTCGGATACTGCCGAGCCCCTCTCATCTCCACAATCGATCTCCCCCCACGTCTTCACTGTCGACAGATCTCACTCACACGACTAAGCAACCCATGGGCACAAGTCTGTAATGCCCATAAGTAAGGTAGCTGGCTATTTTGTGCTGATATATGTAAGTTTCAAAACTTTAGCGGTGTCACTGCAGCAGATGTGGGATCGAGGGCAAGGTGCTCCACATCAAGACGTGGAATGACCATCTGAATGCTGAAAGGTGAAAGATTAGCCATCAACGCTACTCGGATGTCTTAAGAGTGTCTGCATCTGGCTCACTGATGACGGCTGACTCGCCGATGACAACTGGCCCACCGATGTCAGCTTCTGGCTCAAATACTGATGATACCGAAATGATGTTCAACGAGTTCGGAAGTGGCTTATTTCCCCAGCAACCTGAATCTAACAATTCAGAGCCAGATGTATTTCTGGTGCCACCCTTACCCGGATTTGTGAATGACCACAACGATAACTTATCTCTGGAATTCGAGGCCATACAGCCTGGCAATGATGACTCGGCTGAAGATGACGATGGGTTCCAAACACCCAGCGACAAGGAGTCTACTTCCAGTGGCGTTGACATCGATTCTGGATCTGCACCTCTAGACGAGGCCACCCTTCAGGCTGGGTCTTCTACCGTCCCTTCTCCCATACCTTTGATCCACTCTATCTCTTGGTCGGGTGGTGTGGATGAGAATTCCCCAGACCCTTTCTCATCCCATGCTGACACACGGCCCCGGACATCCTATTTGTCAGGGACCGACCCGGGGTCGAGAGCGCCTGGGTGTATCGCCCAAGGCTGAGGGTCCGGTAGGTATGACGCGGGCGCGCGTAGCAACGGGCCCGAAGCAGACAAGGGTCCCTGGCCACTAAGACTAAAGTGGGAAATGTGTTATTGTCATTATCAAGGGAAGTGTAAGCTACTTGCCTAAAGTGGGAAATGTGAGAAGAAGGTTGCTTCTCAGTTCCCACTTAGGCTGTGTTTATATACATGTGGTTGAAGGCCACGTGGGAAGCGCCACGTCATCCGAGCACACAGCCACCTCCGTCTGGGTACCTCCGTAAGAGGTCCTAGGAGCGTCCGGTGTGCGGGGGGTCGTCCGGTGTGTCCGGGTTCGGGCGCGTTGCACTGCAGCCGGGTCAATGGTACATTGATACAAAGGAAGTCGTCCATGTGATAAGAAAGGAATAAAGAGGAGGGAGAATAGAAAAGAAGGAGAAGGAGAAAGGGGAGGGAGAAAAGGGGAAGAGGGGGGAGGTCGGGAGGAGTGGATGGTGGGGCACCGGGTTAGGTGGGGCCGGGTCAGTGTCAGGGCACACCCGCCTGACCCGGGCCCACCCAGGCCCACCCGGCCACACCACACCCGCTCCCCGCTGTCTATCCCCCTCCCCCCTCCTTCCTCCCTCTCCTCCCCTTTCTTTTCCCTTTTCTTTCCCCTTTCTTTATTTCATTCTTCTCATCTTCCTCTTCCTGTTTATTTCTTTCTATCTACACGGACCACCTTCCTTTGTATCAATGTACTATTGACCCATCCGGCCCACACACCCCGGACGGCTTCCTGCTGTGCCCAGCACGTGCGCATGTAGCAGACGCTCTCGGGATCCCCCACGGGGACACCCGGATGCCTGCGGCTGCCTCCGAGGATGATGTGGCACCTGTCATGTGACTCAAGCCGCATGTACATAAATGTACCTGAAGTGGGAACCGAAGAAGTAACCTTCTTCTCACATTCTCCACTTCAGGTAAGTAGTATAGTTTTCCCCTTTAATAATAATAACACATTCTCCACTTCAGTCTGAGTGGCCAGGGACCACTGTCCCGGATCGGGCCTGCCAGTATGCACGCCCGCTCCACACCCCGCGACGGCCTCAGCGCCGGATATTACCCCCGGGCCCTCTCGACCCCGGACGCGTCCCTGACAGTCAGGCGGGCGTGCCCTGACACTATTCCACAACTCATTATTTAGCACCCATTCGAATTCTCTACCTTTTGGCCATCTGGCTCCATTCCTACCACCATGTCCCATTCCGAATCATAGGGGCCATTTTGTCCATAGTTCAACTTATCCTCAGTGCTGCAAACTTTCATCTGGATCCATCTACAGTCTCCGCCACGACCTTAATGACTGTCCACTCGCACATGTCTGTTGAACCTTCCTTTCAAGTTCTCCCAATATGTCCTGCATGCCAGGAAGTCTACCCCAAGCTTGAAACTACACCGGCACTTTGTACCAAATGCAAGCATAACAACAGGACTATCCCCTGTTCGAAAACGATGAAAATACGCACACAAAAGAGAGGAGCGCAAAGGGACGTGAGCCAAAAATCCGCTTTGCCTTCAAATCCATCAGCAAACAGCTTCGTGAGTTATTGCAGGAACCTGGGATGGAGGATCTCCTTGATTGGTGGCGTACATTACCTGACCGGCATCCGGAGCTGGGTATATATCAAGATATCTTCGATGGCCGTGTTGCCCACTCAATTCTGGGCCATGATGGGTCCCCTTTCTTTCGCAATGAACCTGAAGATCATGAGATGGGTCCTAATGGAGAGCTCCGTATTGGTCTCACACTTGGTACTGACTGGCAAGTATTCCCCTTTCATCACGGTTGAGTTGGACCAAAACAAACATCTTAGGTTCTCGTATCGTCAATCTCAGCAGTCTGCATCGCATTCATCAGGGCCAATTTCGCTATGTGTAGCGAATCTCCCCCCTCATGTCAAGTAAGTCTCAATTTCAATCGCTTCGGATGTATCTCTAAGGGTCCAACAGGTATAAAACATCCAATCTTTTCCTTGTGGGTATCATCCCTGGCCCCAAGGAACCAAGCCCCGATCAGGTCCAACGGTACATGAGACCACTAATCAACGATCTTCTCCACCTGTGGGAGAAAGGAATTATGGTTGAGACCCGCAAGTGTCCTCAAGGCAGGTGTGTCCGTGCTGTGCTGCTGTGTGTTGTTTGTGACGCACCTGCGGCACATAAGCTTGGAGGGTTTGGCTCCCATAGCCACACTATGTTCTGCACTCGCTGCTGGGTGACGCTGTCTCAAAAGAATGAGTTAGAGGCTCTTCGTGTTGGAGGTATGTGATGTCGTCTGTCCCATCTCTATACCTGAAATGTTGTCTTAGGTTTCCGGCATCGTTCTAATGAAGAGCATCGCAGAATGGGAGAGATATACCGAGATCTCCCAACAAGAACTTTGAAGGAGAAACATGCCACACAACACTCTAACCGGTGGTCAGAGTTGTCACGTCTCCCATATTTCGACTTGTGCAGGATGATAGTAGTCGATCCGATGCATAACCTTATTCTTGGTACAATGCAAGAAAGCCATGGTGCAACCTTCACACTGACAGTATATAATCTAGGTCTTAGTAAAAACCATTTCTATCATATGTGGATCACTCAAAATATCATCCAGCCTAAACATGAGCTCATCCAACTTCACGCCCTGCTTTCAAAAGTATGATCCATCCTTTTCAGTGTGTCACAGATTCGGGTTAGGTACTGATGTATCTCAGTTCACGGTTCCAGGACACATGGCTACACTTCCAACTGCTGTTGGGGAGCCAGCAGGAGGCTCGCTGACTGCTGATCAGTGGTTGCTCATGGCGACGGTTTTTGGACCAGTTACAGTGTGTTTCTAGTATATCCCTTGGCGATCTCTCTCCGCTAATCTTTCAACTAGGTCCCTTTGATATGGGACACACATCTATCACAGGATGCAGATTGTGCACGAGAAGCCTGTGTGCATTCAATTAATAATCGTCTTGCCAAGAAGGCTCAGGAGAAGAAGGATGCCAAGGAGAGATGCGAGCAAGCTAAATTACTGAAGGAAATGGCACAAGAGTCATTGGTATGTCATGAACTTGAATTTTTGAACGGAGTACTAGTATAAACTCCAACATTAGTCTGCCGATACTCAACCCCACCAAGGGCCTTCATCACACGAGGTTGCCTCACGTACAACTGCAACCTCTACAAAGTCGGGAAAATCGCGTGGACGCACAAATAAGAAATCCTCTACTGTTGCTACAGGCGATTTGCCCTCAAATCTACATCCTGATGAGCCAGCGAACTTTTCCAATCTCACAATGGCTCTCAAGTGTTGGTTGTCTCGCAGAATTACGGAGGCGCAGATAATTGAAGGCGAAAGATATATGCTGGGTTACCTCAAAGGCGTTCTGGAGGTAAGTAATTACCCATGAAATTGGAATACTGGATCCCACTTTATACAATAGATTTTCGGTCCTGATATGATTAAACCCAATCATCACTATGCCGTTCACACAGCCGAGTTCATCCGTGACTTTGGTCCTGTATACGGTTTCTGGACGTTCCTCTTCGAGCGTCTCAATAAAGTCCTCAAAAGTTACAAGTCCAATAACCATGGATGTGGACAATTGGAGGTCTCCTTCTTTCGTGAGTTTCACCGTGCAAACCAGGTGTCACAGATAGTATGTCCTGATATATACATATCCTTGCTGGTCACAACCAAGCTGATGAAATCCCTTCAGCTCAACGAGGCATCCCAGTCATCCAATGCGGTTGAGAGTTCAGCTGCGATGTTATTGATGAATGCGAGCCGCGATGATCGAGGCACTGTGCAAGCGTTAGCAAGGGAGCTTGAAGATAAGAGGATAGATGGTAAGGTTCACTAGACTGCCAGCCCTGTCACATTTGACCCACTCCAGACATCAGAGGAAGTACCGCTACAAATGGTCTTGTTGGGCCCTGCTCCAAAGAGAAAGGTTGAACTAACCATTTCCGAATCTCTCTCGATAATCAATCATCTCAAACGTCAAAATTCCACTCTGAAGCTGCATCAGTACACTGCACTGAGCCCCGAACCGAATAGTATTCCACTGCCAACCCATTGCTGGAATCACCATTATGTTGTAGTTCATTCAAGAAGATACCTTGCGTCACAGTCAGCAAAGAATCCTCGAAGCTCGCTGGTTGAGGTGGAACTTGCAGGCCAGCATTATTGCGGGGAGCTCACTCAAGTTTTATCATTTGACAAGGACTTAGGTCTCAGCGGTAAAAGAGTATCCTTTGGGTACGTCAAATGGTTCGCTCCATATCAGCCTCAGAACCCAACGGTTTGGACACCATTGTATGTTGGGACTTTGTTTGTGTTTCACCTCACTCAAAACCCATTTAACAGCGAAAAGAATGCTCATATCAAACAATGGCATGCCGGAATGTGGTGGAATGGTGGAGCATTGACCATCATCGCCTTAGACTGCATAATCAGCCATCTCGCACGACTGGAGGTAGAGGTGGGTGGCGTCAAACTCTGGGTGACCATCACCATCGATCCCGTAAGTTCGATATCTAAACTTGGGCTCTAACAATCGGAATAGCTGATGATGTTTACTTCCTCTAGCATGGAGAAGGCATATAGCATAATAGTATGTAGTCTGAGGAAAACAAAATTTTGTCGCCCAATATATGTTGTTGTTTGTTTATGTTGTCACTTCAATATGTCGATGTTCGACCACCTCCCGCCGTTTGTGCCACCAGAGTCTTTTGTCCAAGCAACAAGCAACCTCTTTTCAACCCAGAGGCATGCAGCAGCCCTGTATGCGATGTACCTCACTGGCATGCACTTCTGACTATCCAGCATCTGACACATTATTTTTGCATTCCCACACCGCACATAGCTGAGGCTTGAGTTATTTTACAGCGGTTTTGTTGCATGTGTACTTAACTAACGGTAGTAGTACTAGCACTAGTACCGGGAGCAGACTGGTGTTCTTGCTCTTCAAGTTGTCGAACGATTTCCAGATCTGGCCCATCCACTAATGTATCCGTGACATCCATAGCATCCCACCAGGGTAAGGTTTCAGTGATTCTCATCTTCTCCTCCACTTCCACCTTGATTACCGGGCTCATTAGGGATCTTGGGATTGGCAGCCTTGGGAGTCGCTGTGAAAATGTGTTGCCATCGTAATTTGCATGTTTTGCAGGTTTGTGGGTGTTTTGGGCATGCATTCTCTTGCGCTTCAGGCATGCCCTCGCTTCCATCTCTAACCTGCGACTTTTATCCGAGGCATAAAGGAATTTCACAAACTTAGTATATAAGTTAGTGTCCTGGTAAGTTTCAAAGTTTTGGGTTATGACTCACCTTGGCGCTTCTCCACAGGTTTTGTCTGCGGACCAGGATTTTTTCATGCCTCAGGCCTTCGGTGGTTGGGGTCTCGACTTCCATGTCGTTGTCGGAAGACATATGGTCAGTAAGTATAACCGACTCCATCTCATCCTCCATGGCTTTGACTTTACCCACTAACCCTCCTATGCCTTCACGTCTCCTGGCGGCTTTCTGGAGACAAACTTGATTAACATTAATATTGCCAGTCATCAGGCAAGGATCGGCATACTGCTTTCAATCGTGCCATAGTCATGTTTCTTTGTCGCGAGTTTGCCAGACTTTGACGACCGGCTTCCATCTGTGATCTTTTCCACTTCAATTTGAGGGAATTGAAGTACTGCTCAGCTGCGTTATGAACGTCACTCTGATCAATCCTTCGTTCATCAATGTAGGCCTTTATCATCTGTGCTGGGTGTCAGGAGTTGTGCAAGGGTATGGGTCACTTTCATGCACTGAATCATTCATACTGAACCTAACTGTTTCGCTGATCACTCGTTGATTGATTTTTTCCTTAACTCCCAACTGCCAGTTCGGGATCAGGAGGGGGTCCCCATTTTCTCTGCATGGTGTGGGAGCACCCTCTGGCAAAGGTGAAGAAAGATCTTCAGCATTTGGCTTTCGTATATTGCAGCCAATCACGTCATGTAGTGCCTTTCGCACTGGGTCCTGGAACCCAACGCTGGATCAGTTGGGCCCCTCAGCTGGTATATGCGACTCACCCGTCCGTTCGCCGGCCACTTGTCCTTTGCCTGGCCTCTCCTGCTGCTTGGCTCAGTATGACTGTTTGTGGTGGCGCTGGTGGTATTTTCGTTCACTTGTTGCGATAACTGTTCTAATTGTTGCGCCATAGTTATCATTTTTTCGTCTACCTGCTTTTGGACGAAATCATTTATCAACTTTTCGAAAGCTTCCTGAGTGGGTGGGGGTCCGTATGGCGCAAGGTTATTAACCGGACTTGCATCCTGGAAGTGAGTGCCAGGACTCGCAAAACTTTGGCTCATGGAATACTGTTGCATTATAGCAGGGGTCGGCATACCTGAAGCATATCACGTAAGTGCTGGTTTCTCAGTGGTTTCAGGCAACTTACCAGGAGGATTCTGGCTGTAGGGAGGTCCTCTACTGTTTTGATGATAATTTGCAAGAGTCGGAGCAGCACTTGGGATACCTAAAACGTGTTTGGTAAAGATTTTTAGCGGTCTTTTCTGCCCTATTATTCATCTGTTAACACCCACTCATGTTTAGTCCATAATGGCTTGATCCTGACCATGGAATGGACGATGGGGATGGGGAAAATGCAGCGTGGGGGCCCAGGGGGGCATATGTGCCAGATGTCCCGGTACTGGTTGCATGTCTGTACAGGTCCAGCTGAGGGGCGGAGTTGGTTCTGCTCATTGGGGAGGGCGAGGTGGATGGGGCATTGAGGTCGTTTCCTTCAGGACTGGTACTAGTAGTACTAGTACTGTTTGGCGTGTTCATCACTCCGTTCTTCTGTACATCCAATGAGGAAAGCGCAAAGGGGCAAGCAGCTGGCGCGCGAATAATAATTAATACCAATATATTAATACTAATTGTATCCGGTTCGGATCCAAAAGCCCCAGTTTCGGGCTCTTATTCCGAGTCTGTAATATCCCATGAAATATTCAGTCACGTTTACTACCAGACCTGCCCCGCTAAATCCGGTCAGTGCAATCACTGTGCTATCCTCTGTCAAAGTGTGTGGGAGTTTCTGAAATATTCTGCGCTTGCTCTGCAATCATCAAGTGTGCGATACACCAGAGGATATTAGTAATATTTCTGTACTATCCGACCGTGGATAATCTTCCCCTAAACGCAGTGAGTACTAAGGCCAACTGGCTTTGGCTTCACGTGAGTGTGGGAGCCAGCCGCAATCGGACTGAACGATTCAATGCACCTGGGGATCGCAACTGCCGACGAAATCAGGTGCTTCCGGAAATGATCTGTAAGTTGTCAGTCTGGTGCGAAATTTCCATAACCGATGCCTTTGGGCAACGACACGCAAAGCTCAGCAAGGCTAGACTTGTCGGAGGTTGCAATGAGTGATGAGGAAGCCCCTCACGCCTCCTACACACCGCTCCCGCTGCAATGGGCGCCCATTTTACGCATTAGTCTTCTCCGAACAATCTTGACAGTTACCTTTTACGTAAGGTACAGTGGAGCATTGCAAATTTCTTATCATATGAGCGCTGCCTCGTGTTGACCCGAGCTCTTAATTTAAGTGTAAGGTAGATGAACGCCACCTTCGTGTTCTCTCGCTTTCCCTTCTCCTCTCCTCCATCTCCTACTTGAAACCCATTGCGAGAAGGCCAATGGCAACGATTTTAAAAGACCTTTGGAACTTCTTTTACCTGCAAACATGGGATACTTGCCTCGTGTTCATCAATCTTTTGGCGCCCAAAATCAAGAAAGGAGAAATGTATAAGGAAGGCCAGCCTGGATATAAGGGTATCTGGCCCGAGTTTATCCGTCCTAACCCAGAGACGGATTCGAGGTCGCCATGCCCTGGATTGAGTAAGTGTAATCATCCTGATCACTTCATTCGGAGATGATCTCATGCACTTTCTCCCACGTGTTGCCACTAGATGCGATGGCAAACCATGGCATTATTCCGAGGAATGGGAGGAACATTGAGTTGTCATCCCTGGCTGAAGCGCTCGAGAAAACTTGGAACTTGGGGGCACCATTTTGTAGAGACACCTGCAACTCAGTAGGGAAACTTTTCAAGAAAGATGCAATCGATCTTAGGTGTGTCCTAACTCATCCCAACCATCCCTTTCCCACTTCCGACCGTTTTCCTTCCTCGATGATAGCGATCTGGCGAAGCACAATATCATCGAGCATGATTCCAGTCTCCTCCGTGCGTTCGATCATATTCGCGTTCTTCGTCCCTTTTCGTTGCTAATGGTGTATCAAATTACAGGATCTGATGCTTTTTTCTCCCCCGACCAAACCGTACCTGACAAACAACTCATCGAACGCCTTCTGGGATCTGCTACTGGTCCTGTTGCACCTGAGTACCCTGAAGGCCAGGTCACCCCAGCGGATCTGGGAAAGGCTCTTTCCTTGCGCATCGCGGAATCGAAGCGCAACAATCCTCAATTTTCGCTCAACATACTCCACTCATTCTTTGGGTACAGCAACGCAAGCGTGTTTTATGAAATATTGGGTGGGGACGTAAAGACTTCAAGGATTATATTGGAGGAGGAAAAGATTCCGGACGGATATGAGTCGTTGTAAGTACAAAAGTTCTTACAGCGAAATGCGGCGGCAGCTCATCGATTTTCTATTGTTGCTACTTAGTATGAGGAGTCGGAAGGGTCTCACGATGAAGAAGCAATATTTCCGTGCTGCACACATCTGGTTCCACACGAACACACAGCTCAAGCTTAAGGATGAATGAGAGGGCTAACGAGGCCGAAACCGAGCTGGTGATTCTTTTCGAAACTGTTCTGGTCCATTTCCCCGTTCCATGCTCTTTTGGTTCTTGCTTTTTCCAAGACTTCGCAAGGGGTTGTCGCGAACAATAATCGATTAACTCGACGGCGAAAACGTGAACATGTATATGAGTTAGTTGGAAAAATACCACGAGATTCAGACGATCTGAGAGAAGGTCCCTCTGGTGGAGTTCGTGTTATGTAACGTAGAGTTATAATCGATGCGATCCCATTGGTCCGCTCGCTTTCTCCCACGCTTTCACGCCTCCTCATTCGCTGGCTTTAACACGGACTTAGACGGCAAGGCTCGGGCTCGTTCCAAAGTATGTACGCACATGTAGCCATGGTCTTTTCGTACCGTCCACTTCCCTTTCACCTCAAGTTACGTGGGAGTTGTGCATGCGTTTCATGATTCATTGCCACAACGATTCTGACAGCACACAGGCTGCACAGCAGTGCAACCCCTGGACACCTCATACTGGACGATCTGACGCGGGATACTCCTCAGTGTATTCCTCCACATTCTGCTTCACTGCACATGTGTGTCAATCTAAGTTACAATGCCGTGTTAACCACTTTATTCTGTGAAATGTTATTCACTCATCTGACGTGGCTAGGGTGCGGTGTTCACTGGACAGCCAGTACTCGGACTGGGGGCTGGACTAGACGTCACGGGAGAGCTTCAGCCATGTCTATTTAACACTGCCATACTTGACCTGGCTCAACGCGAAACAAGCCAGCCAAGCATTGATTGCCACCGCCACCGTGGCAGGGACAGCCTCTGTTATTAGTGACAGTTATTTTCTCTGTGCTGCTATTATTCTGAGTGAGGGAATTTACTCAAGTGTCAGATGTGCTTCCTGTCGTGCTCGTCGCCTTGGAACCATTTGAGACCCAACGGTCAGGGGTGTCCTCATCATGGCTGCCTGGCAATCACTCTTCCATTTGTGACTGACAGTTCGCATGCCTGTGCACCCGCCCTCATCTCGGTGTTTGACACTGCCCCTTCACTTGCGGCTGGCAGCCGGCGTCGGCATCGGCATGCCCGTGTGCCCCCCGGTCCCTTATGTGCACTGCGTTGTCGATCATTCCTGTAATGACACGTGCAGAATGTGGGCAACCTATATATGCTGGGTTTCTTTGGAGTTCCCTGGACCCATATCCATATTCATCTCGCACACTCACACTCATCCAAAAAATACAATGAAGCTCTTTCTCTATGCGTACACTGGGCTGGCTGTTTTCAGTTCGGCATTCGCAGCTGCGATACCGAAGACACACTTGGTACGCGAAGGGTCGTGGAGTAATTTGTGCATCGCTGACTATCTCATTCTCAAGGTCAACGTCGGGCCTAACGGCCAACTTGTGTACGACCCCCCTTTTATCGTGCGTGTCAAGTCATAGCTTTGCTACGGTAGCTACTTTTCCTGACATCCCTCACCCACGGCAGTCCGCGAACAAAGGAGACGTGGTGAAATTCATATTCCATCCGAAGAACCATACAGGTATGGTTTGCGCTGTTTTTCCCCAACTTGGATTTCGCCTGAAGAGTTTCGTTTGGCCCCCGTAGTGACCGAATCCTCGTTCGACTTCCCATGTTCGAAACTCAGGGACTCGCATGGACGTAACGTCGGGTTTGACTCAGGCTTCCAGCCCGTAAACCCCATCCACCCCGTGGAGAAGATCGTCTCTGTCCGTGTCTTGACGAAAGACCCGTTGTGGTTCTACTGCCGCCAGACCGGCCATTGCAGCAAAGGCATGGTGTTCGCGATCAACCCCCCTACGAGGGGAGCTCATACCTTCGATGCGTTCAAGAAGAAGGCGCTTGCTACGGCTGGTGGTAAACGGGATGACGAGGATACCGATATCGAGATACCTCATTTAGGCCCACTTATTGACTAAATTTTGGCCACATTTATATCCTTGGTTCTAATATTAGTACGGGAGAGCAGTACCACGCATTTTTGATGTATAAGTTTGAAAATAATCGCGCGCGCACGTCTGGCACGCTTTCCACGACCAAGTTCCTCTACAATGTTAAAAACCTCACCAATCTCTTCAACATCGGCTCGTTCAGCGGAAGTTGATATTAATTGCAGACCACCATCCTGCTGAGTGGTAAGGCGCACCGGAAACCGCGTGGCTATCCAAATGCTCGGGAAATATCAGCATCGTCTTCGGGGGGACCGTGTTTGACTCAGGGTGGATGTCAGTGTCGTCGCGAGGGGTAATTAGATTTCTTGGAATATAAGCGTACGCTGTGGCCAACTCACGCTAGTTGATGTTGAGTCTTGCGGTGTCCATGATTTCCTTCTTGGACTACTCGCTGCCAAAGTCGGTGCGCATTCATAGCGCTTGACTATAAAAACATAATTCTTAGACCGTACAATACAACGGGACTGAGGTGTACCGTTTCTCGCTCTCGAGCCTCGCTCTTTAAGGTTTTAACTTTAACCCCGGGTTGGGACGTGGTTCTCTCATTGGCTCCCATTTCGCACTCATGTCCGGAATTGGGATTCATCGATTTCAGTGCTCATTTGACACTCATTCGCACTTTGGCTGAATCGTTTGACACGTAACCCTAACTGTCAGGTTATACCACAGCATTTGGTCAACACACTTCCATAATGGTTGTGACGGCACACACGCTGCACGCCCTGGAACCGTTCAATGTACAGAGTCTCACCAGTGCATTGAAGCGCGTTCTCGCTCTCTCATTGGCTAGCCGTGCGGGGTTTCTTTTATCATCGAGGTTTCCTTGACTCAGGTTCGGACGACGTAGACATACTAGCTGTATCATTCGATCCAACACACCGACGTGCTTTTGCAATCTGATCGCTCGCGTCATGCATTACAACAACGCGACGTCATCCACACTGTCTGATCATCAAATATTCCGCTGACACAATGCAACCTCCTGTGAATATGAACTTCGATATCACTGGAGTCGATCGGTGATTGATTCTTCACAACAGTAACTAGATCCTTCGATCCTCCTGCATGTCCCATTACCTCGCGCATGTATCCTTACGCATATTTCAGTCACAAGGCATGTTTCCTGGTTGTGTAAGTGAAATGATAATGATGTTGAACGCAACACCGTTCTCTCTCTCTGCTCAGAATATCAATCTGCGTTCGAATTCCCTCTCCTTCACCATCTGACTCACAACCTGAAATAGAAAAAGAATTGAGATAACTAGTAAGACCGTGAAGTCTCCACTGCATGAACGTGCCGACATCAGGTTCCTACGAAGACCCACATGCATAGTCGCACAACACGCGATGATTCAGGCAAGATAGACAGAGGACACAGCCGAAGGCTCCCTGGCATTGTAAAATTAAACTAGGAGGATCGGATTGCTCTCAATCGACCTTCTGGTTTGACAAAGCCTCGGCAAGTACGTGATACACGAACTCCGTCTGCTCAGGCCACTCCAACATCCCTGGCCGTTGTTCTCTCAGCGAATCTACCTCCTGTGCGATGATGTCCGCCTTCAGATCCGTGCCGTTTAATTCACCCAATGGAGAGTGTGCAGAGGGTGGCGGAGACGGGTCCAATTGATCACCCGTGCGATCAAGCAGTCCATTTGCTCGAAGGACAGACGAGATAGCAATAAATGTGCCTGTGCGACCGATCCCAGCACTGCAGTGCGCCAGGATGGGTGCTATCGATGATAAGACCTCTGGCGACGACGGTGCCAATGATATTGGCGGTGAAGCCGTGTCAATGATACTGTTCCCACCCGATGAGGTGGTGACAGAACAAGGTGCCCGATTGGCCTTGTCTACTTCTTTTGCAAGGTGGATGATCGGCCCTGCGGTATTCGGCAACCCATGATCTGGCCAGCCGTCAAAATGAAAGTGCTTCACAATACTTCCGAAGTCAGCTCCGTCATGGCCATTGCTGGCAGATGATGCGTTCGGTGGGACAAGTCGGACTTGAAGTGTGCTCTGGATCAATTGGGCGTCCTCTAAGGTTTCCCTAGACAGAAGCGTCACTTCGATCGTGGGTGGAGTCTTGGAAGTGTCCGTCGTTCCGGTTGGTGGAGTGAACCGGAATCCATCCCCAGGTTCGTTAGGAATATAAGGATGCGCCTTCCGCCGCCCTCTTTCTATATCTACCGTAAGCCGCACAATCGTCCTGATTCGTTGATGGGGAGGCGTGAGCGGCGTACAAAGCGCAAAGAACGAATACATAGTGGACGGCAGTGGCGCCTGCGTAAAGAACATCCAATCCCAAAAAATTGAGAAGAAGGTTTAATGTATGAAAAAATCGAGACGCACCTGCGTAGCCAGCCACCACATCCCGCCAGCACGCTCTCTGACCCAATTCCCGTTGAGGTAAACCTGCTCTCCGCCGGATGGGCCACTATTGACCATACAACACCCGCGATCGTATGGTTCTATGGCGAAATACCTATTCAGCGCGATATTCCTTTGCCCCATTTGGACAGAGTAGAAAGACTGCAGTCCTGCCTCATCGATCTAAGACGTAGAATGTAAGCACGAATAGGAGGGCTCCATGCAGATTCGAGCGATCACCCCATGTTCAGAATGCTCATGCGAGATCGCCTGCGTCCTATACTGCACTCTCTTATCTTCCCTATATTTCAGCTTCCTCAACACAGAAGTGCGGTGTTTCTCGTCCTCCTGGAATCTCTTGAGCCACTCAGGCAGGTTGTCGGCTCCCATACCTGAGAAGCGGATGGAAAGGCGGCTTCGATTGATGAGTGTGAGGTCCGCAAGACCAACAATGGGGCTAAAAGGCTGGAAAACTCACTAATAAAACAGGAGGCCACTGGCCAAAGGACTCGATACAACTCCAGTTAGCAGCGCTAGTTATATACGTATTGTGTAGGTTAGCAGTCACCGCTTACCTAATCCAGTGTGGCCTCTCTGAAGAGAAGTTGAGCCAAGAAGCTGGAGTGTGGAGACCGGGAACTTGAGCGCTTTGCAAAGTTAAATTGTCGCCCTGACTTACTGTACCTTGTCAACGATCAAGACCTGTCGCAATCAAAATTCGAATGTCGCGTGCCTGATAGTTCCTAATTCGTCCCAAATGAAGGGCGTGGGGATTTTCTTACCCTCCGGTGTCATCGCGCGACTGGCGGAAAGCGCGTCTTCTCATCACGCATGGCTCTGGCCTTAGATATTCCGTCGAGGGGTCTGAGACTTGCACAGATAGTTTGTGCAGTACTTTTCTGGTACGATTCTGGTGGGGTTTGAGTTCAGCGACGCTAATTTGGATATCGGTTTTGTCCAATTAGTCTTACGACTGCGGGTGTTATTTTTGGGTTTGCTGGTACGCTAGGGCATCGGCTTGTATTATTCATTTGTGATCAATGGGCCTGATTCACTTGGATGTTTAGCTCTGAAACCTATATTGCTAAAGAAAGGCAAGCGTCCCACACTGCTCGGTGTGTGATTCTGGATAGATTGAACTTGGACACGCCCAAATAGGAGTATACCGCGAGCTTTGCAAAGCAGACGACGGGCATGACAATGATCCCTCGTACACGTGTATCGAACGGGCAAGCCGATCTTGGCAAACACTGACTGCAGAACACTAGATGCTTACTTTCATTTCTAGGACCTGAAACTCAACTTCATGTTTACCCTTGCTGCTGTTGTTTCAAATGTCTTTGCATTGCCCAATGGTGTGGTGTTGGATTGGGTAGGGCCCCAACTCACTGCGCTTCTTGGAGCCGCAATCTTCGGACTAGGCAACTTCCTGTTCGGGTTAGAGGTGGTAACGCCTTGTGAGTGTGCCTCTCGTAGTCGAGAGATGTTAACTAATTTAGCTTGTTTAGGGTTTGATTCGTATTACTTGTAACGTATCAAAATCTCACTCTTCAAATTCACTGTCGTTCAATCTAATAAACAGCGGATATGTATTGTTGTCCATCGGAGGCCCTATGATTTTCCTTAGCACATTTCACCTTTCCAACGCCTTTCCGAGACACTCTGGCCTAATTTTGAGCTTCATCGTCGGAGCTTTCGATTGCAGTTCGTTTCCCTACCTTATTTATCGAACAATAGATAACATGTGAGCAAAGATGCTAAGGTATCGCGAGATTTCAACGCCTAATACTTTCCTTTGTACAGACAAGGGATTTCGATTCGCACATTTTTCTGGGGCTATATTTTGATTCCAACTCTGTGAGTTCTTGAGATGAGCAGATGAAATGACCTTGTTGAACACCTCTGTCTCTTAGTGTGATTATGGAGCAAATTACCCTCGGGCCGCGGGACTCTTATAAAGAAGACGACTTTAGGGAGACCGAATGTACTGTCAGAGGGGACTTCGTTAGTGCCGCTGACGAGATTTCCCCTCTCCTCCCTGAGGGTACCTCGTATGGTCCAGGATAAAGGGAGATGAAGCGGGTCCTCGCAGTCCTGAACACGATGACGAAAAAGTCCACGAGCCATTTACTGGGGTTATGGCAGGGAAATCGGTCCGGAAACAGTTACTATCGAGTTATTACTGGTGTGTTTTTTCGCAACCCATTATTGTTATGGGGGGGACTTAGACTTGCATGATGTAACACAAATAGGTTTATCGTTTTTTTCCTATGTGTCTACATGCAAGTACTTCCATTGAAAAATGCTTTGCTCGATATTTACACATCTCTCTCTTCAGGACACGCATCAACTATTTCATCCAAACAGTCTTCCAGCAAATGCTATTCTATCTTAAAGACCATACTCTCGCCCAGAGCGTCGCTACCAGCTTCACAGTGCTATTGCCTTTAGGAGGCGTCGTTGGTATGGATGCTTCCGCTGTTCTCTTCACGATTCCCTTGAGCCTGACGTCACTAACGTGACGATGACAGGAATTCCGATCATCGGCTGGATGCTAGACAATAGGGGCGTTGGATTTGCCTCACTCGTCATATTCTTTTCGGGCATCCTTTATGGGGTTTTGGGCATCATGCCCAGCCCTACAATGCAACTCATATCTATCGCGATCTTCGTCGTCCTTAGACCACTTATGTACACATTCCGTAAGATCCAGTTTCGCGTCGTGGTAGGTTGTTCCATTGACTTTTTTCGTTCAAATTTCAGTGGGCGATTATACCAGCAAGGCTTTTGGTTCTGAAACCTTCGGAACCGTTTACGGGCTGCTTAATTGCATCGCTGGCCTGTTCGGTCTAATCCTCCGGCCTATCGATGTGTTTACGAAGAATACGCTTCATGGGAACTATACTGTCGTGAACGTACTGGGGATTATTCTGGGCGCCATGTCGGCTGCGATAATCTCTTGGAGGATACACCACCAGCCACCACGTGGCGCTGTTGACACGCGTTAGCGGTTGTCTCTGACCTCTGCGCTACGGCCCCGAGGCTATATATTGCTTTCCCTGATGTCGCTGGAGTTTCATTCGTCGTCCTAGAAGCTTTACATCAAACTTGTTGCGGGTGATTGTGCGATCCGATGCACTAGAGGGCTCACATTGCGTTGCAGCCACTGCACTATCCTGATTTGATGTAGTTGTGACCAGATCGCGCCGGTTGTGGAAATTGCGAATCTGTGCAAAATCATCATAACAACACATTGTACCAGCTACAATTGTTATGAGGTTTCCCTCAAACTGGATGGCCGAGCTTTGCAACGCCTTCGCGCGGTTGAGAAGTACATTTGGATCCGATGAAGTCCACGGGTGACGATGCGCAACTCCACAACGCGCTTCCCACGGAAAAAAAAACGAACCCCACTGTAAACAAACGCCTCGCAAGCTCGGCCAATGATTCGGTAGCTCATTCCATAATATCGACACCGACATGGACATGGCGAACGTGTTGACAGTATTGATGTCTAGCCTCTATGACTTCGCAATATTAGATGTATTGATTTTTGAGTGACGAATTCGCAAGACCGAGGAATTTCTTTGGTCACCACGAAGGCCCTGATTGTCCTCAGGTCCCCGATTCACTGGCCCGGTGCACTCATTGAAACAGGGGACCACGACCTCCTGGAGTGCCCTCTTTGCAACGGGCACCGGGGTCTGCGCCGGGGCAGGGACGGAGACCTGAGCCTTGTGGACCTCTGGCAGGCTTCTAGTTAAATACGAGCGAAGCGTACGAGAAAAGGTCTGTAGAGATCGAGTAGTAGGGAAACCCCAAGAGGTCCAATGTTGGCACCGGAAACACAAATATCCAAACACGGAGGAATATGGTTGGGCTTCGCTCGAACGAAAAGTGGATGAGACGTGCATATGTATTCTCACTGTTTTACTCTATTTATCCCGAGGCTCCCACCCTTCCTGAAGTTTGCAGGTTTAATATAACAAACAAAACAAAGCACCTCTGGCTGGAGCACCCCTTCTCATCACCCATGTCTCTGCTGAATATCCCATCAAGAGCTCTGAGACTTGCCCAGATTGTTTGTGCAGTGATATTCTGGTACGATTTCTGGTGGGGGGGTTGTTAGAGTAGGCCAAAGCTAAATTGGGCACCGACCTTGGTCTGATCAGTCTCACAACTGCGGGTGTTGTTTTTGGATTCGCTGGTATGCTGGGGCGTCAGCCTGTGCCATTCGTCTGGTGCTGAATGTTTGTTCAAAATCGCTCAGCGTTAAAACCTGTGTTGATCAAGAAAGGCAAGCGCTCAACGTGTGAATTTGGGTAGATTAAAACTTGAAGGCGCTCAAATAGGAGTATACCGTGAGCTTTGCACTGCGAGTGACGGGAATCCAATGATCCCTCGCACATGTGTATCGAACGTGTAAGTCGATCTTGGCGACATTGATCGCAGAACACTAGATGCTTACTTTGATTTTTAGGACCTGAAACTCAACTTCATGTTTACCCTTGCTGCTGTTGTGACCAATGTCTTTTGCTTACCCATAGGCGTGCTTCTCGATCGGGTAGGGCCCCAACTCACTACGCTCCTTGGGGCCGCAGTTTTCGGGCTGGGTAACTTCTTCTTTGGTTTAGAGGTGGTGACACCTTGTGAGTATCTCTCCGAAGATTTAGACGTGGATTGATTTCGTCTGTTAGGGTTTGATTCATATTACTTGTAACGTATCGGATCTTCGCTCTTCAAATTCACCGCCATTCAATCTCATAAACAGCGGATATATTTTGTTGTCTATCGGAGGCCCTACGATTTATCTTAGCACGTTCCACCTTTCCAACACCTTCCCGACACGCTCTGGTCTGATTTTAAGCTTGATAATTGGGGGTTTCAATTGCAGTGCGTTTCCCTACCTTATTTACCGGGCAATAGATGAAATGTGAGCGACGGTACCAAAGCATCGCGAAATTTCAATGGCTGACACTTTCCTTTGTGCAGACAGGAGATTTCAATTCGCTCATTCTTCTGGGGCTATATCTCGATCCCCGTTCTGTGAGTTCTTTCGATGGGTGGGCGGGTGGCCCTCCTGATAGACATCTCTGTTTCTTAGTGCGATCATGGAGCAAATTGCCCTCGGACCGCAGAATTCTTATAAAGAAGGCGACTTTAAAGAGACTGAATGTAGGGACTTTGTCAGTGCCGCCGACGAGAATTCCCCCCTCCTCCCTGAGGGTAGTCCCATGATGAAGGGAAATGACGATCCTCGTGACTCTGAACACGATGGCGAAATCGCGGTGCGCGAACCATTTACCGGGGTTATGACAGGGAAACCGGTCCGGGAACAGTTATTGTCGAGTTATTACTGGTGTGTTTCTCGCGACCGATTATCTGCCATGGGGGGAACTCAGACTTGCATGATGTGACATGAATAGGCTCATCGTTCTCTTCCTCTGTGTCTACATGCAAGTGCTTTTGTTGAAAACGCCTCGCCCGACACTTATACATTTTCTCTTCAGGACACGCATCAATTATTTCATCCAAACAGTCTTCCAACAAATGCTGTTCTATCTTAAAGACCATGCTCTCGCTGAGAGCGTCGCTACCAGTTTCACAGTGCTATTGCCTTTAGGGGGTGTTGTTGGTATGGACGCTTTCCCTACACTCTTTGCGATTCCCTTGGTCCTGACGTCACTGACGTGACGGTGACAGGAGTTCCGATCATCGGTTGGATTCTAGACAAGAAGGGCGTCGGATTTACCTCACTTGTCATATTCTTCTCGGGTATCCTTTATGGGGTATTAGGCATCATGCCTAGTCCTCCAATGCAACTAACATCTATCGCGATCTTCGTCGTACTTAGACCACTTATATATACATTTCGTAAGATCCAGTTTCACGTTGTGGTTGGTTCTACTGACCGTTTCATTCAAATTCCAGTGAGCGATTACATCGGGAAGGCTTTTGGTTATGAAACCTTCGGAACTGTGTATGGACTACTTAATTGCATTGCTGGTCTGTTCGGTCTGATCCTCCGACCCATCGATGTGTTTGCGAAGAATACACTTCATGGAGACTACACTGTCGTGAATGTAGTCGGGATTATTCTGGGCGCAATTTCGGCTACGATAATTTCTTGGAGGATATACCACCAGCCACTACGGGGTGCTGTCAACGAGCTTTAGCGGTTGTCTCTGACTTCTGCGTCAACGCCCCCGAGTGCTTTACATTGCTTTCCCCGATGTCGCTGGAGTTTCATTCGTGTAATATCGTTCTAGAAGCTTTTGCACCATTTTCCTAGCTTGCTGCGGATGATTATGCGATCCACTAGAAGACTCGCATTGCATCGCAGTCTACATGTATTATCCCACGCGGTGCTCCACAGGACGATACGTAATTTCGGAGCAACTGACCCTGTAAGCGCGGCCGTGGGATTCCCACGCTGATCCAAATTGAATTCTGAATGAATGCCAGCCGAGGGCACTGCCGGGCTTCGTCACCTCCTGCAGTCCTCGCGAGATCCTCCTGCATCCACTATAAAGCCGGGAAAAATCGAGTGTCAGTCCATTTCTGTAGACACATTGAACCGTCCTCTTGTTCTCGCCACGTCTTCCTTGCGGACAGTTTCAGCTTGGAGTCGGCTATCCTCGATGGTCGCAACCCCACAATCTTCTTCGTCGGCTAGTAGCGGCACTGGCGTCCTCGTTGATGTCCCTCCTATCGTTTCTCCCTCTCGGGAAATACCTACCACCTTTTCCTGTGAGTTGTCTTCCTATGAATTAAAGTCAAGCGCTGAAGTCCCCATGCAGCCAGTTTGAAATCATGGTGGGCGACCAGCGAGGAACAATCTGCCCTTTCCGAAGAACGGCTATTTAGACGTATCCCCTTCTTTGTTTCATCTCGGCCCAACTCGCTCGATAGATGCAAAACCCTGTCGGACACTGAGCTGATCGCCACTCCCACCTCTCCATCTCCTAGATCGTTTGGCGTCACAGCAACAGTAGCTCCAGTACACCTCCCTTCTGATCCAAAGAAATACCTCAACACCCTGTCTATTATCCCCAATAATATTCTGGACAATCATCAGATAAGAGTTCAGGCGCTACCCTTATTCAAGGGGGCGAGGCGACAGTCATGCTTCCTGGATACGGCGCAGGGATAGGATTTTTTTTCCATAATTTCGAGCCATTATCCAAATGGGTGACTAGTGCATCCACGCGAAAAAGGTCCAACTCCTCTTCTTCGTCTGCCCTCGGCGATTCTTCGCCGTTGACTGGCTGGGCATGGGCCGTAGCGCACGCCCCAACTTCCCAGCATCAAGTATAATAAAGACGACGTCCAGTCTCGTGTGGCCCAGGCCGAATCTTTCTTCATCGAATCACTTGAAGAGTGGCGCCAAACCATGGGTATCGAGAAGATGAATCTAATTGGCCACTCCCTTGGTGGATACCTCTCCACAGCATATGCATTGCGGTACCCCCAACGCGTGTCTAGACTGATTTTGCTGAGTTCAGCTGGTGTTCCACATGACTCGTATTCTCTCGCGGTGGAGCAGGAACTTAGCGAAACGACACCAGAGGGAGCTGATACGGGTCGAAATACTGATCCCGCTCGGACACCTTCGAAACATGAAGTAGACGCTCGGCATCAGTCAAAGTGGAGACAGAATCCAACTACATTAACGAGGTTTGCATTGTGGGCATGGGAGCAAGGGTGGAGTCCCTTCACGATAGTGAGGAGAATGGCTTTTTGGGGCCCTATGGTTGTTGGGAAGTACTCCTCTCGTCGGTTTGGACATCTGGGCGATGACGAGGTACGAGATGTGCATGACTATATCTGGCACATCACTGTTGCTAGAGGTTCCGGGGAGTATTGCGTATGTGCGTGTGGATTCTTCTCTGTTGTCTCTCGTTCGATCCTTATTCATCGAGTTGGATTCAGCGCACCTACTTGCCCCGGGTGCGCATGCCAGGTTACCATTAGTTGACCGCGTACATGATCTCAAGATACCAGTATCTTTCATCTGTGCGTACAGGTTCCCCCCCCGTCTTCTTCGTGAGCTTTATTCATGGTGACTTCTGGCAGATGGCGATCAAGACTGGATGGATCCATGGGGTGGTCGGCAAGCTGTTGAAAATATGAAGAAAGCTGGCAATCCGGATGGAAGACTCCATATCATTCCTGGTGCTGGACATCATTGTGCGTAGGCTGTCGACCTCGTTCCTGTTAGATGCTGCCACCATAACTATTTTAATTTTTTTTAGTATATTTGGACAATCCCGAGGCGACAAATAAACTTATACTCAAGGAGCTAGAGAGGAAACCCACCATGAATCATTGAGCCGTAAGTGTATAGAGACGAACAGCGAAGCATAATTTGAGTTTCACCACAAGTCCCCGTGTAATGTACATTGTGCATATGTGGAGTAATGATTAATGACTTGAATGGCCGTGTTTCGGACCTCAGTCAAGGTTCATCATCTAAGAGCAGGCTTGACTTTCAGTGGTGGCGGTGGCGTAGCAGCGATTCGTATATTGTTCCAAAGGGTTTGGGCCAGAACCCCGCTCGCTGGAAGGACGCACGATCTCAAACGGAATTCCACTTCCGCACCTTCACTAGGCATATTTCAGACATCTCCATGACCCCAATGATGCCAGATGCACATACATGCCCACGCAGTGGGTTCTAAGAGCCAGGAAGGTACGCACTCGAATTGCTATGTATCACTCGCTTTAACCGTGTTCGTAACCAGGAGTGGAGCTTGCATTCCACACGCATCGCATTCGCCCCAAGGCATACAAACAGTGATGTCGTCGGCGCCTCTGACCGAATGCCCAACTGGGGTAACCGATGAACTCGTAATCACGCCGCGGTTTATGGGGCCCGAAGTCCCGGCGAAGATGATTGGAGGTCATATATCGAATGAATCGGTGTAGGGATGCATCCGCAAACGAACTCGTCAGTATCCGAGAGAAGATGCATCGTCATGCAGCTTGCGAAGTTGGGCTTGATATATCTCTATTCCGGGGACAAGAGGTTCCAGGGGGATACGTCCAAAATATAGGAATCGAGCATCTACCCGATCGTTCCAAGGGAAGATTGATGGTAAGTGGCGCAACTGGTTATTCAATCGTTCGCTCCAAGATCTTTGCGGCGAAGCTATTGTACGTTCATATAGGGGTCAGGTTATGGGAGGGGCCACCGCGACAGAAAAAAACCAAAGTAAAGTTCCACAAGGCGCAGCTGTGGAGAGCCTAATTCGTGAGCTAAATGGGCTCAGGAAATGATTCGGAGTCCCGGAATGATGATGGAGACATGCAAGTGCACTGAGTATACTGCAAAGGCAGATGCCTAGAGCCTCGCATCCGGATCTGCAACTTCTCCCTCCGCTGCCCTACAGAGGACAGCCATGAGACGGATTGTTGAATGTGCTGATCGAGCGAATATCCATTAGGTACGCTGGCGGGAGTCGGCGAACCGATTTGGAGCGTGGGGGAAAGACTTCAACCGACGTCCTGGACCGACCTTGCCACCCACAGATTTTTCTCCCTGTGCAAATTATTCAGTGTCTATAGGCTCGGAGACAAATCCTTCCGAATTGTGGGCTCTCCGGGCACAAGGGTTCTAAAGCCGTATCATCTTTGCAGGATTCCTTGCAAACTCGACTGCATGGGTGGCGTGATAACCGCTCGGGAGCTCTGGTGGCGTATCAGTACGCCGGCCCAAATGCCAGGGATAGGGATCATTAGGCTTGTGCATGTGAGAGCGAGGTGCCGAGGATCAAAGGATGTTTGTTCTAAAAGATCCAATGACAAGACATATCTGACGCAGCATTGGCCATTGCGGTGCTGATGGGCATTGGGGGCCGTACAGCTTTGGATTGCTTCTCGGTTGAGACTTATTGCATTGTTTAGATCAGTAGCCCGGATGCTCTTGGCCCAAGCCGCCAACAATTGTATACACTCATTTGAAACCCATGTCATTCGATCGTCGGCCTCCCATGACAGTACAGTAGCTGAGAAGGTTTGGTGCCGCTTCGCAAATCGGTGAAGCGCAGGTTGATGTGGAGGCGTGGCTTACAAGATAGCTGGTTTTGGTTCTACGTGAGTGTGGGAACTGAGTCATTGTTGCGCGTATTGTCATCATTATCATAGTTATCGAGTCGCGAAAAAAGTCTTGTGACCGTTGGCGCATCCCCTCTGGCTTTGTAATGCCCACCACTTTTGGCCTCCTCCAATGTAATAGAATGCTGTGGCCATCACCACAATCCTCCACGCGGCTTTTGACTGGCTTTTGTGTGGAAGAAGTTTGTTCGTTGCCAAGGGTTTTGTTCTTGATTACATAATCGATCACCTTCTCCCTTTGTGCATGTGCACAGCCACTGTCTCACGCCCTTGCTATTGTTCAAACCTTGCAAAGGCTTTGTTGTCCTTCACAATGCTGCCACTCCTCAAAAGGCCTGCAACCTACAAAAACCGCCCTCTCTCTCTCGTTTCAAGCCGTTTCGTTTTTGCCCCTCATCATCGACCATGTCGGTGCATTCGCCTCAGAGCATGTCTGTGACATCGATTTATTCAACCACTTCGACTTTCGACGTCTCCCCTCCTCCGTCCCCTCCTGGGGCCCCATCCTCGTTCTTCGACCATGGCTCTATCACTAAGAAGAAACCAGCCTTTCCGGCTATCCCAAGGCCATCTTGGCTAAGCAAAGTGTCGTCAAATTCGTCATCAAACCAAGGCCCATCGCCGGCGCCACAGCCGGTAAGAATTTCTGAGCCTATAATCGGCTCAGCCCTCGATAACTTTGGTGCCACCCAGCGCTTCAAGACTGCTATTTCTCGGACGTTAGGGATGGGTGCTCAGGTCGTTCGTACACCCGACGAAGCTCTGGCACATGTCCGGTCTCCCTCCACAGATCTTGATGATCAGGAATTTGGTCGGAACTGCTACTCCTTCGATTCTCCTCCTTCTAGCCCACTCAAAGACTCATCTGCGCCACCACCGCCCGAACTCCCAGCCCCACTCCTGTGATGCGAAATGCTTTTGCATCGAAGAGTTCCCCCAGCCTTGCTCGTACGAATACTCCCCCAAAACCAAAACGTCCTCCGCCTGCCGCCCCGATTCCGGACGTACCCTCCTCTGCAGAGGCGTCCTCCTCCCCCCTTCGTTCCGCATTAAAGAGTTCAGCCTCACCTGCAAAGACGAGCATTGAGTTGCCACCGCTCCCCAGCTTCCGCCCTATCTCCGGATTCAGTCCACCGCCGGTTCCTAGACCCATTCCTCTTATGGATCCTCCCCCACCATTTTCACCTGTGCTCCTTGCGCCATGCCTGAATCCTGAGGCTCCAGCTACTCAACAACTGGTTTCCCTTGAGACTGCGTCCTCGACATTGACAACGACGATTCACACTCTGACGGCGATCCCCTCCGATTGTCAGAGTATATGACAACAATCGTGCCTTCAGTCGCTAGCCCAAGCCCCCCTCCCTCCCCGACGTCTCCATTCGCTGCTGCTTTCCACGAGCACCAAGAAGCAGTGGGTCTTCGTGCCTCTGCGCTCCCGCTGCCGAGGAAGGGCTCAAGGGGAGATACACAATTGTATTCTCCCCCTCCCCGCATGCACATCTTCTTGGATCGTCCCTCTTCACCGTATATACACGTTCTCGCGTTTTTGCGAAGCGTGACAGCTGCTGCTTCCGCCCGTCCTTCCCTCCCTCGTGGTTTATTACAAATGCCTGCATCCTCCGCCGCACGTATGGAGGCTTTGTTTGAATTGCGAGAGGAAGCGAGGTTTTTGGGTATGGTCACGCTCGAGAAGCTCTGTGATGAAGAGATACTCCGAAGACAGCAGAATAGGCAGTTGGGTTTGAGTCGAGGTACCAGTAGTGCATCCTCTTCGAAGTCAGAAATGACTTGCGTGAGTAAGAGTGCTCACACACATAGCCCTAGTGCTGGGAGTGACACGACTTCGAACGAGCTCCACACGCTCATTGAACTCGATGTTCCCACAGAGGATGCACAAGCCAAGACTCCAACAAAACCTATATTGGTCTCTCCACCCACAACCTCACCACTCAACCTCCCATCCAAACATTCCCCTTCCCCTTCTTCTGCACCCCAAAAATCCAATTGTCCAAACTGGGTCCGGTCGACAGCACAGATCGACGTATCGAGTTTCCACCCAGAGACTGGTCCCTCGCGTCCTGATTCAGATCTTTTCGCCCTCGAGCTTCCACCATCTTTTTCCGCTCTCGCTTCTAGACCTCGTTCGAGAAGTATGAACTCTCGCCATGTGCAGCTCAGCCCATCGAAGGATGGAAGGATATGACCTCTTGAGCTCCAGGCTTATCGCCGTTCCTGGGCAGCGACACCTCGATCATTTTGTTTTCTTACTGTTGCTTTCGTGTACCATCCCGCTTGATAGACTCCTTGCTTTCCGTTGTTTCCCTACCTCAGTCTGGACATTTCGTGTTAATCAGTTCATCCAATCGTTCACCCCCATCACTCCACTCGCTTGTCCCTAAAATTTCTTTTTTCCACCTTTCTGTCATATCTTGTGGGCCCAGACAACTGTATCCATTAGTGTTTGTTCGCTCTGTGCTTCGTCTTCTCAATTTCACGACCTGTCATGGCCTCATTTTGTTCAATCACAAATTTGCGTGTGTTCGCTCTTCTCCGCCAAACTATCACCTATCTACGCTAAGAAACGTCGTAGATTTGCATTAGCAGACGTCAGGTCATACACAGCCGTAATTAGCCCGTGGGCGGGAAACGTAAGGCAACAGGTATTGTTTCGTGGAAGGGGGTGAAAGGGTAGTGGTGTACGGCACCACATCAACGTATCAGAGCTCAACGAAACCAGAAGAAACCAGAATTGAGGGTGCAGTTGTGGAGAAATCGGAAGGGGCGCGGTGAAATTGTTACAAAGTAATGATTGGCGATACGAAGGAGCGGGAAATGAAGTGATTGGAATGTTGATTTACTTCCTCTGCTCCGTCGCGAAGGGGTTGACGCTGTAAACTTTGACTACGGGCGGACTCTTCGTCAAATCCGCAGTGACAATAACCTATTACAACTTGTCAGTTCGCGAATTACGTGCGGAAATTAGCAATCGCACCGGAACGGTCATTAACTCCTTGATATCTTGAACGTGATGACCCGCTGGAAGAGTCCTCAAACCCTCGAACTTGGGCGGGACCTTCGCTGCGGACAGAAGGCGCTGATTGGACGTCTCAGTCTTGGTAACGGCCACCTCTGGGCTGGTCCATCGGCGCGCTTCAATACGACCTCATCCTCATCCTCAGTCTCATCCTCTTCGAACAACGCACTCTCGTCGTGGACAGAACGTGATGCCACTTCCATTTTGGCCGCGTGCTGCTCCGCGGTTTGTTTCACTTTCTTGAGGTGTTCATCATCGCTGTGTTCCGCAAGCCAAGAGATCACATCCTTGTCCGACCAATAGATTGACAGAGTGTATGAGTGCTCATCGAATACGTGGTTCTAATGTAGATGATTTAGTGAACAGCACTAAGCGGCACAGGTGGGAAAATATACTTCAATCGGCATCTGATCGACATGAACACGCTTCTCGATGCCAAACTCAGGAACCAGGACGTCGAAAGCAGCGTCCAAAACATTCACAACTTTCGCCTGACGGATCACGGGGCCGTAATGCTGGGTAAGATCTGAGATCATGAGGCACAGGAACAAGTGGTTCGATTGTTCTTGAGCCAATCTGGCAGAGTCTTTCTTACTAATAAGGGAACCATGGTTTAATAGCCATACGACAACACAAGCCGGACACACTCACACATTGCACTGCTGGGCAACCTTAGCGACGGAATCTCGATCCATAGCGAACTTTGGTTCCGTTCCTATGACAAAGGGTGAGCAGGTGGTAGACAGACGGCAACGCAAATGATAATACCAGGAGTAAGGACAGACTCTAATTGGCGGTGGACGATAATATCGGCGTAACGACGGATTGGAGACGTGAAATGTGTGTACAGTGGAATGTTCAATGCATAATGTCCATATTTGGCGATATCCAGCATTCCAGCACAAAAGTACTTTGAGCCATGCATTGTCTTCGCGCAAAGGAATTCAAGAATGTCGCGTTTCTCCAGACCATCGATAGCAGCCAAACTCTCTTGAAGAGCACCAGCAGACGACGCATCAATTTTGAAACCCATTCGACCTGCTCGTTGGACAAACGCTTTCTACAACGAAACTTGAGTGGGGGTCAGGGGGATAAAGCTGTATTAACGTACGATGCGACGCTCGATGGGGGCCTCATGCCTGCGAAGAAGAGCCTGCTCGGGCAGATGGAAAGCGATCTGCTGAGCGACCGCAATGTTAGCTAACAGCATGAACTGGACGACAAAGAAAGAATCAGTAAGGAAGAAGCGCAACAACGAAGGAAAGAACCTCTTCGACAGCAGCAGTCGCATCGGTAGCGGTATAGTTTTGGCAATCGATAGGTGCTCCATTAGCGTCGAGATCAAAGCTAAGTTTATTCTTTTCCATGCGAAGACACCCATTCTCGAAACGACGCGCCCTGAGTTCCTTCGCGAATTTCTACATGATACAATAAATAACACACGCTTCATTTTGGACGGGTCTTTTTACTTACGTCTAGGAGACGTATGTCCTCCTCGACAGCGGATGGCGTGTGAGCAAACAATTTGGAAGCGTCCAGACTCTTCCCTTCAATGACAGCCTGAGCTTCATCGTAGGAAAGTTTCGCAGCAGACCTAGGTACACAATATGGTTTAGATCAAGTGCTAGGCTACTAGGGAACCGATCTCTGCTACTCACTTGATGATGGTCCTGCCAAACCACTTATTTACAACTCGGGCATCCTCGGTTACAGTGAAAATGACGCTGAAGGCCAGACGTTCTTGACCAGGGTTGAGACTGCACAACTCCTCACTCAAGGTAGGGGGAAGCATAGGAACTGCTCGTTGGACAAGGTAAACACTAGTAGCACGTTTGCGAGCATCACGATCAAGAGGAGTATTCGCCTTGACGAAATGTGAGACATCTGCAATGTGGACGCCAATATCGGATGTCCCGTCATCGTTGCGTTTGATGGAGAGAGCATCGTCGAGGTCCTTTGCGCGTGGAGGGTCGATAGTAAAGATGCGCTCTTCGCGAAGATCACGGCGTGTCTCATATTCACGCTCAGGAACGCTGTGAACGTGGGTGAGGACCAACTAATGGACAGGCCAATCTATACACTCACGTCCAGGGGACTGGGGGTATGCACTTGATCACATTCTCTGCAAATTCTTCAGTAGGGAAGTTGCAATCCTTCAACAAGGCGCTGGTTTCCACTTCAACATCTCCAATAGGACCAAGCTCCTCAACGAGAGTGCCGAAAGGATGCAAAGAACTGATAGGCTATATTAAGTAGGTTAGGAGCGGAAAGCGTAGCGGTCGATTGCTGACACCTACATGGCGCTTGATGCAGGCAACAAACAATCTATCAGCATATGCCTCGGAATTCTGAACAAAATCGGGGGGCGCCTGTTCGGTGGGAATGGCAATGAGAGGAACCCGTTTATCGGTAGGCTTGAACCAAACAATCTTGGGCCTCTCAATGGGCTGCTTCTTCTCATCCTCTTCACGAATTCCTTCGCGTTCACGGCGCTCTGCCTCTTGTTTCTCCTTAGTGGCAGCAGAGGAAGGTCTAAGAAGGCCCAGGGTACCAGAGAAGAGTTGACCTGGCATGCGCTCCACTACCGCAACGACGTGACCCGCAAACTGAGGCTTGACCTCATCCGTCACTCTGTCACACAACCAAATCAACGCCACGATATTTGCATGGAGCCCACTACTCACTCTTCGTCTTCGAAAAGGATGAGACCCTGACCTTCCACTTCAACATCGTCTTTTTTCTTGTCGTTCTTTTTCGTGGCGGCGGCCTTGGAATCGTATGCAGCATTCTCTTCCTTCTTACGCTTCTTCTCTTCTTTCTCCTTCTTGGTGCCCCAAACTTCATCCACATCCAAGAGTTCCACAGCAACAATGTCCCCTTCAAGGGCGCGATTGCGGTCCTTGGAGCCACAAATATAGATATCCGCATCCAAAACTTCAGTTGCGACGTATGCGTCAGAACGGTTGCGTTTGTTAACTCGCAGTATACCAACGACGAGCTTCCCAGCGGCAAGAAGGGGAGGGAGGGATGCCTGAGGAAGGTATGGAGCGAAAAGAGACTTGCGCTGAGGCTGTTGTGCCTGTTGTTGGAGTTGCAACTATACGTAGCATTGATCGACATCGCTAAAATGGATGAGGGATTGAATGGGTCGTACCTGGAACTGTTGCTGCTGCTGCTGCAGAAGGTTGTAACCTCCGAGACCCATCATGTTAGCAGCCACCATGTTAGGCAGCATATTAGGAAAATTGAATGAAGGCATCTTCTGGTGATGACCTCCAGCCGCAGCCCTGAACTGTTGAAGGCTTTGCAATTGTGCCTGAGCTTGGGCGAGATCCGCGAATGCGCCAGTACCTGATCCATCTTAGTGAAGCCGAATTGGATCAGTACTCGTCGGCCTCAAGGCGGAAAAAATAATTACGAACTCATTCTGAAAGTGGGATCAGCACGGGAGGGCTGGCGCGAATGGCCGCCAGCTTGCGGTGGATGGAAATTATCATCAAATCCTTCAAGAGGAAAGGAGGGGGACAAATTCTGTCCTCCCTCGCTTGTATTCTTATTGATGACATTCACGCTGTGCCTCCTTCCATGACCACGAGGCAAGCTGCCACCTATTCCAGCTTGGCCGTCTAACGGAGGAACACCTACAGCACCGATGCCAAAATTCGCTCCAGGCAATGGACCGAAGTTGGCTCCGAAGTGACCCATACCCATGCCCATTGGAGCTTGACTCTGAATGCGCCGGTGACCACCTCGCATGCCCCCCATCGGTTGAGTGGAAAATGCAGAAGCCATAACTTGATTATTGGCGAGTTGCTGCTGCAACAGCTGTTGCTGCTGTTGTTGAAGAGCCTCGATCTGGGACTGGAGTGCAATCTAATGCGAACATGGTTAATCTCTACCTTCACGGCACATAAAAGGGACTCACTTGCTCGGCCATAAGAGGAGTCACACCTGTCGGTACATCAGATGGCTGGCGACGTTGAGGAGAAGTCCCAAAAGTGGAAGTCACGAGGTCGGGATGTGTTGAGGGAATTGGAATCCGCCATCATCATCAGAGGGCTTGCGACGATTGCCTCCGAACATGAAGTTGGGTGCTAATTGAGGGCGACCGCTTGGTCCGATACTCTCGCCACTCTCTTGTTGTGCCAGGGCTTGGAATCTTGGGGCTGTGAATGAGCCCATGGGAGCCTGACCAGTCGCCACACGATCACGTTGGGGAGGAGCGGGAGCAGGCTGCGTAAAGCCAGGTTGATCGTGATAAACAACATCATCAATTGAATCGTGAGAATATGCATCTTCAGCATCTTCCTGCATGACTCCGAGTTGAGCCGAGTAAGCGGGAGCAGCGAAGTGAACTGGATTGTAAGACTGGCTGCCGCTGCCCGTGGAAGCAGACTTGCGATGACGAGGAGCGGTCTCAGACAGACCGAGACCACCACTGGGTTGGAACGAAGGCGAGACACCAGAGGGGTTTGCACTGGTATTGTTGCGGGAATCCCTCCTTGTTGGTTAGCAGGAACAGCAATAGATTTGAGATCGGTGATCACGCGTTGAAGAGCGCTAAGGCCGGAGGAATTATCGGGCGCATTATCAGATTTGGCACCCGCGCCTCCACTATTGCTTCGACTAGAGGTAGAAGTAGGGGTTTGAGGTTTCTTGCCACTCGTGCTCTGGCTGTTTCGGGGCCCATGGCGAGGCCTGGAGTCCTTGGATCCGCTCCTTGCATGGCTGTCAGCAGAGGACGGACGAGAAATAGCTTCTCCAGCGGCTAGCCTCGCCGCAGGATTAGAAGGAGAGGCCGAAGACTTCTTTCCCCCCGTATTATTCGGGCGAGGCTTCGCAGAGTTACCAGTGCTTGGGGCAGGAGAAGGTTACCGCCAGAAGTGGCTTGAGGGTTGGAGGAGGGACGTTTCGATCCCCGAAGGGATCCAGTGATGGGTCTTTTGTCATCTTTCTTAGGCAAGGCTGCTCCTTGAGAAGGTGGGCTGGAATTGTCAGACATGTCGTTTATCGTGAAACCTTGGAATGCTGGAATGAATTTTTAAAAGAGGTTACGGCCGGTGATATCTGGATATATTACTGAAGAGTTCCGTCGGGTTACGGGTCAAAGCGATCTGTTCGATCCTGGGTGTGTGAGCCAGCAGTGAGCAATGAGGCGATTGACGACGCGTGTTTGTGTTGGAATCGGACACAGAACGCGAACAATTAGATTAGACGTACAGTTACAGGTTTTTATGGGTATGTGAGCCCCGGCGGGGAGTGTACGGCAGGATGGAAGTGAGTGCCAGATGTGGCTTGGAAGTTGGAAGGAAGTGATGAGGGGGTGAAAGGATCAGCGCAATTGTGATGCTTGAGATTATGTAAGCAATCCCCGCGACCAGTTCGGACCCCTGGGCGCTTGTCACTGACAACACGCCAAAAATCTGCTGTGTGTATACTCTCCATTATAAGGACCTACCCACTGGTCAGGGCTTCTACAGGTCACTACAAAGCAAACAAGAGGGAGAAACTCGAGAGGCGCTGATCCTCCAAAATCATGTGTTCTACAATACATTATACAAAGCTCAGGGGAGTTTCCTGACTATGGCCTTGGTATAGTCCTTCGTCGAAGCTTTCCCGCCAAGGTCTCCTGTGATGTATTTCCCTTCCGCAATTGTCTGGGGTTAGCGATAAAATTAGTGATTACGCTAAGGCAACAGATTTTTAACAGACCGATAGAGTAGCATCCTCAATCTTTTTGGCATATCCATCCAAGCTCATATGCCTGGTTTGGGATTTTGGTCAACATTACAAAGCAGTGAAAGACAGGTCTCCTCTACCTTAACATCATCATCGAGGACAACAATAATGCGGTTGGATTCGCCAGACCCTTGCCTATGGAGATTGGTGTCAGTCTCCTTGCGTCGGGATACTTTATCCCGGGAACAAAGTACCAGCAATGTCGGGGGCTGAACCATGAACAGCTTCAAAAATGGAAGCATCCTGAAGACGGTTATTAGAAACCGAGCAATAGTCCCAAATGAGAAGCCAGACCTTTCCAATATTTCCAGATGGCGTAAGTCCCAATCCACCGATGAGACCAGCGCACATATCAGACAAGATATCACCTGGAGTGGACGATACATTCAATTCAGGCGGGTGGAGATAGCCCAAGAACCTATACTTACCATACAAATTTGGCATCACCATCACGCGGTCAGCATACGGCGCAGGATTCTGTACGATCTTAAAGGGATGGATTTAGATTCCAGCGTGAGCGTGAGCGAGAGACACGTACTTGTAAGCAGACGCGATCTAGAAGGTCCTCGTCATACTTGACGTCGGGAAATTCCCCCGAGACTTGCCGGCATGCATCCAAGAAGAGCCCATCGGATAATTTCCTAAGTACAAACTCCAGCAAACCCACAACATGCAAATTCCATGGTCGATACTGACATGATATTAGCTTTGTGCACTGCAGTGACTCGTGGTCTGTTTTGGGCCCGTGCGTAGTGGAAGGCATATCGAGCAACACGCTCGGATGCCTCGCGAGTGATAAGTTTAATTGACTGAACAACACCGTCGACTACCTAGACCAAGAGTGTCCATCACGATCTCCAGGCCTGATATGACTTGCATACCTCGTGCTCAATACCTGAATACTCGCCTTCGGTGTTTTCGCGGATGAGAACAGTGTTGACATTATCGTAGGGAGTCTTGTATCCTTGATGGAAAGACACGGGCGAACGTTGGCAAAGAGAGAGAATGTTCGTCGTAATGTTAAGTTGAGTGATACGTGTCCCTTTCCGACTATGAGCGGGTGAATTTGCCTCGTGATGCGCAGAAAGATATACTTAAACATAACCTACTCGGGGTGGCCAGCGGACCTAGAAGGTAAACTTGTCAGGGTTCATCGTCAACAAAAGGCCCCAGCCTACTCACCCTTAAGGGCAACAGTGTTTTTTTTAACGCTAGCGATCGCCTCTTCTGGGATCACGGTTTTCCCATTCACTAGGATGGGGTCAACACTGACCTCTTCCCAAACAATGGGAACCTTGCATGCTATTAACACCATGGAGGGTTATAATGATTTCATAGACATGCCTTAGCGGCCGCATAAATTTCCTTTATGGATTCGCTGATCTCCGGACCAATGCCTGGGGGTTGGGATATGAAAACAGTCCGGGCCTCGGGAGTCAAACCAACGGACCATCACCAGGGATAAGCGTAACAGTGTATTTCCCCTAAAATGAAAAAAAATTGAGGGTTCCGTGCCACACATAATGAGAGAAAACGCACGTCTGCATCCTTCTTCCCAGCAAAAGCAGCAGTTGGACTGGCACTCGTCGCGTATGACCTCAGCTGATAAGGCCAAACCCAGGGATCTCAATACTCTACAAGAACAAATAAAAAGAAGACACACCGATTGACGCCTGAGGGCGAATGCGAGACGTCTGGACGCCAGCATCTTTGGTAAAAACCAAATTTCGTCGCGAAGAGCGTGTCAGTCCGCAACAAAGTGTCGAAACGGACAAACACGGGAGTCCCACGCTCGGCAACCAAACTGTGTGATCACATGATCAACTTGTCCCTGAGTTCGCCGAATTTTTGGTTCTCCCATTGTCGAGTTCACTTTGGCTGACATCTCACGCTTGTCACTGGAGATTTCGGAGGATGTTCTCCTGCTAATTCTCTGTCCTGTGTGTCAGGTCATCCCATCCCTTCTATCTGACGATTCCGCTTTATCCTGGCCTCATGAGGTGAATAGGTGGTTTTGGGGCACACACCACATCTAAAGCGGATTTTCCATCGCTTGCGGCAATAGCCCTGTCGCACATTTGGCACATTGCTTTCATTCATTTGTCGGGTCGAGTTTGGGTTGTCTGCTTCTTGCTTTATGCCTTCCGTCCCTTAGTTCCCCGTTCGTTCGTTGAGTCCTCCCCTCCCGTGTCTTTGGTGTGCACGTGCGAGTGCTTGTTGTGTTCTTCGGTTGCCTTCGGTTTTTCATTGATCAACGAGGACTAGCTTTTTAGTTAGCTGTCATGCAGCAGAGTTGTCCGGTTATATTTAGAGATGGGCATGAACATGCCGGTTCATGAACCGGTTCATGAACGTTCATAAACTTTGGTTCATGAACCTGCAGGTCATGAACTTTCCCACGAACGGCCGTTCACGTGAACTGGTTCATAAACTTCAATACATCAATAGATTTTCTATTAGCCCAGCCACCGCAGACCGCCGTTTAGCCACTACTTCAATTATAATTCTTTCTGCTTCGCCTCTTCAGAGCTCAGACACATGTTAGACACCCCTCTGATAATAGACTGGTCAACAGATGTGGATGTGACACAGACAGGAGAAATTATGGATGTCCAGGCTATACAGTTGGGCTGGAGCGATGCAAATGTTGCAGGTGTGTCGATGTCGTCCTTATCACATTTGCTCGGTTAAACTATCTTCAGAGCATACAACAGACACCGGCGGAGGAGTGAATAATATGCTCACTTTAATCAAACACTCTCGCGGGTTCCAGCCAAAGGCACGGAACCAGCTCATTTGTCGTATTCTCATGTTTGCGAGTCAAGTCATCCTGGTTGCTGTCATGTGCAGAACATGTCCACAGATAAGCTCAAACAGAAGGCTATGAAATGTAATGTGGCTCATCTTGGTGTCATCTCATCCCTGAAAACTCTGCTGCGGCAAAATTTGACCGACACTACCATCACATGCTTGTTGCCCCGAATGCATGCATGTCCAGTTTATCTTTCGAGCTAGTGCTGATTTGGTCTACTCATATCAGCCCTATAACTGTTATGGCAACCTCGACAGTGAAGATGACGATGATACGGATGATGAGCTAGACTGGTACCCCAACTCGGGGTTAAGGTTAAAACCTTAAAGAGCGAGGCTTGAGCCAATCAGAGAGCGAGAAACGGTCGTCTGGCTGGACCCGAGCTATTAGGTAACCTAATATAATGTTCATGAACGGATTGTGAACGGTTCACAAACGGTTCGTGTGACCTCCTTGGACCCTGAAAGTTCATGAACTTTGGTTCACGCAGTTCACGTGAAGTTCATGCCATCTCTAGTTATATTGTTATATCGACTGAATTATTCGATGCTGGCGAAGCAGAAGAGTCATGGTCCACTGCGTGGGTCTAGCTCGGTTTGGAAGGCGATCTCGTCCTGGCTTAAATTATAAAATAAGCAAATGACGCAACCCTTTCCCCGCTGACAATCGTTATCTCGTTTGTGTTGACTGCACGACCACTTCCCATGCTGCCCTTCAGCGAGGCCACGGCGGACCGCTGCCCATACTGTGCATCAACACGCTCATGCCATGTCCTAACGCCGCGATACTTTGCGATTCCCTATTACACTATTCGCATCGGAGCACGCCGTCATTTGCGGTTCCTTAAGTTCGGACATCCCCGCATAATCGATAGGACAAGCACCAAGGCTCAAATTGTTGCTGTAGCATTTTCAACGGCCAAGCATGGCAGACCATAAGACTGACGCTACCGCCCTGATTCTTGTTGACGTGCAGAATGACTTCCTCCCACCCGATGGATCTCTCGCCGTCACTAATGGCCGTGCTATCCTTCCAGTCATTCACAAGTTACTATCAAACCCAAGCGTATTCGATCTTATAATTGCCACCCTCGTATGTCGACTGTGTGCCACTCCACTAGGCAACTAAATTGAAAAGGGTTTCTTTTAGGACTGTGAGGCGCGGGCACGTTTGATGTGTGCATGAGATGACGTTTTGCCGCAATAGACCATCCTCCTGGGCACGTCTCTTTCGCGTCAACTCATAAGGCTCAGCCATTCACGTTGAGAGACATCCCCAAATTACATGAGGCTACGACCACGCCCCAGATGCTCTGGCCCGACCATTGTGTGCAAGGGACTCAAGTGAGCTTAGGTTAAACTCATTGGGTATGGCCGTTCACGCGACTCGCTTGCGCAGGGATGCGAGATTGAACCGACAATACAGAAAAGACTTGACGCCATTGAAGGAGTACAATACGTTCGAAAAGTTAGCAATAACTCACCTCTGACCTTCACGAATTGAACTCCCTCGACAGGGCACGAACCTTGCAGTTGATGCGTACTCAGGGTATCTTGTCCGAACTTGGTCCATTTCTTGTACCAATTCTTTCTGTTAGTTTCGCCGACAACCAGTACACACAGTTCACCTCGCTCCCACAGATACTTCACACCCATGGTATCAAGAAAGTGATCATTACAGGGCTTGCTACAGATTACTGCGTTAAATTCACTGCCATTGACGCGCGCAAGTTTGGATTCAAGACGCTAGTGGTGGAGGATGCCGTTAGAGCCGTAGATCCTTCGAAAGTGGACACAGTCGTTGACGAACTCAAAGAGTGGGGTTGCGAAATTATTGCAGCAGATACCATATCGAAGCAGTGACGGGTAGACCAGCTTGAGAAATCAATGGTAGTTCAGTGTTTAGGATCTACGTCTGGATGGGAATTGCATGGAAGTATTACATTTGTGAGGGTATAGCAGCCCTTGGAGTTGGAGGGCAAAAAGTGCAACGCATAAATCAAAAGAATTCACCCATTTATTAGTCCCTCTAATTGCCTACGCATCCTGTCCATCTCTTCCTCATGCAAGGCTTCCTCCTCGACCTCATTCTTAGAGTACATTTAAGTAAAAAAGGTAACGGCTTGTACGGAGGCGCACTTACCGGAAGAGTAGTACTGACTTCGCCAACCTTTCCAAATTTGCCGTCCGTAAGCTCGAATAACACTTTGTCGACTTCCTCATTAGCTTCCTCTTCTAGCTCCTCGTCTTGATCAAGCTCCTCTAATGTGTCGTCGACCATTTCCTCCATGATACCTGCCTTCACACGGAAGGTGTCAATGCAGAACAGCAGGCCACACGGTGGAAAAAAGAACCTTGGTCATCTCCATGCTCATCTGCCGCATTACACCACTTATTTGCGGGAGTTTTATAGCCTCGTTGCTGAGCTTGAGAATCTCTGTAGATTTCTGTAGCGATCCGGTTATTTTTGAAAGGGCTATCCACGAATATTAGAGATCGCATAGAAGCAAGGATGCCGAGAGCTCGCACAAAGCTGGTTCTGCAATTGAATCCCGATGGAACCAAGCCTTGCCTTGGCGACACTCATCCGATCCTTCTGTTTATTGCTGCGCACTATCTCCTTGGCAAGTATGCGCGAAGATTTGACGTCGCCTTTGTTGGCGAGTTGCTTCAGCGATTTCCGAGCCTTGTCCGTCTCCATGTCCAGCTGTGAATACCCTAGGGGTTAATCGTGACAATGACTCTCAGTGCACAATTCACTACGACTCGCCCTAGACATGTCTCGGTCAAGCTGCCGTGACTGCTTCCTGAGCTCCGCCTGCCATGCTTTTATGCGTTCTTCAGGCGTAGGCCCATAGATGAAGCGCTGCACTGACTTGTACATGGAATTTCGGAAGTGAGTGATACTGATTTCACATCACGTGTATACTGAATGAGGCGCTAATTTTTGGTTCAAGGTTCATGTATCCCTGGGATCCGAGTACGGATGGCGGGATGAATCATGAAAGTGTGCCAAATAGATAGTTGATTGGTTCGCGGCGCCACGTAGTTTGTGACAAGTGCTCCATCAACAAATTGTGATTCAATTGACACGTATGCAAATTAAGTAAGTAAGGGAACTATGTATTTTTGTATTCAAGCCGTTTGAAAACACATTTTGTTCTTATCCCTCCTTTGTGCTGTAGACCAGAAGTATAGCCAAAGGTTCCAAAGGTTCAAAAATGCGATTCCTATCGCAGGCCTCGCTCCTGTCCTTATCTCTGCTTTCGGTTTTCGTTTCTGCTCAAGATGCTGAAGGCATCGTGAAAAAGTCATTCGGATATCAGGTGAGTTTGCAATTCCCAAGTGCGATTCACTGATAAACTAAGTGGCATTTCACAAAGTCCGACGTCGCTCGTTTGCGCAAGATTGTTATTAACAGCTTATACTCTCATCGTGATGTCTTTTTGAGGGAGCTTATTTCCAATGCAAATGATGCACTTGAGAAACTACGCATTACCAGCCTCAAAGAGGGTTTCCACATCGAGAACCCAATGAACATCTCTATCAAGGCTGTCAAAGAGGACCAAGATGGGAAGAGTCGCCTTGTCGTCACTGGTACTTCCTTTGTCTTCTTCCTCGTGAGTGCGCTGACAAATTTGGGATAGATTTTGGTATCGGGATGTCTGCGGAAGAACTGGCTACAAACTTGGGAACATTGGCTAAATCAGGAACATCTGAATTCCTAACGAAAGCTGAGACTGATTCTTCATCCGCGAACTCGTTGATTGGTCAATTCGGTGTTGGCTTCTATTCTGCGTTAGCTTATTCCACGGCCTTGGGATGATTTAATACTCACAGTGTCCCCCTTTCCCCAGATTCCTGGTAGCTGATCAAGTCTACGTCGCATCACTTCCTGGCCCGACTAAGGAGAATCCAGACCCGACCCAGAATGTCTTTCTGAGGCAAGTATGCCTCTCAAGACCGCAGAAATGCTTATTGGCACATCCTGACTCGGTGCCTCTTTTCAGCTCTTCAGAAGGTACCGATTTCACTGTTTATCCGGATCCGAGGGGAAACACCCTCGGGCGTGGCACTGAGATCACGCTTATCATGAGGAGCGATGCAACGGAGTATTTAGATATTGAGACGCTGAAGTCCTTGGTGTATGTCTGGGCTTACTTTCCATTCTTGGAAGACATACCGACTTGTCTAAACGGCTTACCAGTCAGAAACACTCTGCCTTCACGACGTCTTATCCTATCTACCTTCACCACTTCAAGACCGAAGAAGTTCCGGACCTCGATGCTGTCATTGAGCAGGTAACGGAGCCAAAACTGAGCCAAAGGAGGAAGAGCCAGTCAAAGATACAGAGGACGATGAAGATTCCATCGAAGACGTTGTCGAGGGAACGACCGAGCCCACGGAAGAGAAGCCGCTGACCGTGCCCATGAAGAACGTCACTACTGAAGAATGGGTTCATCTGAACGACCAGCCCCCCCTTTGGCAACGGTACGCATGTTTACTCGCCGGGTGGCTTGCGGTGACTAAAGGACTCGTTTTAGTGACCCTAAGAACGTTTCCAAGACCGAATACGACGACTTTTTCCGTTCTACGTTTAAAGATCCTAACGACCCCCTGGCCGTTCACCACTTCAAGGGCGATGCCGGCTCCGTTTCCTTCAAAGCATTGCTCTTCATCCCACCCAACTTGGACACTGAGTTCTGGCAGAGCAGCAAGATTGCCGCTGGGTCTCTGAAGCTTATGGTGAAACGTGTGTTCATTACAAGCGACTTCGGTGATGCTTCGTTGCCAAAGTGGATCTCGTGGCTTCGTGCAGTGGTTGATGGTGAGTGCCTCTACCCTTGTTAACCAAATGAATGGTGCCTCAAATCATTCTTACTTGTAGCCGATGACCTACCCCTCAATGTTTCACGCGAGACTCTTCAGTCTGGGCGCTTCCTGTCTCGGATAAAGAATGTTCTCGTTAGCAGGACCATCTCCCTCTTAGCGCGTGTCTCGGAGGAGGACCCAGAGCAATACGCGAAAATCATGGATGTCTTTGGCCCAACGTTCAAACTTGGAGCCGTAGAGAGCCAGAAAGATCGTCAGAAGATAGCCAGTTTGACGCGGTGGAACACGAACTTGAGAAACTCGACAAGTTTGGATGAGGTACGGTGTATCCCTCATTTTAGGGTGTCGAACAGGGGACTCATGTTTGGCGTTATTAGTATGTGGCCAAGAAGAAGAAAGGACAAAATCAAATCTTCTTCCTCGCCGCCGCTGGCTCAGACCCTGGGACTCTCAAGAAGTCGGTCTTCATTGAGAAGCTTCATGCTCGTGTGAGTATTCGGAATACTGCATATTCCAGCGGCCTCTCCGTGCTCAGTTGTCTCTACGCAGGGCTATGAAGTTATCCTTGCCCATGAATCCATCGATGAAATCCTCATCTCGAATCTCCGCCAGTGGAAGTAAGCAGTTTCAACTTATTTGTTTGAATGACGAGCTGAGCATTTCCCAAGGGGTCTTGTTTTCCAGGATGTTTCTAAAAAGGGGCTGACTTTCGGAGGTGAGCTCACTGAGCGTTTCCGGCATACAACCGCTTGTGTCTTTCTGACGTTCATTGTCATGCACAGATGAGGACCAGTCACCTGAGGAGGAGAAAGCGGAGCTTCAGGTTGAGGCAGAAAAATATAAGCCACTCTTAAGCCTCATCAAGGAGAAAGCTACTGGCATCGTTAAGGATGGTGAGCCTTATATTCTAAAAAAAATTAATCAAATTGTGACATCAAATTGTGACAGTTGTAATTTCGAACCGCCTCGTCACCAGCGCCTGCGCCATCGTCGCAGATCAGTTTGGCTACTCCGCCAATATGGAGAAACTTATGGCCTCGCAACAGAAAAGGAACAAAGAGGACCAGGACATCATGCACGATTGGGCTAAGAAGCAGAGAGTTCTTGAGATAAATCCTCGGTCTCCTCTCATTGAGGGTTTGTTGAAGAAGGTGGAGAAGATCAACGACGTTGCAGAAGGCGGGGAGACGGACTCAGACCTTCAGGCTGAGGTTACTGAGGTGATTTCGATTCTCATTGACAGCGCTTTGGTTCGCTCCGGCTTCGCAGTGGAAAATTCGAATGAGTGCGCGATTTGAAGAGAAAAATCCCTTTCAGGTTCTAATCACTTCTTTACAGGTTCTTCACTCGCATCGACCGTGTCCTCCGCCGCTCACTTGGCGTTTCAGAGCACGCACCAACTGATACTACCGTTAAACCAGCTCCTGATGTTGACGATTCCGTCAAGATTGATCCTGATGCAACGAAAAAACTGGCTGCGCAATTGGATGAGGATGAGAAAGTCCCTGATTTACCACCCAAGTTTGATGATCAGATCTTCTTTGATGACCTCCCTGGCGCAGACGCCGCATCCAATCTCAAAATCGATGTAGAGGAACTTCCAGATGATGCTCCGGCACATGGCGAGCTGTAATCCAAGTTGTAGCACTGAAGGAAAATTCAGTTTTGGGTGATGGCTGTACATTAATCGGACATTTCTCCCAATGCCGATCTGAAATTATCTATCCCGCCTTGTGACTGTTAGTGTTCACTGTTGAGTCTAATTTTGTGGCAACTGGCATCAACCTGCCAGAAAAGGAACACATGGCCTAGACACGTGATCTTAGGACCCACATACGTTGCAACAATTGCGTCTCAGGAATGGTGCGCTCTACCATTATTGCTAGGGCCTCCGATGCCTTACCACTGGCAGCCAGTTCGGATGATGAACAGGCATGTTTTTAATCTGTGTTGGAGTATGTTATCTTACACCACACTCCTAAATAGACTGAGCAAACCCTCCACGAGCACAAGCAGCAAGCAAAGCTCATCTTTCGCCGCATCACCCCAAATTCAGAGCCTAGATGCTCTATAGAAAGCGGTCCTTATACTCTGCAGTGAGTCCAATTATATCACTGGTGTTCCTATGACATGGGCCGTTGAAGCTGACTTGATGGACGTTAAGTTATTTGATATCAGAAAATGTCGTATACCTCACTATAACTGAGAAATCTTATCCAAGAAGGCTTGCTTTCTCATATTTAGATGAGCTCTCGAAAGAATTTCTGACAGTGTATGGGCCCAAAGTGGAAACCACACGGAAGCCGTACGCTTTCGTGGGTTTTGGTACGTGTTTATTTGCTCTATGAGGGTCGGGGAGACACTAATTCCGCCCCCATTGCAGATACCTTTATGCAGAAAACGGCACGATTGTACCAGGACACTCGGACAGCCGCTGCTGAATCGAATCTGGATCGTTTGAATTCGGACTTGCAAGATGTAACCCGTATCATGACGAAAAACATGGAAGAACTCCTGTGGCGAGGCGACAGCCTTGACAGTAGGTTGATTTGGCATCGTTGCGGTATTATCGTTTGACAATAGTATGCTTGAACCAGAAATGTCACACCTTTCGTCTTCACTTCGCACCGAGTCGGAGAAATATCGCAGAGCTTCCCGCGACATCAACTTGCACGCCATGCTGCGACAATGGGCGCCTGTAGGCGCATTTGCATTCATCTTCGTAATATTCATCTGGTGGCGATTCTTCTGAGTGCAGGAGCACTGTAATTATTATATCGTTTGGCCATCTAACTCATCGTAATATTCGTCTTTGTTATCAATATCAACTAATCCACCTTGCAACCCATCCGCTATTTCGTCCAAACCCAGGACTGGCAATCGAAAAGGATGTTTCCGCATTCTCCCTCCAGGTTTCCGCGGGAACATAATTCGATCTTTCTCGAGCATGAGACGCCTAATGGTTGCATCACGTTGCGTTTGTGTCTGAGATGATGGGCGAATGCCGGCTTCCGCTATCGCACAATTCCGCACAGTGCTAATCAATAAATCCAATGGCACGTCAACTCTTTCACCTCCATCTGCTGCCTCTTCAGCTTGGCTCCGTGACTCTTTGTCGGAGGCTAGAGTTCGCGTCACGGTTCCTCCTACCGCTTTATGGCGGGATCCTGCATTGGGATTTGGTCGATTCACTTTAACGAGTGCGAACAAGTTTGCTTCCAATCGGTTCTCGATTGCTGTTCGATCCCTCGAAAAACCACACCAGTCGTAACTTGTGGCGTCTGGATTGCTAACAAGATTTTCTCGAAAAGGTGTGTGGAGAATTGTCTCCGTGAAAAGTTCAGCCCACGTTGGTCGACTTGGATCTGAACCATATTCGAAGGGATAACCAGCGTAGAGTTCCCCGTTTATGCGTCTGAGTATGAAGGAATTGATGATCCATTCTGTACGTCTGTTGGGAACAAGTTCGCACAACTCAAGGCAGCGCAACACCACAAGAGCGGCACTGTACTGTCGGACTCGCATGAAATGTCGAAGCCCGACGTTTAAAACTGAAACAGTCAATGTCCGGGTCCTCACTGTGGGATCTCCATATGCGAGGAACAGGTGAGTATCGATAAGATGGCGGAAAATATGGCGAGCATGTGGGAGTTTAGGGTGGCGCGAAACGGGACTGAAGCGGTCCATGGTTTTGAACAAAGTAGCGAATGTAAAAGAATCAGGGATGAGGTGGGGAGCATGCATCCTCATGAGGAAATAAAGATCATAGACAATACGGGGCTGGTTGGCGCGTCCAGCTGCGGACATTGAGATATTGAAAACAGGCAAGGTTGGCATAACCCGATCCTTAATCAGCATCCTCAGCATCCTCTGCTGAAAAGCGAAATCTAATGGATGTGTGCGGGCCCGAGACGACATGAGCGCAACGTAAGGATCGGCTCGTGCTAGCGCATCTTCGTCACCTAGATTAGAATGTCGACGGAAGCGATGGAACCAGCGATACGCAGATTTGTACCCATCCGAGATTACTGATGCACGAATGAAGATGGAAGTTATGGCAGCGCTTCCAGACCAGTCCAAATCATTGTCATTGACGTATTTGGTGAGCCAGTCCAGCAGCTCGATTCGAGTTCGGGTCTCCAGCAGCTTCTGATGAAGAATGTAAAAGCTTTTTATACTTTGTTCGATTATGATGGGCTTTTCTTCCGAGTCAGCTTCTTTCCCTTCGGCAGGCCAAGCCTGGTAACAGGCATGGGCTGCTGCTCCTAAAACACTGCGAAGAGTACGGCTGCGAAGCGGGCTCCTTTCCTCAAGGGCCTTGATCACAACTCGCGTAGCCACGGAGACTTCACCACGTGAGAGCAGAAAAGCAATGCACTTTTCGTACCATGGCGAGAGACTGTTGATGTCAGAAGGAGGCTTGAGGATGGCGCCGAATGCTCGAGCATAGTCGCCATTCCGAAGATGGTCTCGAATACGTGCGAGCTGCTTCTTCGCAGTCAATGGGGGCTCAGGTGCTGTCTGTTCTGCATTATGTATGCGTCTAACAGTAGTGATTTTCGCGACTTCACGACAATGCCAATGTGCTGGGAGTGTAGGGCGGAGATAGATGGCAGCATGCCCTTTAGGTAATACCACATGTGCTCTGATGAACGGCATCCAGATGGTTTCATTGTGATTGGAAGGTTCAGCACATATTCGGTTAGCCCCGCTGGTAATGACCCCCCCCATTGAATAACATTACGTAATAACACTTACGCATACATTTGGTGATTAGTGGTCATCAATGTTTCCTCCAAGCTCGGAGGGCTGGGCTCTAGGCGGTAGTTACACCAGGTTACGAACTATGATGCCTCGAAAAGACTCTCTTGGAGAACAAGCTTGCGCAGAATAAGAGCTGGTAGAACCCGACGGGCGTCAATGCGATCCAAAGACTACTGCGAAATGATTGTCCCTGTGAGGAAATGCGAACACACAAACTCTCCAAAAGAGCATCTCTCCCTCGCCTCTCTGAATGTCAAGTTGGGCAATAAACAACACAAGGTATTTGGTGTACAGAAGTGTGGGTGGGGGTTGGAGGTATCGCAGATGTTCGGTTCAAAATACGCGGGGAATTTTGTTCACGAGTCAGAGCTACACCCACGACAGCCTGCAGAATTGGGACATTAACTGAAAACATGCAAGTGCTCAAGGGAGAACTCTTACCGCAATGAACGCATTGGACGATCGTTCCCTTCTTCACTTGAGCCTTAGGAACGCGACAGATGCATGTAGAACCCTGGAAGTTCATATCCTATTGAAAGCCTCAGCGACTTCAAATGACGATAAGGATCACTCGACTTACTCTCGTTTGGATACACCGTACGCAGCAGAGTTTCTCGTACCCAGGCTTCTTCCATTTCGCAATGAGACTGTAGATTGATTTTGTCAACAATTATCCCTCCTTCGTGGGCATTAAACTCACTTTGCATCAGCGTATCCCTCCTTTAACAGCCAGTCATAAAGTCCCTTGGATATCGCCTCGCGCTTGTAATACAACTCATAGATATACCTTGACCTCGTATGTGATATACGCATAATAGGCCAGAGGGACTCGGCTTTGCGCTTTCCCTCGTGGCTCTCATTCTCGGCATCTCGCATCTTCTTAGAGTAGTCATCCAGAATCTACCACAACCAGAATCAGTCGCACCAAGAAGTTCCATAGCTGTGCTGACCTACACTTTCTATCTCCTCAAAGCCCTCTGGGGGCTTCTTTGTTCGATTAGTACGTATTTTAGGCATTTGGCGAAAGCACGTTGAGGTCAAGTGCCAACGCACGGAAGATGCCGCACCAGCGTGATTGATAATGATGTATGGAAACAGGTCTAATACCGAAGCACACAAATACAAATTTTTCATTCTACAGAGACAGGATGAGGTGTTGGAACAGCAGCCGGTCTCGGAGGACCACTACCACTCCCAACACCGGGAATCTGGGGACCTGAAGGTGTGAACATCGCATACGAGCCACCACTGGGTAGTGGAGGCAGCAAGGGAAATGGGGAAACGATGGCGGGAGACGAGGGTTTAACTTTACTTGCTGAAGTGGAAACTACAGTACTTGGTGCTGGAGAAGCGGCATTTGACGGGAGCCTATTAAGAACTGGTGAGGTTGAGCCTGTCTTCCGCAACGCAACAAGAGATGGCGAACTTGGTACAACGTTCGAAGCGGGGGGCAGGGGGGTGCGTCTTGAGGTGGAACTCGGAGGCTGTAGCCCTGGATAGTGCCTGAATTACGCCTGTGCGAAGGGGATGGAGGTCGTGCAGGTTGAGAGGGAGGCCGAGAAGGTGGTGGATTTGGTTGATAGAATTGCAATGAATAACTGTCATCCCGTCGATGAGGATGAATATCTCGCCTATTGTTAGTCCAGGCTCCAGTATCAGCAAGCTCTGGGGGAAGACTGGAAGTGTGATACCGGTCTGGTGAATAGTCAGACAAAGCTCGAGTCGGAGCAACGGATGACCGATCTCGAAGGTCTGGAGGAACGGAATCATAGGAGTGATCTGCGTGCACCCTATGAGGATGTCGCTGGTTACGTCGAGATGACTCCGGCACTGGTGGGTATGCCCAATCATGCATATGCTCCATCGGCTCCGGACCTAAACGAGGGACCTTCCTTTTGTGCCCATCGTCCCAACTTTTGTTTGTAGTAGATCCCGCCATTTGTACGGCGCGATTTGGCGATGGTGATCGCTTTCTTGGAACAATGGATCCCGAGTAGTGATGTGAAGCATTGGAGGGGGGTTGAGGATATTGGGTATTGTAGTTGCGCGTGTGTGGAGACGGGGAGTATGCGGCCGATGGATGCTGTTGTGCGCTTGCTACATGATTGCTCACGGTGGAGGCGTACGCTCTCGAACTGGAGCTAGGATTGCTGGAGTTGGCATCTGGACGTGTTGGAGGTGGAGATCGTATATGAGCGTGATTGGCTGCACTGGAGAAATTTGCGATGGAGTAATATCCTCCATTGTATAGATCGGAGTCGTAAACGTACTCTGGCATTGGCTCCTGTGGCATCGGGTATGAGGCATAATTTGAAATCTCGCTAGGTTTTCGTGATGGTGGTGGCTTAACGCTCAGTAACTTATCGAGATCTTGAGAAATTTCCTGGTCGGTGAGGGTAGGAAGAGCAGGGAGAGCAGTGTTCAATACTATGTCGGAATTGTTGATAGGACGATGGTAGTTTTTGATTATCTGACGAATAGATTGGGCGGGTGGGATATAAGTATTGGCTGGGATAGATGGTGTACGAACTGATTATAGACTCATTTGTTAGTTAACATCTCTAAAAATGAAAGACAGGTACATACCGCCTAGGCGACTTTCCAAGCTCCGCTTCTCGCGCTCCAGTCGCCTACGCTTTCCATTCGCTTCCGCAACCATAGTATCACGAAGCCCATTTTTCTGGACACGCCACCAACTCCAAACAGACTCCTCCTCGTCTTTTCGGCGTTTACGGATGAACTCTTCCTCGTACTGACGTCGTTGAGAAGCAAGCGCCAAGCGCCTCTCCTTCCGCTCCGAGAGTACGGTCAGAAAATGAAGCAGCTCGGGATGCGCCTCGTTGAGAATCATAGCCTCTTCCCGGGCCGCTTCTTCCATTTTGTCCAGATATATACGCTCTCGAAGAATAGCAAATTTGACTTCGATTTCAGCGAGCATAGCCAAAGCCTCTGCACGTTGGGGAGGTTGAAGGTCACCCTCTGCATCTACTTCCAGGGCCTCATCAGCGTCTTCTACATCTTCATCCTCGTCTACCCTCAGCTCCGGGTCTTGTTCACCCTCAACCTCAACTTCGGCATCTTCAGCATCCTCGACGGGCTCATCCTTCAGCTGATCATCAGGAGTTTCCCCCTGATTTTCCACGCCCGGAGGAGCCGAGGTGGCACCGGGAAACAGGTTTGGGGCGAGAATGTCAGTTTCGTCCTGTGCCAATTTACGCGCTGCGTCCAAGGCGTCGTTGATGGTAGGCTCCTCGACCTCTTCACCATTCTTCCGTGCAGTATCGCGATCCAAGAGAAGTCTGCGGGCAATGGCAATGTGACGGGGTAGGAATGCAAAGTCCCTAGAGTCGTCTTCGTTTGGATATGGCCGCGTCGGTTCCACCTGAGTCGCCCATTCAATGTCAAGACTGGTGTCCGACGCGATAGAAATGGCGTCATCATCATCATCATCGGAACCATCTTCCAGGGCAGGAGTTCGCGACGCGGAACGACGTATGTCCGTGGCAGGAGGTGGATCGTCCATTGTTTCGTCCTCTTCATCTCTCGCGCTTTTCTCGTCGTCATCATCACCATCCGTTGCAATTGGTTTCGCATCCTCCACGCCGTTGTCATCTTCCTCGTCGTCGACGTCGACATCGTCAACACCGGCGCCCGCAGTGTCGACATCTTCCTTTCCTCATCGTCTGAAACAGAGGTTTTAGCAGGGTGACGAGACAGATGTTGTAGGGAGGTGCGAGCAAGCGGTTCTGTAGAGGACGAGGAGGCACCCGAGTCCGCGCGATCACGGTTGGACAGACGGGGACTCAACGAAGCTCTAGCATCTGTGTTGGTGGTTGGGGGGTGGGTGGAACTAACGCTTCGTCTTGAGCTCGGTTTGGTCTTTTTGTACGCCCAGTCCCACATCGGGGCCGGGACAAGACCTCCGCTGCGCCGTCGGGACGTACCTTGAGGCGAGCGCTTGGGTTCACGTTCCTCTTCCTCATCCTCCTCGTCCTCTTCCTCGTCCTCTCCCTCGTCGTCCTCGACCTCCTCCTCTCCTACCTCTTCCTCCTCGTCTTCGTCGTCCCGTTCGTCTTGTAGCTTGTCTTCCTCGTCTGAGAGGTCGGTCAATTCAGACCCCGAATCCAAGCCAGTTGGCTTGGAAGCAGCAGCTGAAGTAGGTGCGCTGGTAGTGACATTTCTCTTAGGGAGCGGGGATGGTGGTGGGGAAGATAGGGGCTCTGAACTGGCCGTAGACCTCGGCATTGCGTCCAGTTGTCTCGCACCCAGCTTCCACTTGCAGGCGGGGGAATCCGAGCCACCGAGGGCACGTGATGAGAGAGAGTGTCATCATCGTGACAGTTACGTGAATCTTTGTTTTGTCACACTTCGGGAGGTAAAGAAAAACACAGGGTCTGTCGCTCCGCTCGTCTCTAGACCAACACAGCAGAACTATTGTGCCTAGTCTACCTTCCCCTCCCGTGCTGCAATCCTTACCAATTCTTCAACTTTCTCCCGAAGTGCACGAATTTCCCCAATAATGGCGGCCTCTGTGGACTGCAAGACAATGAGTGATAAATCATGGACTCAACGGGCTCTCTCCCTACCTGATGAGTGTTTGGGAAGTATGACAAAAGCTTCTCAAATGGGACTCGGCTGATTTGCAGGTCGCCCTCCTCTCCTTCGACGGCTGGGTCCTGAACGGTCGGATCATCCTCCTCGCCATCATCCCCCACCATGAAAAACTGGCGGAAGTACCGATTGGTTTTAAAATCGAGATGAGTCTCAAAGAGGTGGATAGAGAAAAGGACGGGCCAGAAAGTTATGAGCATGACCGTTCGACTAAGCTGTTTCGAGGTATCAGCACATCACAGATATTATATAGAACCACTTGCCTTGGCGTAGTCCTGCTTGGAAAGCATGGGCCTGTCATGGTGATTGGTAAGTAAGACAGTGGCAAAATCATCTCACTTACTCGAAAGGAACAACGAAAATCCCTTCGATCAGATTGAAAGGAGCAGGGAAAACATAGTCGTCTGGTGCGCGAATCATTTCTGTGAATTGCATGTGAACGGTTGAGTAGCTCACGTCAGAAGAGCATCGACCTACCAACGGTCTTTCCGGCTATACGGATCAGGTAAATTTCTAGCATTATACTTGAATTCGGAATTTATGACTGCCTACCAAAGAAGGCAAGGTATTCTGCCGCGGCGTCTTTTGTAACCTATCCGAACTCTGAATTCTTCATGGGACGTAAAAGAAGGAAGGGCTTACATCATCATACGCAGATGAGAAGAGCGAAATGAGGATGTTGAGAAGAATCACAGTGACGGTCGCTGACCACCTGCACCATTGCAATCCGATTTCATATATGCACTTTATTTACGGCTGCATAACCGCACTCACAAGTAATAAAGAGTTAGGCCAATGGCGTTCCCCGCTTTGTCAAAGTCGGGAGACCTGGGTGAATTGCTGAGTCAGGAGTCTGATGCCTAAACCCGGACCGCTCTTACTGAAGCAAAGCCTGGATCAATGTGTTGAAAACCTGAATATGCACTGCATCAACATGCGTCATGAAAGGGCCTAGAACAAGGAAAGTCTACCAGTGAGCCGTGTTCAGTGTGTCCGTCCGCAGCATCTAACGCATACAAGCTCTGCGCAAACCCGATACCCAAGATGGACAATAACTAAAAATCCATGATGTGTTCGTAAGCCGCATTCGGAGGTCCGCCTCAAAGTGACTGACAGCCAAGAATATCCCTGACTCCTGGAGCATACGTGAAACGCATATCTGCATTGTCCCAACATATTTAAATCCATCGAGTACAGTGATGAGTTCTGCCAGAATTGAGATAATCGGTTATTCTGACCACCATTAGAAATGTTAAACCCACTCACTCATCCTGTGCAATCGCGAGTAAACGTATTATAATAGCGCTACGCCTCAATGGTCACAGAAAGGCTTACCAAATCAAAGGAGCGACACAGGCCAAAATCTGGAAACTCTTCAACTTGTGGGATGCCTGTTGGTCGCTATTGGAATTGGCCAAGCCAGCTACACGCAAAGAAAATGCGGCGACGAGGAGGGCATCCGTAAGAAGTGAGATCATGTTCCAGAAGCCGAGCACCTTCCAGGTGAAGAAGCGAAATATTTTGTATATCTGATTGCAATGTGTTGACATACTTGGAACGACATCGTAAATGAATGCGGGCGCGGTCGCACCTTATAAACGTCTGCCCCGAAATGTCGTCATTCCGATGAAATGTACCAAAATGAGTCACAACTCACCTTCGATAGTGTAAGCAAGAGTCATAAAATAGAGAATCACCTCCCATGGATCGAAACTCTGCAGCGAATTTGCGGAATGCTCGATAGGTTGTTGCACTACGAACAAGTAACCCCATGAGTCGCGCACTCACAGGTAGTGGCACATACCAGCATGAGAGTAAACAAAAGGAAAAAGACCCAGATGAGCATTCTAAACCAACTCTGATACCTAGGTGCGGTCAAACAAGAGCGGAAGCAACGGGGGCGACTTTTATCTACCTGGGAACACCCAGCCTCGAAGGGTCCAAATGCCTATGACCTTCGCTCATGCGAACTTGATCGTACGGCAAGTCTGTTGATGATTCGATTAGAAAGCTTGGGCTAATGGAGTGGATACAGGCTCACAGTAAATTTCGTGATCGGGGTTGTTCCTCTGAACCCAGTCCCCCCTCCACAAGCTATTAACAACTACGGGGTTCTATGAGCCGTTCGGCCGACCATCAATATCTGAAAAGAGGTCCGCACCAAACTGAGATTCGCTAGAAGAGAGAAATATTGTACTGCAGGCGATAACAGTTAGTGCAGCTTAAGAAAAGGCCCATTTAACAAATACTTGCCAATGCTGGTCAATGGCTAATTCCAGGGCCGAAGCAAGCGAACTTTCGTCTCCATCCCATTCCAGATGTTTGTACCGTTTCGACATTATGGCATTAAGCCTATCCGAATCATATGTATGTACGACTCGGCGTGCCAGTATTTCGCATGCAGCGGCGCGTCCCATGTTCTCACCGTAATCAGCCGGATTGTGGTCCGCATCCCAAATGAACAGCCAACGTGCTCGAAGAAGACAATATGGAAGCTATGCACGAGGTTGGAAAGCACAGCGGCGAAGTCGGCGCAGGAAATCTGAAGTCAGAACGGTCTGGTATCGACGGAGGGGGCACATACAGCGTCTCGGAAGTCACCCGCCGCCTCCGAATAAGCTTTGATGACCTCCTGAGTGATGGCCCGTGAGCTGAAAGCAGAAAAATAGGGTTAATCTCATGCGCACGGTTTGAATGGAAAGCGCGAACTGACGTAGGATCGTTAAGAACATCGGACTCGACTTCCAGAGGGAGCAACTTAAGTGTCAAAGCACGAATACGCCTCACGATTTCTGGAAAAAGGGCAGAAAAAACCGGTTAATTATCATAAAAAAAACCTGTGTAGAGGTCCCCGAAAGGGCGTACTGGTGATCGTATCAGCCGATGGGTTGATACTCCTGGAAGACACTAGCGACACTTGGTCCTCGGCCCCACCGTTCGACATCGTAGCAAGTGTTCGGAAAATAGGGATTCCAACCAATGGTAAATTCCGGTCTTGAGCAGGCCTACAAGTCCTTGCGTGTTATCTCGAGCCCCACGTCAACCCCGCGTCAACTGCCAAGCCCTAAAACCGTGGGAATCAACACGTGATATTTCCATTATCCAAATCGAGCTTCCGAATCCGCCATTCCACGATCAGCGATGCCTGTGAGCCAGAACGGCATATGGATTACCGGAAAGTCGAGCTAATTTCCGAGACTAACAGGCGTACCACTCTTCCTTCAATGATGATCCAGATGTAAGAACAGTTGGCAACACGGCGCTGCTGTCGATCAAGACCAAAATTCGTGGACCCGCGCCTCTCGTTGGTACACACAATTTTCTTGACAATCATCCCATCCCTCAATGGTAATGCCCCCACAGCGGACGAAACCCAACCTGACATCATCGATGAAACTCTCGATTTGTTTCGCGCAAACTCTCTCTTCCGCAACTTCGAAATCAAAGGCCGGCCGACCGTCTCCTCATAGTTCTCATCCTCTTCATATCCGACTGCCTTTCCAAGATCGCTGCAGCTAAATCCTTGCCCACGCAACTTGAGGCGTCCAAATTGCTCAATACACTTGCAGTGGATAATTTCCCTCTTCCTGGTGACGCGGGGTTTCCGCTGAATTCGCATTATGCGCCACCGGCGAGCAGGATCGATGGTGGTGAGTTGGCTCATGGCACTTATGCAATGATAAAGATAAATGCTTCCTTCGTCCCCATAGATTATCTTAGATCGTATCTTGTACAGGTTCGCCAGGAACTCGCCTCACGGCTCGTAGAGCGCTTGTATACTGACGGAACGAACAAGCCAAGCAAATGGTGGATGGCATTTACCAAGCGCCGATTTATGCACCGCAATTAGGACCACGACACTACACTTTCTTATCCATTGTTACATGCTTCGAAGGCTTCGTAATTGCAATGGATAATGAACTGTACCGAATGAAAAGAACGTACAGCTCGTTCGTCCATAAGAAATATTGATACATTCCGTTTGAATCCGCGGGATCTCTCTCGCAGACCCGGTAGATGGAAACGCTCATCCCGTATCTAACGTCCATAATCTATAACTTCGACTTAGCGATTGGTGGCGGATTGTCACTCTTAGGGTCAACCATCGTGTGAGTGCAGCTGGCAAGCAAAGTAGACTTCTTGAGGTCCCACATCTATATCAAGGTAAGGTGGTGATGAACCAAAGGAATCATTGATGATATACCTCTCCCCGAGTATGCGCAATAGATCTCCCAACCGATGTAGTGTATGCTACCAGTCTTATTTTTGATCCCCTGCAAGTGGATACCGTGAGATATTTTGGCACCAAGCCTATTGGACCTTACACTGGGATGGGACGGTAAAAACTGATGTTAAGACTCAGGGAGACTCGTGGCGGCCCTTCTAACGAAACGAGTGCACCAGTAGTAACCCTAACATTATGCAGGTCGTCACATTTTTCCCTTCAAAGCATGCGAGTGGTGCTTACGTGTCCATCAAATAGGCGACACAAGCCTGTGACAACCCATTATTGAGTAGGAAAATAACAAGTTGTTTTCCAGTGAGACGTACACCGTGCATTATTCCAAATTTATTGCACATATCTGTACATCAAAAAAAAATAGATAAAACATACAAATTTCAGTTCCAAAACATTAACGACATACCTTTCGATACATCGATGTTAGCGGCAAACTTCATCCTTGAGTGTTTATTCTTGTCATCAGGGACATCAGGTTTATCCTCTTCATCGCCGAATGACATGTCCGTCGACACCAGGTGCTTCCCAACAGCTTCCACACCAAAGTATTTCCCATTTCGAACAAAACTGTCGAAGGTCAGCATCGCACCCTCTAATTGACGCTTGGGAACGTTGGTGTTGATGTTTGATAGATCCGAAGGCGTATCGCCTTGGTTCAAGCCAGGCTTCTGACCCGGGGTACGGTGGATGTCAAACTTGTTGGGTGCCATAGACTCAGGTAGCGACGACGGGCAGGAAGAAGTAGGTGGGAAACGAATAGGGTTGGTGATGGGCAGCTATTAAAAGTGTGATTTAGCCGCTGACCGGTCAAAACAAGGTCCGATGAACTGAAGGGATAAAACTAACTCAGTTTTCCCGTCATTTCCGAATTGAAACACAGCCAATGATTGGCATGATCCTCGGGTCAAGTATCAGGTTTAGTTATTGGGCGTAAGGAATATCATCTGCAGGCGAAGGAAACATAGCTTGTTCGACGCTTGCTTGTTGCCTTTTTTGCTACCTAGTCAGACCTGCGTCATGAATGTTGAGTCAGCGAGCGCCGGGGATACACGTGATTGTCCATTCCACACCCTCTCACAAAGGTGAAGTCTTCGGTAGTTGCGCCAACTTTCTCCTCTGTGGTTTGATTGCTCATAGGGTTGGGTTTCTTAGGAGGCGTTATAGAATCGTGCCGTTAGCTGGTTGGTATTTTGTTCCCACATCCCCGGATTGAGAACAATTCCTCGAGTCTGAACCACATAGTCTGACTAGGCAGGTGACCAGCCTCTCTAGAGGTCATAGAGAAACTGTCAGCATGTCTTCCACGGCCCAGGAGACTTTCCAGAACGGACCCCGATCACAGTTTCTCGATCCTTCCATCAACACCCTTAATCCCCAATCATCCGTGTCTGGTCTACAGCCTCTGCCCTCGTTTTCACCGAAGCAGAGGAGGTACACTGTAGATCGACAAACGGCGACCACTTCATCCCCGAGAGCCGATTTAACATCTATTAAGCCGCTGTTAGCAATCCCGGAATCTCCAAAGGCAACAACATCCGGAGATCCAGTGCCGGCGTCTTTCTTGACATCTTTTGTCCATTCCTCTGCACCTCTACTCCCACCTTCCAACAGTTTCCCCCATTCTCTATACACACTCCCCAAAAGTGTAGAAGTTCAATGTAAGGCTCGCACGCGCGTACCAACTCCTCATGGACCTGTCTTCCTCCACATTTATCACAACAACTTGGACTCGAAAGAACATCTCGCAATAGTCATAGATCCGGAACAATTAGATTCAGATCTCCCATCCCAATACTCGATCCGGAGTAAAAGCCTAGATGCCGTGTGGAATGAGCGCGAAACAGACATGGACAGGCTTGTACGTGGGGCTTACATCGGCCGACTTTCATCCACCCGAAAGGTGCCCTCTGCTCCCTTCGAGCCTATCCTAAATTCTACGTCCTCATCCTCCATCCCTCCAATCGTTCGAATCCACTCAGAGTGCTATACTGGCGAAACGATTGGAAGCATGCGCTGTGACTGTGGGGAGCAACTAGATGAAGCTATTCGATGTATATCTAAGCCTCAACTCGTCCCTTCTCTTCTTCTCCTTCGGAACCAATCGTACATCATGCCCGAGGTGCGGTCATTTACATGCGACAAGAAGGTCGAGGAATCGGGCTGTTGGAGAAGATACGAGCGTACAATCTCCAGGATATGGGATATGACACTGTGCAAGCCAACTTACTGCTTGGACATGGTGCTGACGAACGGGGTATGAAATTGCCGCTGCCATTATGCGCGATCTTGGATTAGGCACAGATGAGAGGGGCGTTCGAATTCTCACAAACAATCCGGATAAGATGGAAGCCCTACGCAGGAAAGTATTGTCATCAAGGACCGGCTACCTATGATTCCGCGCACATGGACCGATCATACGGGACTAGGGCTTGGCGCGGGGCCGAAAGCGAGACGGGGATCAATGAATAGCGCAAGCGGTGGCGGTCCACGGAGGGCGCTGGGTGCTACCATGATTGGGGGAGGAGCTGCGACGGGAATCGATTTGGAGAGATACTTGAGGACTAAAGTGGAGAAGATGGGGCATTTGCTAGAGTTACCAACGCACGCAAACCCAGGTCCTCCAGATGTGGAGTTGGTGGTGCCGGATCCGGGCGGGATGCAGCAGAATTCTTCGGTGCTCGTAGAATGGCTGACGCCTGCTACTGGGCCGATCCCGTTGCTGCCTGGTCCAGGCTCGTAATCACTGCTCCGTATCCACGACATATATTGAGTGCAGATTTACACAAACATCTTAATTAAGCTTTGCATCATATAGGACTACAAACGGATCACAGAACAAAGCTTGTATACCAGCCCACTAATTTCAATCTACTCACTCTCGTACAGACTGCGAGTCACATCAGGCTGAAGCTAGCGTACCGTGATGAATGCTTCAAGAATAACCACCAATTTGCGAAACCCTCATCCTTCTGGGTCAGGCAATGGCGTTTAGATTCTCAGCAGAACGGTGACAAGGGCTCGACGCATCCTTCACAAAAGTCGACTTCGTCGAGGCTGTAAGGCTGGCCAGGGATGGCTAGAACACGGGACACATCATAACGCAGGGAGCATTCGCTTGTTTTTTGGCCCCTCTCATTTCAAGTAGACACCATCGATGTCACCGTGTTTGCGTCAAAGCACCTTGTACCTATGGCACGTAGCGCTGCGCCAATGAAACTCGTCAATGAGAAAATATAAAGGAAATGGAGACGGGTAGACCCCCACCTCACAGATATCTGAGGAGAGAGATAGTCTAAAAAAATCTTTTACTCTATACGCAGTGGCGAGCCCGTCGCATAAAGGAGAAGAACATGAAAGACAAAAATAGACTAAAGCTTCACCGCTCCTTATTGTGCAAAGCGTCCGTCGCCACTCAGTTGACGGGAATGCTTTTGATATTCTAACGCACGTCATATGCGAAAGTTCCCCCAATACTCTGCCCAACCCTACCGAAGGAACCGACCCGCGTTCCATCAATGAGGGCGCGTGAGGGGCTATAAAAGAGAGCACGAACAAAATAAAGAGCCACAGCATGTCGCATTCCAGTCCCACGGAGTACTTATGCTGCTCGTGAAGGCAGGAAAACGGCCTTGTTGTGGGACATCTGAAAGTACTTGATTATTAATCCCTCTCTTGACCTCACCCTCAATCAATCCGCGAGCGGGATTGGTTGGATACCGCGCACATTCTCAATACAAATAACTCTCTCCGCCGCGCGTTCTTTCTCAGGCCGTTCATCCCACTCATTCCGGATGTTCCGGGGTTTCATGTAATGCAACGTGGCAGAGCGAGCCGGGTGGTTTGGAGGAGAAAGGCTCGCGATGGCCCCATAGACAAGTGCAACAACAAGTTCGAATGCAGCTTGGATGATAAGGTCTGCCGCCGTGACCCGAGACGTGTCCCGAACGTCAATTGAACATGTCCGCGTGTCAAGAGGGACTGTATCGCATTGGACGTGTCTGGTTCGGCTTAATTAATGGTAGCTGATCTGTGGCCTATAAAGCGATAAGTAGTGTGACATTGGATGTGGTTGAGTGTGAAAGACGGACAATTATGTAAGGGTTTGAAATCTTGTGGTGCGTCGGCATTCCTCAAGGATTCCCACAGAGATGACGCTAATTGTGCGGCGTCCGGGCCATTCTGTCCGTAAATTTGAATAACAATGAGCAGTAAGACCGAAAGGTGGACCAGCCACGTTGAAGTATACTGTCACTGCGCCGAAGCTACACGGTTGCGGGCCAGTATCATGATTAGCACCCTGAAGACTTGGGAAGAATAGTGCGCAGCTTTGAGGTGACTGGGAACTTCCCGAAACGGCGCATGGAATTACCCGGGTGGCGATTTCGAGTATTGGCCACCCATTTGACCACTTCGCACAGGATTACAATTGGTTATACCGACTCAGAGAGTTCGAGATGAAGGTCTGAACTCGAAATCGGACATAAACCCATTTAGCCTTCGGTGGCATATCCTGGCTTGGTTCCTATCTCCGCCATGAAAACTCCGGCCACTTTCGCCTGCTCTGTGCCACCAGTGTCAGCGTCAAATCACCATCACATCTATGAGCTGGTTGACTGAAGCGCCTCCCGAGGATGTTGTGTATAAATGCTTCCTTTGTTGACCTCTGGTATGCCCCCATCGGACACCCTGAGGTCCCCCAGCTCAACAAATACCCAAGGGAGAAAACATGGGCAAGATCTTCCAGTGTGGATACCCTGGATGTCAGTCAGCTGGTAAGCTCTTCACTAAGACCGACCTGAGGAGGCATCAGCAGACGCATTTGCCCAATTCAGCAAAGTAAGTCCTATCAGCACGAAATCTCAGGACAATGGCTTATTTCATGCCGAAGACCCTATAAATGTAGTCAATGCGGCAGATATTTCGTGCAAAAATGCGGTTTGGAGCGTCATTGCAAAGAGATACAGTAAGGAAACTTTCGCCTCCAGTATCACATCAATTGTCTAACCTGATAAAAGCCAAAGATTACAGTTCGAATGCAAGTATTGTGGGGCAAGGTTCCACGATATGACGATCGGAGGAGTCATATTAGGAGGGACATGAGTCGAGTCGCCCAGCTAATGATGGCAACGACCGAGACGCAGATCCCAGCAGCGCCTCCTCATCCACGTCACTGCCGTCTTTCCCTCCCCCAATCGACAACCTTGCATCACCCGCATCATCCTTCTTCGTAGAATATGGCGCTCCGTTTCGTTCCGAAGGGACGTCACCTCTGCTCTCAATTTCCCCCGGGCCTGTTCCGTCGTTCGGCGCTACAATCCATAGCGCTCCTTCGTTCACCGTGGAATCTTCGGTATGGTTGGATGGCACAGGCCCCGGGCTCCCGGCTCCCCCGCGATCAAACGCTCTCTTCCCCTCTCCCATAATGATGCCCACCGCTCCCATTCCGCACTTACCAACTGGCTTTAATCCCTGGCATACATCGTTGCACAACTGGCCTTCTTCTGTGGATGCTGGTTTGGCACAGGGACAAGAATTCCGTTCTGGCATGCCTCAACTGAGCTGGGAGGGGGACTTAGCCCAAACCGCTAGAGTCTCTGACCCTACACTGCTATCCACTGCTGGTCCATCCACCCAATCAGAGGAGTTGTTTCATCGTCTCCACACGCCAATTCCTTCGCAGGACCGTTCTCGGCAGCTGATCAATCAGCACCAGCGACCCGGAGGCTCGAGCCTGGTGCCTCCGAACCCAGGATGGAATGGGCGGAGCAAAACCCGCTCCACCACCCCCAGGCGCCGTTCCCCTCTGCCGGACTGGCCGAGTGGAGGCACGACTTTGATGTGCCCGAGCTGGACCAAAGGGTAGAACGGCCGGGGGAAGAGCGAGCGAGGACTTTGAACATTCCCAGGTTCCATCATCGTCCGCCGGTGCCACCCTGGTGGCTGCATGGCCATCGTCGATTACTGGGAGACCCATTGATCACTCCGACCTTGGGGGGAACAGCCGGAGGAAGGCCAAACCGGGGACTTGCCCCAGGCGTCGTCGTCCCCCGCTGACCCCAACCCCGTACCCGAATGGCCAACGCCAAACGCCGAGACCCTCGAGTTTGATGATTGGGAGTACTGGGGGGAATGGCTAGAGCAAGACCCAGCTTACCTTAACTTCGATGACCTATTTAACTAGATTGCTTTGTTGGACACATTTCCTCCTTTCAATCTGTATCAAATATTGATCTGATCCATCGTTCCCTGATGAATTATGTTAGCCATTTGTTGTCTTGTTGCTCGCATCTTGTATTATATAACTCGCTTATCTCACAATTGATCATCATAATATCTTTTTCCGGTTACACCGCGTGGCAGGGTTATTGTTGTTATGAGTCTGTGGCCAAAGCCATGCTCGTTTCTGATCCTTTCCGACCGTGGGAAGAGGGCCCCAGGAGTCCGGCCACCCGCAGCGCATATGGCACATGCACGGCCGGGTTGAACTAGGAAGAGCCCGAGGCCCTTCCGTCCGATGAAGACTTTCGCACACCCGGCGCGACCACAACACGTGGGGCATGAGCATGATCCGGAGACCTCAAGTGGCGGGCAAATGTAGCATAGTGGCCACAACCCGATCCCAAGAGAGGATGCCGATCTCCGGTTTCTCTCGTCTACCTCTGTTTCTGTTCTGCATACGTACAAGCTTAGGTGTGAGGGACTCACCAGAGCTTTAAAAGTAACAACGAAACGAGGAAAATAACGCACTCGATCGTTTTCCGCAGGCGCAGAGTAGATCGCGTCTAGGTATGGTATGGGAGGGGGATTTAATCAGAAGATTCGATCGACACCGTCCCATGCCAACGGATGAATGGGTGCTCGGCGCTTCATAGAGGACCGAGGAGCATAGAGGAGGAAGCCATAGGTGAGGGCAATAACGGTGTCGCTTGCCGTCTATAAATAAATTTGTATATCGGGCTATACTGCGCCAAACTGAAATAGGGAGCTAGAGTCAGGAACGTCTGAGAGTGAATATGGAGAAATAAGATACGTACGTCTCGTACTTTACCTTTTATCTGATATCCAGCTTGGGTTGTGTCCCTCTTCACAGATAAGTATTAGCGTCTTTGTCTTTTTCGGACCTTTAATGATCATACCACAAAACAGGAAAGGATTGAATGATCCTTCACGACTACTGCACGGATCCTCGGAGCACGAAGGGTAGTGAAATGGCAAGGCTGTCACGCGTCGCAACATCTGCTAAGCTTGAGCACGGTGATTGAATTATGAAGATCGAAATCAGCGCCTGAGGCGGCAATTCCCGCTCCTTTGTTGTGTTGGAACCCTCGGACTGCGAAGTACAGAGCGACATATGAACATGAAGCCAAAATGATGAAGGGATCAAGGAAGGAATCGACTGGCCGTGAGAAGCCAGATATTTGTGCTTGAAGATGTTGAAACTACGCTGGGCTTTGTTTGCTGGAGTGCCTAGGGCATACTCGACCCTGTGTCGTACCAGCTAATGTTTCTGTCCTTGCATAATCCATATGGGAGCCCAAAGAGAGGAAGAGCTTTGACTTCCAAATGAGGTAGCCTTCACAATATTGCACTACCTAACTCCCTTAGGTATTCTCATATCTATCATGTAAACGCGAAGTTGTGCCCTGGATGCTCTCAACCCTCCGATACCTGTGCTGACCGCCTTCTACACCAGCGCCATGTCCAGCAAGACATTCTCCCCTCAACGTCCCAAGACAAATTCCCTCATCCCCGACTCCCAACCTTCGGCTTCTTCACTCTGGATTCTCTCTGGTTCCGAGGACAGTCGCGATGTCCACCACGATCGGCATCATGACGGAAGGCTAGTCGTGCCCTATCTGGAGCCTCTGGCGCCCACTCGGGCAACACCACCTGGCGAATCTGATCTGCAGAAATCATCAGCTCATCCGGGAATCGTAGGAACAAGGTCAAGCTTTGATCGCACAGCGATTCCTCGTGCCAATTCAAATTCGAAAGTCAAACATTTAATTACTGAGCTGACTCGCTAGATCAGGAGCAAGTATATGATACAAGATTCCAGCGATTCCTCATGCCGATTCAAATCCGAAAGCTGCCCATGATATCTAATCTACCGAGCTGATTGGGAGTGTAAGATGCGGGATTCTTGTCAACTAGCTACTTGGCAAAATATCACTTGTCAGAAACTCTCAGGACTGGCTGCATGGTTTCTCATATATGTCAGAGAAGTCTACTATTAATTCATCACAGTATTTGTTTGTCGGGTCAATCTTACCATTAAAGTGTTGATGGTTTTTCTCGCATTTTGTGTAGTACGTTTTCTTATATAATTCCCCAAACTCTCTTCTTGACTGGCTGTCTCTTCCATTTCCTTGCTATGCAGACCAACTTCAGTCACATCTTTACTGCATTGTTGCAAAGTTAGCCGCTATCGCTTGCCTAGCTTTCGAAAATTTCAGAGGGAACTTTCGGCCCTCTCATTCCAAGTAGGCACCATCAATGTCACCGCGTTTGCGTCAATCAAAGCGCCTCTGACTATTTCATTGTCGAGTGTTGCATGTACTCGGGACCCAAGCCAAGCCAAGCCAAGGCACCACGTCCAAGGTTGATACCGCACCTATCAAAAAATGAAAATACGGATGAGTCCCTGATGCATTCCTCGCCCATCCGGCACAGGCGGCACCTTTTTTCGCCTCGGTCGAACTCCTGAGACAGTGTGATCAATCCTAAGAACGGCGCAGTGGCGCTCACATATGCGCCGAACCAGAGCTGGGGCACGGGTAAAATGTGAAAGAAAAGCGCAAAACCCTATCCTACAACTCGCGGCGGTTGAAAGGGGGTGGTGACTGCGACAGATATGGACGCAAACATTAACCCTTGGCGATCTCAAGGAATCCAAACCAGCAAACACGTGAATTAACCCAAATCACTTAAGCTAGGAGGCGAGCTTCGGAGTGTCAAAACGGAAACATTGTAATAGAGTCAACACATCGAATGATGACAGGTCCCAAGCCTAGAAAACATCTTCATGGCTGTAAAGCAGCCTTCTGGTCATATGTGAACGGTCGTTTGACCGCCTCCTTCAAAAAGGAAGTTAGATAGACAAGTACCAGCTCTGATCGTCGATGGGACTCACGCAAGCGACCGCGGCCTACCGAAACCTCCGAACCCTGTGCCACCGGCTGAGCCTGACCCGAAGCCACCACCTCCATGCCCCCCTCCGAAACCTCCGAACCCTGTGCCGCCGCCTGAGCCCGATCCGAAGCCACCACCTCCATGCCCCCCTCCGAAGCCTCCGAACCCTGTGCCACCGCCTGAGCCCAATCCGAAGCCACCACCACCTCCGAAACCACCGGCCCCGCCGCTACCGAGGGAACCGGCCCGCGTTTCTAGTTCACCATCAATGAGGGTGCGTGAGAGGCTATAAGAAGAGTGTAAGAACGAGATGAAACAGCCACAAGTACATCGACTCGCATTCCAGTCCCAGGGAGTATGTTGGTCGAGACGGGTTGGGGGCCTGGGCCAAAGTCGGATGGGCCGTTAATAGGAATAAACCCGCGGGGGGCGGGGTCCCAAGCGTGCTCATCGCGACTAGATAGCCCCGCATTGCGAGTCTCGATGTCACGTAGGAGACTAATAGATATACTAGTGAGATTCCGTGGAGAGGTAGATCATTATTCACAGGAATTTACGTTGTAGGGGCTGCCAAAGCCTGGGATAGGAATAGAGCAGCAACGACGACTCTCATGAAAGTGTGCATGTTTGAATCGAATCGAGAAGCGAATGCTGCAACAAAGAGCGAATGCGGGTGCGAGTAGAAAGAAAGCTAGAAAAGGTCTTTAGCCCCAAAAGCCCTTGATGCGTATGGCAGTAGCTGAAGCCGAACTTACTACGACCAGCGCACGAATGAAAGGAAAGAGGAACTGGAAGTTTCACAGAAACCTGTCAGCAAAGGAACACAAGAAATCAGTGTTTATAAGCTTCCTGCTAAGTCTCCCATCGCCCTGTCTAGCTGATGAACCCGCAGATCATCCGATTAGTCAATAGCAACCGGCAGCCCAAACCTGAGGGAAGGCAGTGAGATGATGATGTCGACAGTACGTGGTGATCGTGAGATGAGGCATGCCTGGAACGTAATTCTGATATTAACATCATCACATTAGGCGTCCGTTGCCCACCGAGTGTAGTGCGGTGTTGGTATTGAGAGGCAACTAGCCCGTTCAACATTCAGATAATTAGACAAATCTCAATTGAGCAATGCCCTACAGGCTAGAGTCGTGGTAGGTATACAGCGTAGAGCAGCGAGTCATTTGAAACTGAGGATGACAATCCAGATTGTTTGTTGCTAAGCATGTCGAGTGATAGGGCTACGCGAGATCACCCTGGGGGACTTTCTGAATAACGATTGATGATTGATTGTTGAAAAATCAGGGAGTTACGCAGTGCATTCTCTTGAATCAGTGATTAGTAACACGAACTAGGTCTGACGTATGAAGTAGGCTGCCGAGAACACTCCCTGCAATTGCGGTCGTGTCTCACGCACTCTTTTGCATGAGCGCACCGACCTTTCTGATGAGAAAGCGATTTGACTTCCCTAGGTCCTTGCCTGCGCCCACACGCTTATTGTCGCTCATCAACCTCAATCAGGCGTCCGACTTGAGCATTTCACCACTGAACCAGTGTGTTGCACTTCCGTTCTCTGACCGGGATTTTCCGAAGTTGTTGCTTTCCTGAACCAGTGTCACCCATGTAAACCCTTCAAGAATGCCTCGTCTCCTCCCTGAACCTTTGCAAGCGCTTCCGGAATTTTCTTCCCTCTGCATCTCAGGCCCCTACCCAGCATCATCCCCTATTCACTTGTGTATATCTCAGGCCCGCCATGGTGGTCGTGTGCTCCTAGTAACGAAGTCTAAGGAATCCTTTCTTCGACAACTGGGCGCGTTCAATGATGCTTGGCTGAACGCGAATATCGGATTAGGTCGATATGTCGAGAAAGTTTCAAACATTGACATCATGTAAGCGTCTTCGCTACGGCCTCTGGTTCTTATGGGGAAATGAGAGCAACATCCTTGAGCAGCTACTGCCCTACGGTTGCCCAATGGCTTTCATTCTTTACATTGCTCCATATCTCAACTGATACGGGTCTGGATCTCTCATCTGGAGCACTGCGTTCAATCCCCTCGATGATAGTGCTCCACGAGCCTTCCTCGCTCTTACTCCCCGCTGGAGCTCCCACGCGAAGGTCAGTTAAGCAGCAGTCATATTAGCTGCCTACACAACCTTTTCCACTGCTAGGCCAACGTTCTCTACGTATCTCCTGATGGTGACCCGTGCCTTGTCGGCGTCAACGGCTCTCTCCAGCCCTTCCCAGTAAGTGCCTCCCCTTCCTGCCAAGACAGGCTCGAAGACAGAAATTCGTCCACGTTGAGGATGATCAAGGTAGCATTGTTTGACTGCAACTTGGAGAGTCTGAGACTCCCTGTTGTCAAGCCCCACCCATCCGTTTTCGGATCCGACGACGCTGATGATGACGTTCGAAAGCAAGAGCCCGTTCTGTTTGGGGTGTTGAAGTACTTCCAGTGGCATGGCGAATGCGGAATCGACGGTTAGAGTCTGCCTATCAGCCTCGTCGGATCTCTAATGACAGTTTGGAAGTTTCTGGGGATGAATCGAATGCTCATCCCACCAAGCATCGCTTATCATTGACGAAAGCTGGAAGCTCATTGTCCCCTTCCAAACCAATTATTATCAAGTGGACTGAGGAACTTGTGAATAGGGATGAGCCTTGGCTCGACAAGCCTGAAATCCAATTGTCTTGTCTATAAGAGGACCCAATTCATTCATTTACCCCACAACGCCACAAAATGGTAACTTCATCCGGCGGCAAGGATGTGGGAAGGTTCAAGGTATGAATTTGGGCTCGTGGGCTCGTGAGCTTGTGGTCTGGAAACGGGAAAGTATGGAGTGCGCGGTCGATAGTACTGCGTGCGCCGACCAATTTGGTGCATCCTGAGGTCGGATCATCTACCCGGCAAAATACAATTGTATGGTCGTTAGAAATATCAAAATATTGATCTATGAACCACCAAGCGCCGTCGAGTGTCTTGGACCCAGTTCCGGCACCGCCGCTCACTCCGACGACCGTCCTTGCCTCCCTTGGTGAGCATTGGCCAATGACATTCACTTTTGAGGCCATTCTTGTTCCGCGATCCCGTGTCATTGCCCTTGTTGCAGTAGTCTTATCGAAGGGAGACCATTACGGGCATTGACTGCATGCTTTTTCACGTCCTTCTGTCATAGTCCTCGCTCTCGCTCTTGCACTTGCTCTCCTTCGGCTCTCCTTTTCCCCAAATTTTCGGATTTGTTGTGTGGAAATGGCTGTATAATGATCCTTCGTTTGATGTTTCAGATCCCGTGTCATCAGAGCAAATCAATGGATTAAAGTCGTGAAGTATGTACTTTTTGGTGGATAGGAACTGGCGTCCCCTCTGTACTACCTTCTCCGGAACCCTAACTCGTTCTGCCTTTCATTCATCCATTCCTGTATATCTCGAATCCGACTTGGCTCCAACGTCTTAATCCCTGTCTCGATTATTCTTGGTGGGCATCGCGCTAATGGATGGCCCGAGTCTACAGATGGGACGGAAAGCCTGCCGCTCTCTTCTTCAGCTAGTGTGGTGTCCGTCATCGCGTTCATCCCAAATTGGAGATCTTGGAGTTTTCTAGTAACCTCTTCCATGACAGAAGAACGCGGTACTTCATCCATCATTTGGACGACATCCTCGATGATGATAGTTGGAGGCGTCAGAGGCATGCCAAGATCATCAGAACCTGAACTGGTCGACGTGATGGACGATGATCTGGATCCAGGATAGTCTGCTTCAAAGTCCTCGAAAGAGGAGAAACTGCTTGATGACTCGACGGAAAATACTGATACGCTTTGGCGGAGCGGGACGGCTGGTGCCCACTGAAGATCCGTCTAGTCGACCGCCGCATTTGTTCGCGTTGCTGGATAATATATCTGCCCAGCATTCGCTGTGGGGCTTCAGCGTCAGACAACGAATCTTCGGAATCGATTACTATCATGGGAGGGTATAGAGTATCCTCAGGAACAGCCTCATATTGTGGCGGGGCTGGTTCTTCATTGTCTAATCCCTCGTACACGTTGGCGATTTCCTCGTCAGGTATTGGTGTTTCGTTGTCTTCGAAGGTTATGAGATCACGTTCTGGGGAGGGGCTACGAATTGGGATGATTCGAAGTGGTTCAGCGGACGGCTCGCATTCTTCTTGTTGCGCGTTGACATACGTGAACTCTGGGAGATCACAGTCAGGGCTAACGTTGGGGCCGTACGTGATGTTCAAAGACTCCGCGATGGAGTCGCGCAAACAGAAAGGATCGAAGGACTCGATAGTAGCTGCATTTTCAGCGCCGGTTGCATACACCTTGGCCTTGGCGACAGGTTGATGATCCAAGGCGGTAGTAAACTGGTCTACCAGGTGGAAATCAGCCTGGAGAGCATTAATAGTAATGCGTTGGTAAGGGTTGAGCCGGAACGTAGCAGTCAAGAGATGGTTCGCTTCGACAGTAACATTGAAGTATTCGATGAAGTACCAGTCGATATTATTGCAATATGCCGCGAAGTGTTCGCATTGGTCCGATGCCATCGACCACGGAACATTGGGACCAAAAATAAGAAGTGAAAGAATGACACCCATTGACCATACGTCATTGGCGGCACAAGCATAGTCCGGCATGGCCTTTCCATAAAGACCGAGGCATTCTGCGAGAAACGCTGAGATGATGCGCAGAGCGGTGCGTAATGGACACTCACCGGGGCTCATATATAATTCACTTCCAATTGCACCAGAGTCCTTGAGATCTTCCGTGGCGAGTCCAAAGTCAGCCAGCACGATCTTTGGACATTCGTCCTCGTAACACTTCACGAGTATATTCTCTGGCTTGATATCCCGGTGGTAGATCCCCAAGCTGTGACAGTGGACAAGTGCGTCTAAAAGCTGCCCATAAGTCGACTTGATAGCGCGAACGTTATTGGAGAAGAATTCGCTCTCGATGACTCGGAATAGATCGCCATAAGGACAGAGTTCCTAACACGGAGCGTTTATGGCTGGATAGCAACAGTAGAACAAGTTGCTTACCATCACCATGTAAGTAAAGAGTCCTTCATCGACCACATGATAGAGTGTGAGAATAGACGGGTGACCAGACGCTCTGTTGTGGAGCCTCACTTCATTCTCCTGCAGTAAACGAGTCCGGTGATCCGAAGTCCGTAGCAAGGCCTTCACAGCGAAGCGCCGGACCGACCGTACTGAGCTCGTAGCAGGTTCAGAAATTGAGATACAAATCGGCCCTGAACAGGAAAGGTCCGCGAACCGACCGCTGTAAGCTGGATTTTCGAGAGCTTGTAGGACCACCGCAAAGCCACCAGCCCCGATGACGCCCTCAACCTGTAGGGTGCGGGATACTATCTCTTGGGGACAAGGGATTCGTCGAAAGGAGATTCCATGTCTAATCGTATACGCACGCCTACCAATAGCCCATCATATATGATTCCAGCAGTGTAGAACGTCTTGAACTGAGGAAACGAGTCAAGTTTTGAGTCCTACTTCCGATTGTAAGGCCCTAGAGCCAAAAGCTGATCGAAACAGTTTGACTCAAAATCCGTTGCGATGTGTGAGACCAAACAAGCAAAATAAGGTTGGATGCTGCTGATAGTTTCTGCAAGCGGCGCTGCAGATCAGTTCACAGGGGTGTGATTGCAGCCTTTATAGGGGATGAGAGAGAGGCCGAGGCAGCTCTAAACTACGATGTCCAAGACTGCAGAAGCTTAAGTAGAAACGGGAATGTTCCGCAGATCCAACTATGATCTCAGGCCACATTGTGAGCAGGGCATGAGACAAATCTGGTGTCAGACTTGACTCGACAAGCAACGATCCGCTCATCTTCATTAATTCGCTAAGCTAAAGGTGCGTTCCATGCACCTGCAATTACAAGGTCGATATAGCGTTGCTTCCTTCTCCTGAAATCATATTGGCGCAAATCATGATAGCGCCGCCCCCCGATGACCTTGGTCTTCAGAAGACTGAGTCAATGCAGTTTGATAATGAGCGCTTGTTTCAGTCTTCGTAACCTCGCGCAGGGCCATTGTCGCATAAACAGAGGAGCCCAATTCTAGCTCAATCTGAAGAGCGACGAATTTTCCGTCCGGATGGGATGCTGGAGACTCAAAACATAATATCTTATCCTCGTCCGACTGGGCAAGAGGGACCTCAGGATCTGTGTAGCAAAGTATCGACCAGGAAACTTCGCGGGAAGATACATGATCTTCCGATATGAGCCAGAAAGTGAATACTCCCTGAACTGCGTTGAGCATCGTCGCGTTCAATGATTAAGGTTCAGGATCTCACCTTCTTTTATGGATCAAATTGTGAGGGTCAAGTCCATCAGCGCGCATAAAAGCTTTATATTTTTCGCCCAATTCGCCCCCAGGGTATGCAACATCAGATCCTGGAAGAGGCATAATAACATCGTATATGGTGTAGTGTGGCAGATCTTCCTCTGTGAGAACCTTGGCGTTGTGGGATTTTGAGCGCCTTGCTGAACCTCCAGTATCATCCTCCACATTCATCTCGATTTCATCGGAGAACCCTGGCATGTAAATCAGCGTGTGTGAATTGAATTGCCAAGTCAGGGGGACGGTTTACCAGCATCTGCTTCAGCCTCTCTGTCTTCCGTATTTCCTGCTCCTCCTACTTTCGAGTTCTCTGCGATTTCGCTGGGGATTTGTCAAAACCAGGTCACCGATTACTGGGCCATCACATCCATATTTCCGGATGCGCTCTGACACGATGGCATTCCATACGTACGACTGGTACGCATGCACGTACATAAGACGCAAATTCTTCGGGATCTGGAGCGTCGGAGGCACACGGTCAGTGTGAAATTTTGTTGAAACGGGTGTCGACATACCGCACTCAGTGCACCCTGTAGGTCTGTAGCCAAACCGAAGTTCTTCTGAAAAGCTTCGAGAATGCTCCTCTCCGCCACCGCTCTTCGGGGCATCAGTGATAAAGCCCCTTCGAGATTCTGATGATCTAACCAGACGCGTCGGGCCGCCTCGCATCCGGAGATTCACCTGGACGTGGTCGAAGAATCAAGTCGATGGCTCTCTTCCAGTTCGACTGCAGTAACGCAAGTCCAATCGAGTGTGTTGGTACCGAAGACGTGCCAAAACGTTGCATGCCTACGGTCTTATCAGTCAGTGTTTCCACACGCTCAAACGCAACAACATGCACCATAATAGTTAATAAAGCCTTTCTGCTTTATAACTTCCATTGATCTATTTAGTGAATCCTCGGACTCGGCCTTGACATTCCTATACATCACCGTCAGCGCAGGCCTCAAGAGGCTTAGAAATACTCGCCTTAGTGTGATCACGAACTTGTTGCCTTCCAGCATCCCGAGTTCGAGGCCAGCTTTTCTGTACTCAAGATCGCCAATCCTAACACCACGCTCCCCTCTGGCCTTGACAGCTTCCTCAGCAGTTCTCCTTCCAGGAACATTATTCACCATTTTCCAGACGTCTTCGAGCGTTTTCCCATTCTTTTTAGACTCACGCGCTGTGTTGTAACGCCTCGCTTGTCCTTAGTCCCGCGACACCCAGGTCCTTGATGCTGCAATGCAACAAACGAGATATGTGGCCCAGAGCATCTTGTGTATCTCGATTGGCTTTGTGTAATGTGAAATGGATAAAAGGAGGGATTTGAGGCTTATTCACATCGCGAGTGCTCCTTCCCACTGGACTGTTCATTAGCATCCACAGGAGGATAGAGATGGATATGCTCACACGCGCCGCGGTGGTTCCATTTAATTCTGATCCTGGGCCGTCTCCCCTGGTTCCGGATCCCCCGCTTCAGTCTCTAATTTCCCCTCGAATAACTCGCGAATAATTTGATGAAAAGCAGTTCTGTCTGTTTTGCTTTGGATAGGCTATAAAGGTGACACCAGGAATAGCACTCAGTAAGTCTGTTATGTAAATTCGGTTTACGGATGCGAACCTCTGATAGAACCGAGCGACTGTCGCTTCGCCTTTTTTCTCGCTCCACACGTCCTCTGCTGCTTCGACTACGACCTCGATCTTTCCCCTTCCCGCGAGCCCCTTTCTTCCCATTTGGATGCATTGATGCTGAAGTCTCGGGGACTGAAATCGGTGTTGTTGAGTCTTGAGGGGCAGCAGGAGTACCGACGATTTCCAGGACACCTGATGAATTCCCCAACGTCGATTCAGAGCTAGGAGGGACCGAAGGCGTAGGGCCTTGGAGAAACATTTCTTTGAGCCTCTGAATTGTGGATAATGGAAGTAGAGGTAAAAGCTTTTCGTCAAAATGGCTTGGCCATGGTTCCTCCAGTGCTTCCGCCTTTTCAGGGAGATTTTTATGGACATTGAGAGATCGCTCTTCTTTTGTGGTGGTTGCCTCGGTGGTGACGAATGGGGTAGTGGTTGGGTGGGTTGCTTCATCGATCCTCGGTTGTGGCTGATCTGAAGTGGATTCGGGCTTCTCTATGCACTTGAGACGTACGACCTCATTTTGGAGATTGATTTCATATACCAAGAAATCTGTAAATCTCTCGATAGAAGAATGTGAATGTGGATACTGATGTGTATGACGTTGTCAGATACCTCTGCTTAATTATTCCAGTAAAGGCAGGGACATCCTTCCCACATATTCCGAAATCCCAACATCAGTTTCAAGGACAAAGTTTACGCGATCCTTTGGCCGTTCAGACAAAGACTCAGCAGCCAAAAGAGACCGACTGGAGGCAAGAGGTCCTCGGTGCCATATTCCCCCATTTTCGAACTGGTGATGGGTTTCTCCCCATTGAACTCCTTTGGATCTTCACCCATGGAGACATCCTCAGCATCGGGAGCTGAGGGCTCGATCGTACTAAGGACTTCTGGGATCTTTTCTACCCTTGCACGTTTGAGAGAAGGTTCCGCTTCCCTCTCATACTCTCCATCCCTCCGCTTGGCGCCACCATAGTCGCTATTAGTAGCGGTGTCCATATTTTCCCTCGAGCTAAAGTTACAATGAAGGCGTCCTTTTGACGCCAAATCGATACAAACAAAATCGTCGTATCCCCACAGTGGCTAGATTTCGCGTCACGTGTTGTAATCGAAGATCTCAGTGGAAGCTAGATGGCTAAACCCTATGCTGAACGCGCAAAAAACTTTTCCAACGTCGCAGCGAAGTCGCTGCTCGAGGTGATGGAAAGAAAGCAGACGAACCTCTGTGTCAGTGTAGATGTAACAAAGACCGCCAATCTGCTCCGAATAGTTGCCGCCGTCGCCCCCTTCGTCTGCCTTATAAAGGTTTCTTGTGCCGCCTGCGGACGTGTCTCTATCCTGATCTAGGGTCCAAATCCACTTTATAGACCCACGTCGATGTGATAGAGGACTTTGATCCTGAATTTATCGACCAGCTTAAGTCTCTGAGCACGGAGCACGACTTCCTCATTTTTGAAGATCGTAAATTTGCTGACATTGGTATGGGTCAAATGTTAGCAGCGGTGAAATCTGACTCATATAGCATATGATCTTTGACATTCGGATCCTCAGGAAATACGGTCTCACTCCAATATTCAAGCGGGATACACAAGATTGCGTCTTGGGCCCACATAACCAACGCACATCCCATCCCGGGCCCGGGGATCATCGAAGGTCTGGCCTCTGTCGGACTCCCACTCGATAGGGGTCTTTTGCTGCTATCTGAGATGAGCTCAACGGGGACACTCGCCACGGGTGAATACACGAAAGCAACAATTAACATGGCCCGAGGCGCCGAGACTTCGTCATAGGCTTTATCGCCATGAAGGGCATTTCAAAGGATGCAGACACTCCTCCTGACGAGGATTTCTTAATTCTGACCCCCGGAGTAGGGCTTGATGTGAAAGGAGATGCTCTTGGTCAGCAATACAGGACGCCACAAGAAGTCATCGCTGCAGGTGCTGACGTGATTATTGTCGGGAGAGGCATTTATGGGAAAGGAGAAGGCTACCCTACTAAGGAGATTGTCCAACAGGCAGAAGGTACCGCACCGAAGGATGGTCAGCTTATCAACAGCGGTTGAAACAAGATGCTTAAGTACGTCAGAACGGTCTGTTTACGATGATTACATGGTCATGCTAAAAGTGCGGCAATAAACTCCCCGTCATTTCTGGCCAGGATTGGCATAGCGCTGTACAGCCCGTTTCCGCGCTTCAGCATGCTCCACCAAGGGCGCGGGGTACCCCAGCTTCTTGAAGGTGTTCTTATCCAAATTCTGGTATGGGTTATAAAGTGCTAGAATCTTTTGGTACCATGGTTGAGACCCTCCTGAAGTACTGCGCTCACCTTTTCCTTTGAGATGTTTTAATTCTGGAACGAAATGTCGAATATAATTGCCTGGATGGGGTATCTAAACTTTCCTGTTAATGAATCTAGAGGGAGACGTACCAGTTGGGTCTGCCTAGTGTCACAACTTCAGTTATTGAGATACCAACAATGGGTGTATGCAACAAACCTTTTCACTCTGGGTATACGGGTTAAACACACGGAAGTATGGCTGAGGGTCCGTTCCTGTTGATGCTGACCACTGCCAACCCCCGTTATTACTGGCAAGATCACCATCGATGAAAGTACGCATGAAATGCTATGTGAATGATCCATACGTCAGTAACCTAAATGTTAAAATTTCAGCAGCTGAAACCTTTTCGCCAAGTCGCCAGTCAATCATCAAATCCTTGGAGAGATACATCGCAGCGATCATTCGTGCTCGGTTGTGCATCCAGCCTGGTGAAGTATGATGCGAAGTCCTACATACACTAATGGAAGCTTACCTTGAGTAGCACCCTGCCTCATGGCTGCGTCCACAATCGGCACACCCGTCTGACCCCTGCACCATTTTTCAAAGTGATTTCCATCTGTCTCCCAAACGACGTTGGAAAACTTCTCGTTGAATGGCCTTCCCATCGAAACCCGGGGAAATGCAGCGAGAACGTGAGTGTAAAAGTCCCTCCATGCAACCTCCGAAAGGAATGATCCAGGACCTTTGTTCCGATCTGGATCGATACCTTTATCCTGGGAGTCAAATTCCATGGTTCTGCGGACAATTTCCCGAGCTGAAATCACCCCGGAGGCAAGGTACGGGCTTCATGGTATGACATTTGTGAGAATGGAGCTGAATCACGACGGAAGGATGTTGTCACCTCATACGTGAGCTGCTATCGATGTCGCAGCGAGCTCGGTCACCCCCATACATTTGGATACGAGTGCCCTTGCTTGATTCATTGGCACCATCAGCTAAAGGCGATGAATCACCGACTTGGCTCTCCCTAGCTTCGGTGCGGAGGAATCTATCAAATATCTTGGGATATATGCAATTAGCCGCTTTCATTCGTATCCGATCGCAAAACTCACAGCACGAGCCGCATGAATACCGGCAGGCCATAGCTCCTTCATTTTCTCTTGATCGTGACATTCGAAGCCGGGCACCAACTCCGGGACTTCACTGTCGAAGAGTGCAGCAAATTCACGTTTTTTCCTGATGGAAGGATCATTCGGTTTCAACGCCTCGCTCTCTTCCACAAGTCCTGGTTTGCTCCTGACTTTCTCGGTCCACTCTACTCATTAATCAATTCATACGTGATCACGCCCAATATATTCACACATACTTTTAAGCCAGGGGCTATAGACCTGAGTGATAGATAGTAAGCACCTTAGGGAAAATGAGTAGCGAGATGTCAGCTCACGGCATATTGAGTCCCTGAATTAGTGGAGAAGCTCAATGGTTCAACAATGAGCTTGTCCGGGACAAACTTGGCCTCAATACCAATGCCGTCTCCAGAGAGAGCGGTGACAGCTATATCTCGGCGTAGCTCGTCAACTTCGTATTCAATGTTAGCGAACAAATGGCCCCCTTTCCACTCATGAAGCAGAGATATGACGCGGTTGGGTATCTGCTTGCGTGGTTGGTGGCTGGTGACGTAGAGTGGGATGTTCATATCCTCCAAATTAGTCTAGAACCGCGCCCCGTCATCAGGAACATACTGGCCATCAAGTAAGAAGGCTTACCTTGAGGATCCTCAAGTTACGCAGCATAAAATCAATGCGACGGGGGGAGCGGTCGTGAGACTCGTAGTCGCCGGAACTGATAATGAACAACACGATAAGAGGAATAGAATGCTTCTGAGCATATTGGGATGCAAGAGTCAACGCTCGGTTGTCCTCGACTTCCGGAGTTCTAGTGAGTGGCCTGCACATACGACCTTGAAACCAAATACTTACTTCGCATATCCTCCATTCGCATCCAATAAACTACGCATTCTCTGGGAGGAACGGGGCGCATCTCTTTCGTGGCAATTAGTAACTTCTCTAAAGGCAAATTGGCATCTATAGCCGCTGCTGCTTCTCGTGTGGCCACCTTTCCAGGAAGCTCACAGATAGAGATTGAAGTATTGGATGACGTTCCCTCTTCTTCGCCCCTCTCGGCATGCTCTCCTTCATTCTTCCTCGATTTTTTCTTCCCAAAATCAGTTAGTGAAAGTTGGCGCTTGGTCGCAGGCATTTTGAGAGTGGAACTGAGGGACGGAGTTGGTTGTAATTGTAAATGGGTGACGAAAGTTTTCCGCCGTAGCGAATGGGGCGTTCTTATGGGGGACCTTTGTATAACGGACATGGTTTCGAATTGAGTCATCCGCCTGCGTCAGATTTGGAACCGAGGATCGAGGATCGAGGACCGAGGCGGATGCAAGTCTACACAAAAGTCCGCTGCACGTGGCCGCCATGAGCAACAATGATGACAGCATGGCGGATGACTCTGGGAGGTGAGCTCGGATATTCTGGATGAAAAGCACGATATTTATGGCGCATATGACTTATGTTACCGAAGGCTCCGGCCGGTAACGCCTCCCATCGACCCCATCGTTGCTTCGATAGCCATTCGCCTTCAGCCCCCGGGGGCAGGTTCTCACGATGATGATTTCATACCCAAAGCTAATCAGACAAAGGACGAGATCACTTCTGACGATGAAGATGAGCTCTTCGCTGAGTTGGAGAGAGATGACTATGGTGCACTTCGAGAGAAGCGGCTTGACGCTCTCAAAGCTGAGATTGACAGAGCTAAAATATTACGCGAGAGCGATCATGGAAAACTCACGGAGATCACAGATGAGAAAGAAGTGGTGCAAGTTAGTGCGTGAGTTCATACTAGTGTCGGAGACATTGCTTTCCTTACTCAAGTGTTTTCTGCGTAGAAAGGAGGATCGTTGCATAGTTCACTTCTATCACAGAAATTTCCGTCGGTGTGAAATCATGGACAAGCATCTGGAGGTCCGTCCACATCCTTGAGCAACTCTTCTTACCTTGGGATTCATGCTTTTGTTTGTTAGATCTTAGCGCCAAGCATTTTGGTACACGCTTTATCCGAGTCTTTGTGGAAAATGTCCCTTGGCTCGTTGAGAGGTTGGAGATTAAAGTCTTGCCCTGCGTGATATGCTTCATCCGTGGCATCACAAAGGACAGGTACATACGTCGTTGACTTCAAACTCGGGAGTGGTCGTGTTCTCATGCTTCATGTCTTGAGGTTGATAGGCTTTGACGAGCTGGGGAATGATGATTCATTCACTACTTCTGTCCTTGAACTACGTCTCGTGCAGTCAGGTACGCAAACATTTTGTGTATGAAACTTGCTATTGATCATGAGTGTCAACAGGAGTTATTTCTTTGCCTGAATCGAAGTCCAACTCGGTACGTGGACGGATATCGGGCGGAATTCGAGATGAGCAGCATGACGGGGATTATGACTGAATGACATGCATTTAGCGCCTAGCGTAGCTTGGAAAAGCGCCTGCGCTTTGTTTTATTCATTACTTAGGCCCATTGATCACGGCTTTAATTACGCCTTTGCCATCTGCACCCTTTCCGGCGCGAGTGGTGGCAAACGCTTCATCTGCCTTCTCAAATGGATATCTGGCGTCGGTCGTCAGTTATAAAAATCTTAATGAGTGTTTCAGGCTTACTCGTGTGTTATGAGAGACTTTACGTCAATCTTGCCTTGAGCAACAAGGGAAATGGCGAGGTTATAGTCACCGGGGCCATACCGGAAAGAGCCTAAGACTCTGAGCTCCTTCGCAATTAACGTTGTGATGGGGAGGACAATCTCGGGTGAGCCCATTCCAACCTTTAGATGATAAAGCGAGGATGAGGCATGTTGGAAGCGCGGCGAAGACCCTTGACTCACCTGGATATGAGTCCCTCCATACTTAACAAGGTAGATACCCATTCGAATGCATGCCTCTGCGCCACTGGCATCGATCACAAGATCGATTGCTTTCGGACCACGCTGTTCAATATCCAAACCTTTCGCCAACAGGTCTGTTACTCGTCTAGAATAATCTATCTTGTTCTCTCCCTCTTCAGGCTTAGGAGGGAGAAATACGTCTGTGGCAGCGTACGAAGTAGCAAAGGCAAGTCGTTCCTTGACAATATCAATGCCTATAACTCTCTTCGCGCCCAAAGCTCTCGCGACCGCCATACACAGTAGGCCGACAGGACCTGCACCGAATACGGCTATCGACTGGTTGGAATGGAATTGGCCCAGGGTGGAAACACTGTGTATACCAACCGAGAGGGGCTCCATCTGGGAATCGGTTGAGTATTTTCAGCCTCTTTAAGAGCCAAACCCCGTTGTTCGAGACTTACTAGAGCGCCTTCCTCAAGAGACATATTAGCAGGCAGCTCATAAGCCAAATCCGCAGGTAGTGAGTAGTATCTAGCAAGAGTTCCGTCATAGGGCGGCGTCGCAGCAAATATCATGTCTGGACAAAGCTGGTACCTCCCCGATTTGCAGGATTCGCAGCGGGTGCAAGAGCGGCCAGGCTCGAGGGCAACCTTAGCTCCCACCTTCAAATCTTTGACCAAGGAGCCTGTTGCAACAACGATTCCCGCGGACTCATGACCTAAGACCATGGGTTCCTTAACTACGAAGTCGCCAATCCTTGCAAAGAATACATGAGTCTATATAGGCCCGAGTAATGATAACTAGGTGTTTACCTTCCGTGGGCTGTCTCAGCAAGTTACCGGAGTTAGTGCTTGAGAGTGACCAGGCCGAGAGCATTATATACCAAGGTAGTGGATGTCACTTCCGCATATGCCTGGAAATTGCAATGAGGTCAGTGTTCAGCGGCGAAAAGCGCAGACATACCTGTCTTCTTCACCTCAACAAGGACATCGTGCGCTCCAACTAGTAAACGTATTCAGTGGCACCTCAAACCCGAAGAAGTAAGACTCACTTTCGGGGATCTTCCTCTCTTCGAAAGCAGTACTTTCCACACCTTTTAAAACGAATGAACGATTAGACTCGTTCGCCATGATCGATGGGAAACGGATAGAAGCCACAAGCCGATGACTTCCACATTTGACCAATATGATCACAGACTGTGACTGGAAAGACGTGACAAGACACAAAGGACCCAAGGGAATTTGAAATAGTCCTGTTGAAAAAAGTCTGCAAGTAGCGGAATGTCAGCCATTAGCCACCTCCTGGCTTCGATATCGCCATTGCTATCTACTTTGGAAAATGCCATTCAGGAGATATCTCATGTGCCATCTGAAGTCGACACCCTCCGAAAGCATCTCGAACAGGCCTCGGAAATTGTGGAAAAATCAATAATGGTGGAGAAGAGTTTGCGATCTCGCTATGCAGCTACGCTGAACACCATTTCCCCGGTCATGGTCCTTCCACGGTGGATCATTCTAGACGTCTTTTATATGGCAGTGCATGCTGAGGAGGAGACCACCTCCCGTCCCGCCGATATATCTTTGGTGTGTAGGTCCTGGAGGGATCTGGCAGGATCTTGCGCTGTGCTATGGACCAAGGTGCATGTTGATGCCACGAAAGTCTACATGTTGGAGAACCTAAGCACCAAGGTAAAGCGTGTGCCAATAGAACTGGACATTCAGAGGAAGCGCGGGGGGGACCACTTATGGATGTTCAACAATAAGAAGATGCCTCGCATAGGTTCCCTCCGAATGACGCTCGCACAGGACTACTGGCGTTTTGTTCCATTCAGACTATTGGAGGATGGTCGTATCGATACGAGCGACCTGAAGACTTTGGATCTCCGTATGGATCCATCGATATATCGAGGGCATGGATCGGGATTCTGCAATGTCAGCCTGAATCACATCAATGCGCCATTGCTACGAACTTTCAAGATCCAGGAATTCAAAATCACCTCCATGCCCAATGTTCCGTTCCATCTTACCACCCTATCGATATGTCGGACAGCGATGGAATATGAAACGCTCCGCCAATTTCTCGAACATTCTCCTGATCTCGAAGAGTTGTCCATCTACTCCATCAGTTTTTTTCGAGGGGACTCTGAACTATATGAGGCCCTTCCAGTCACTCTTCCACGGCTTAAACGCTTCGCCCTTGAGGCAACATCATACATGCAATTCGTGACCCTGGTACTTCCTCTAGGAGCTCCGGGTTTGGAATCATTATCCATCACAGTCAACTTCGATGGCGAGGATGGTGACTTGTGGGCTGACCATAAGTATGCCTCCATTCTGAAATCATTTGTAGGAAGCACATATACTTCTCACCAGAATTCCTGCTAACTCATCCTTGACCTAGCTCTCCCGTGTCTCAACCCATACCCTCATTCGGGTTGCGTTGTTTTCCCTTACCGGTATTATTTGTGAATTTATTAAGGTATTGGATGCTCGGTATCCAAACAACAACAACAATCGCTCCAGGGGACTTGAAGCCCTAACTCTCGGAATCTCGACCGAGTGGCTCGACGAAAACGATCCCGAGAATTTATGCACTAGAGACCATCTACGAGTGCTGGTGGAGACCCTAGCGACACATTGCCAGCCATTGCGGGAGTTACACCTCTCAAAAGCCCTGGTGGGTAGTGAGGAATTTCGCAGGGATTTGGAGCGCTGGGTTGGGGTCCTCAACATTGACACAAATCGACCTTATGTTACATGATTACAAACGGTACCGAAATCGTTGTCTGCCCGAGGTTGCACAACATATATAGCCAGAAACGCCATTCCGAATAAATTGAGCATCCGTAGATTGTTGGCAATGAATTCATTGGGTCTTGCGTTAAGTAGGTTAGCGAGAAATCTCTAGAACGTAAAATCGACATCGCTCACTTTAGATGAGGGCTTAAGTGCGCGCGTAGCAGGAGCAAGTTGTGATAATCTTCTCATCTTTGCGGCGAGGGCAATCATGACGAGACTGCTCGCAAGATAGGTCATGGCAGGTCCTGGTTGGGAGGTCATAACGATATGAGACCACGTCGGATTGCATCATATTGAAGAGACCCACCGAAAGACCAGTACGAGGCGCATGCTGCGCGCGCCAGAGTTCGGTTAGCGATGATTTCCATACGACTTTGCAGTATGTACTTGCCTAGAAGCGGTCCGATTGCTCTTCCAAGCTGGCCAGATGATCTAAACTTCCCCAATGCTCGACCTTTCCTGAGTTCCGGATGCGTTGGAATACTGTCTTCCTCTAGACCGTCGTCACACTGAAGGGAAGCGGCGGACGTGAGAGCATTCACGACTGTAGCTGATGTGAAGGCAAAGAATGCAGCGGATAAGTACAGGAGCCGTATGGCCTTTGGTATTGTTCGCGGTTCTTTTGCCAAATTGGGGATACGAGATAGAATGATCAATGATATGATGCAGCTCATCACCCCACGACGAGCCATCTTGATTTCACCGACTTTTCCGATCATCCGTCGTACATATCCCCCTTGAAGTACAGTCGAGAGAACACCAATTAGACCTAATAAGCGCCCGTTTTCAAGGTTGTTCCAGTCGAACACTGGTCAGATTAGTTTAGCATCATACCAAAATTGCGGAGCTTATTCATACGCACAATCAAATGTCAAAAACATGAGAGTGAATTCAACGCCTGAACGATTGATTATTTGAAATATCTTGAGACAGTGACATGTGGATACTTACCCGAGAAGACGGAAAGGAAGAGGAAGTGGTAACGCTTCAGAGCTTGTAGTGTATCGAGCCGAACCTCCGTTGATGAATATTTTGGCTTCCGGAGTGTGGGCGAGACGTCATTCGAGTCGACAATATCATCCAAGTCCGCAAGCGGTCCCCTCCCTTTCGTTTCAGGTAAGAAATAGGCTAGGAATGCTGTCTCTATCGACAGCAAAACCAGGGTTAATGCCGCCGGAGCAGCGTATATATTGAGTTCTACTCCGGCAAGCGATGTGGATATCGGACGAGAGGCAAAGTACGCCCCGAGCGGCGGACCAATCTGCTCAAAATGGGATTAATAAATAAATTAGAAGTAGCAGGAGGAGTCTCCTGACACAAAAACAGATTCCAAACGCAATTCCGACTAGCGATAGGGCCCTTCCCCGCGCCATAGGAGTCGTTATGTCAGAAAGAATTGCTCTGCAGAAGATGGATTCGCAATCTAGTCGATATGGCGGCCAGTCAGTCGAGGACTTACATTGAGAGCTGAACATTTCCTTCACTAATCCCACCTATCGCTCGGGAAAGCATGAAGGATGCGAAGGACGTTGACTGTAGCCATCTGTGAAGTCATGAATCAATGGGCATCCCTGCCGAAGGGCCAAGATCCGTACACAATCGCGGACAGCAAGTTCCCAATCATCGATAGCATTAAAATTCGTTTTCTCCCAAACTTATCGCTCAAGGTTCCCAATGCCGGCGAGATAATGTATTGGAGGGTTCTTGCATCATTGTTTCATTGGGAGGAAACAATACGAAACAAAGCTCACTCACGAAAAGAGCGAGCCTAAAAGACCCTTCGTAAGAGTCAAATTACGGACCATGGGACGGATAGAAACCTTGCCTACCCCTAGCAGCACAATGTCCCATCGTTTTCTGACCGACTCGCCGCGTGCATCAGACAAAAACCAGCTTCTGATGCGGGTGACAATGCTCAGAGATTTGTAAAGTATGCCATTCACATCTTTCCCTTCCCGGGAAGTATACCATTCAATAAGTCGAGGGAAGAGCGGTAACGGGATCGTGAACGCTTTGGGGAACCGAATTAGCAGCTGATAATAAAGGCAGCAAGGGCCGGACCTAAAAGATCGATAACAAGGGCGAAGAAAACCACTCTTTGTATACGTGCTGACATCGAAGAATACGACCCTTACGCCTGTGTCTAAATTCTGAGTGACGTGGGTGTAAGCTACTAGCAGTTGTTGCACACGATATGTTGCTGTTCTGGATATTTAACTTGCAGACTTTAGGCTGCTCATGAAAGCGCCAAGGACACGGTCTTCGGAATAAATACGCGAAAACAAGGCGAGCTCTGTCCAAGTGACCTAAATCCTACTCCACTGCCGAGCCTTCGCATGCACTGCTCCCGGCGTGTTGGCCTGCTTAGCAGGATGGCCAGTATGAGAAATATAATTGAAAGGTCAATTCAAGCAACCGCTCGTTCGGGCAGCATAGACCGTATCTAGGGCGCTCAGCTATTTCCGCCTATACCGAGTTAATCACGAATGCAACAGACACCCAATAACCCTTTCAACAACCCCTTAGCCAGTCATTCCTTTATCATATGCTGTTCTCTCTTCGTCCGTGTTTGTCTCCCTCTGAGACGTGCAATCCCTGATATACAGTCCGGGCTCAGCAAATCGTGGCCACCCTCGCCATTCGGACAGGACCTCAAAGGTTCCCGTAGTACAGTGATCTGGGGGTGACTGCGCTTGCTCCGACGTCTCGGAATTCGGCGGCTTGTATGCCGCCGAAGAGGGTCCATCCAATGAAGCGACGCTTTCCCAAAGGAAGGTGGCGAGGGACAACCCAGCAGTTATGCTGAGTAAACTAGTACTATTAAACCCGTCCTTTTGTGAGGCAATCGGCAGGAACACTACGATGACCCCAGATATCAAACGTGGTGCTAAACGCACACGCTGAGAGGATATCAAAAGTCTCGAATAGTTCAAGAAAGTCTTCGACTTACTTTTGGAAACCATAGCTCGTCAGGAGCATCCAATTCTTTCTCCAATGCGGCAAGCGCTGTTAAACCAAACATTCCAGCCGAATAACCTCCACAAAATATCCATCTGACTACTTCCTCTACCCTGTCTACCTCCATGACTAACTTTACAGAGGAATTGCCACAAATGGTCAGGGCGCTGACGATGGGAATGTGCAGTGTAAACCATAACGCAGCACAAGGGACACTCTGAAAGTATCCTATCTCAGTGATGAAATTAGCATACAGAGTATACTATGGATACGCACTCGGCGGATTGGATGAGTGATTTTTTTACTCCCTCCTCCTCCCATATAGAGTAGCTGAAAACACGAAACAATGACCAGCGCCAGAACAATGCGTCCCGCAGATCCATGCACACCAGTTCCGGCTGGCTGACGCGAAATGAGAGAGATGATGAACTCGCCCATAACTAGAGTGAAGAAGTCATGAAATCGCTCAATTTCGTGGTCCTGCAGCGGTAAAATCAATCCCATAGTAACGGGGGGAAAATGAGCCGTACTATCCCAACAGCGGCAGAGTAGTGAAGTTTCATCAGTCGTTGGAATGATGGCGAAGCAATGAATGCCCATGTAGAATATTCAAAGCTGCATAGCGAAGTGTGAATTAGCAACGATTTAAACAGCTGAGGCAAGTTCATACACAAGTGCGACCGTAACTGCTACTGCGGCTGACCATTTCTCAAGAAACGCGGCAGCGATCCACAAGCAAGCACATATCATCCAGCTGAGTACCTGAACTCGTATTTGGGTCCTGTAGGGTTTTGCGAAGAAGCTATACCAGAACAAAGTCCCGTGAATGCCTCCAGAAGCCAAAAGGTATGTCCCTATTGCGGTGACGCGTGCACCGCTTTCGTGTCTCCCCTCTTCAGCCTTTGTAGCATTGTTTCCGAATATCACAAGCATAATCATCACGTAAATTACCAGACCCTTTTGTTGCAAGTCGTCATTCCAGAATGAATTAAACAGTTCGCGAACATGGCTCCAGATGCTCCATGCCGCCCCAAAAGTTATGAAATATTTGGCGAGGTGCGGGCCATCAAGATTCTCAATACATTCCTCCGCCAGGACGGAGACGAGACCTTGAAGGATGTCAGGAGATGTTTAAGTCGGGATGCCATAATGATATATCCTGACCAACGAAAACCAGATCAAAGAATAGCCTTGCAGCAATAAGCCGATTGTGGCAAATCCATTAGTGCCTAGAACTCACTCAAGGCGAGTACTGGATCGTTCTTCATTATCTCTGATCAGTGTATTGCCGCAAAAATACTGAAGAGGACGCTAAAAGCCGCGGTTGATGTGAGTAGCACATTCGATTGAGCTGGTTTGGTTGTACACACCGGCCGACGAAATAGGTATCTTCTCCCGCGGCGAAACTGACGGGCGAGAGCATCCTTCCGTTCGAATATGGCATACCTGTCTCCCTCCTTGTGGGCTTGAGCTGCATTCTGCTCGAAGCTTACGTGATCAATATGTCCAAATTTGAGATGAGATGCATGGATATGAGGAAGATGGAGATGGGGGGCATGGAAGTGCGGCTGCGAGGTCGAGGTTGAGGGCGGCGTAGATATGCTGGTGAGAGGCTCCATGGCTGAGGAAGTCACAGGAAACTTTGACGGTATTTCAACCGTGCCTGGGGGGCGCTATTCGAAGCCCGAAATGCTTGGCTGGCGCATGTTACACTCCCGTAGCCAGGCAATGCTCATGAGACATAGTCCTAGCTTCGTGATTGGGTGCGACATAAGATGCAACTGCAGGGAGTTTGCAAGCTGGAGTTACAATATTGACAGTTCATGCCAACTGACAATTGCTTTGAGTCAAAATATATGTAACTCTGACATGAATACCTCAATCTAGAGAAATTTACCACATATAGTGCAGCGCATTCAACAAAATTCACAAGCCCAAACAGGGAGACAATCGCATGGTGGAAGAATATCGGAGTCATAAATTCAAACTGCATCGACGCACCGGTAAATGGCACACAAAGAGAATATTTTAAGTATGGGTTTTTTTGGCAATACATAAATCAATTGCATTGTACTGTAGATAATGGCCGAGGTGATCCTGATGCTCTGGAAAGAGCACTTGGGCCCCGCGGGAGCACCTGCATGCAGCAACACATGTGCAGAGGCCATCTGCAAAAGCGGGGCGGTGTGCCCGAAACAATACTGAATTGTAACGTGCCTTTCTGCATATTATGTAATATTTCTGGAACCCCAGGTTAAGTTTAAAATCCCGGAATGAGTTTGAATTGAAGAGGGTAAAGTCCTGATCATACAGCTATGCTCTTTGCTTCTTCCGTCTGTGCCCGCTGAGAGAGGCAATCTCTGACGTAAAGTCCGGCTCGGCCAGGCATGGTCGACCCCGCCATTCCCAAGGTACCTCCCATGTGCCAACGGGCTTCTCTTCGATGCTTCCTGCCGCAGATGACCGTTGTCGCTGGAGCTGAGGTCCCACCGAAGGTTCTCGCTGATATGTCGCAGATGCAGGCCCATCCAAGGACGCGATGTTCTCCCAAAGAAGTGACCCTAAGGACAGAGCGGCCGCTATTCCAAGCAAGCCAGTGTTGTCAAGGGTCTTCAACGGAGCTATTGGCAAGAAAGCGACAGTGATACCGGAAAATACGCGTGGCGCAAGACGAAGGATCTAGTGAGGAGTTAATGTTTACTCCAAATATTACAGTCCTAGAGTGGTGTCATACCCTAGGAAGCCATAGCTCATCGGGTACATCCATCTCCTTTGGCAACACGGCGAGAGCGGCTAGGCCGAGCATGCCAACGGAGTAACCTCCTGAGAAAATCCATCGGACCCCATTTCTCACCTCATCGGATGTCTTAACCAACTCGGCAGCAGAATCCCGCATATGGTCAAGGCACAAACAATAGGAATATGGAGCGTGAGCCAAATAAAAGCGAATGGGCCACTCTATAAAATCGTAGGATTAGGATTGATCCTGAATCGGCGGAAGCGTGCTTACTCTACGGAGGGGATGTGTGGTTCTTTTGCTTCCACCCCCGCCAACGTGAAACATTTGAAAACAGAATGCTACTATTAAAGCAAAGAAAATCCTCCCAGCGGAGCCATGCACTCCCGGAACGCCAGCGGGCCGGCCAAAAATGAGGGGAAGTATGAATTCGCCCATCACAAGGGTGAAGAAGTCACTGAAACGACCTATTTCGTGGTCCTTGGATAATATATTAAACTTTGAATCTGAACATAGTTATATTTTGGCCTTACAATCGCAACCGCGCTAGAGTAGTGCAACTTCATGAGGCGCTTGAAGGTAGGGGAGTAGACGAAACACCACGTTGAGTATTCCAGTCTTCAAGGTGCGAAGTCAGGATGTTATATGTTAGCGGGAAGTGTTAACACTCACACTAGGGCGACTGTTGCCACGATGGCTGCACATGTATTTCAAGAAATATCGTACTTATCCACAGACCAGCGCATAATAACCATGAAAAAGCGTGCACTCGAACCTGAGTTCTCCAAGCCTTCACGAAGAAACTATAGAACAATAGAGTGCCATAGATGGCTGCAGAGGCCAGGAGGTAAGATCCTATCGTCGTGCTGCGCGCACCGCTCTGATGTCGAGTTTCCTCTACGTTGACGGCATTGTTCCCGTATATGATCAGCATAAACATTACATAGACGACGAGACCCTTCTGTTGCAAGTCATCGTTCCAGAAGGAGTTAAATAGCTCGCGAACATATCCCCAAATATTCCATGCGGCACCGTACGTCAGGAGGTATTTAGCAAGATGGTCGCCATCAGGGTTCCGGACGTACTCCTCTGAGAGCACGGAGATGAGGCCTTTAAACAACGAGGTCATTTGCGCAAGGCGATTTGATGCTAGCTAAGCACTTACCAACAAAAACAAGATCGAAGAAGAGCCTAGCGCCAACCATCCTGAGGTCAGGTTTGAGAGAGGAACGCAATGAGTTTCAACTCACTCTAATCGACCAGTGGAGCGCTCTTCGTGATCCCTTATGAGAGTCTTGCCTCGAAAGTATTGAAGGGGTCGCTAGATCCAGTATGAGGATCAGTTACTGTGGTATTAACCGTCATACATCCGACTGACGGGACGACGGAACAAATATCTACGCTCCCGATGAAAGCGTCGTGCAATGGCATCGTCACGCTCGCAAATTGCGTGCTTATTCCCTTCGGTGGGCTGTTGGGTAGCGTTCGCTTCAAAATCCGCATGGTCGATCTCCCCATATTTCAGATGGAACGGGACTCTATGGGGAGTCTGAGTTACAGAGGAGGAAGAGGGGGCAAAACTGGGAGAGGAGTTAACTAGAGACAGTTCTTTAGCGCTCTGCATGAAGGTCAGGCACACAAGACATGAGGAAAGGAATTTCACACGATTGATTTAGAATTGGCCTCCGCAAACTCACGTCTCAACGAGGCTGCGGGGCAACAAAATAGAATACAACAACAACAACTACTGTGCAATAATTTAAGTAACATGCGTAGTGGACAGAAGGGTATTATGCATCCTTTCTGGTACCGTACGTAGAACTTAGTCGTTGAAGTAGCCATTCCTTGGACGTTAGAATCCTATCAGTCGGTACGCCAAATCGGTTACGGACACTTCCCCGGTTGTCAGAGTCTCCTTCTTGACCCCTTGAATACAAGGAGATGGGCTGGAGGGGAACCGAATCCTCTGGGTGACTGTAAAGGGTGTAGTCAGATGGAGGAGCAATGACACGGAGAGCTAATCCTACAGGAAGTATGCAATCGAGAAGCGCGGTCGGCTTCCCTCTATGGTCCTAGGGCATGAGACCCGATGGATTGTGGATTTAAACTTTCCATTTGTCCAAAAATCGAAGGCATCTCCAACATTGACAAGCACCGCATCGTCAACGACAGGAACGTCAATCCATCTCAGCTCGCTGTCATTCGATATACTCGGCGATAGTATTTGTAACCCCCCTATGTCCTTCTGAACCAATGGATAATTGTTGAAGGTGAGGATGGATGCATTCTACTCAGACAGCTGACCTGGAACAGCAGCGTGCAAGTACCATAATCAGAGTGGGCTCCCGCCCGGATATCATCTGACACATTCTCCATAGATATCGGGGAGACCGTAGTTGCAGGATAATAGAGAAGTCTGAGTATGGATGATTGTTCCTGGTCGAAGGCGTGCCTTGAAGTGAAATAATCCTCCTCTAGCTGCCGACTTGAAGTTAATCAGATGTTTCCTCTGAATCGGGAGGTCCGATTACCCACCCCCATGTCAATCGCGAATGCCCTGAGAAGCTGCATGCACAAATCGTGGCATGATTGCATGAACAAGTAGAGCTCATCCTTCCGTTCGTCCAATGAAGGTGGGAGTGGTTGTGCTGGTTTTCCATCCACAAAATGGCCTAAGTTAAATGCTCTGGGACATAAATGCATAAATAAAACCACCATCTGAACTTTGTGTGGTGTACTCAACTCCTTGAGGTCTCCTTTGGATAGTTGACTTTATCTAGCCTGACGAAGCGATTGAATATCAAAAATCTCGGGAGCCTGATGGAGCGCGCACGCCTCTTGACGCCTCTTGACCCATCCCTTGTTTCCTACTGTTATTGAGACGGCCTCTTTGTTCTCGTCCGTTTCCTCTTCGAAGAAACGCTGGGAGATGCGGAAGATATTCTCAATTTGTTCTTTGGAAGGAGTTGATGGGGATTTAAGAGTTAGAAAACCAAGCTTCTGGATCGACTCGCTAAGAGAAACCAGTCCTTCACGGGTCTCATTCGTCCCAAGATTAGATAAGTCTGCCAGTGGAATGGATGTCATCGCTGGCTGAGCCGGAAGTAAACCGGTTCCCACGCCAAATTTGTTGGCCTTCACACTCACTGGTGCATGGGAACACGCAGAAGACCTTCGGCTTTCCGACTCTCATTCGGCTCTGGTGTGCCATTACCCTGTACTACGGTGCCAACGATAATCTATTGAGGAGTCATTGCTGGAAATGGCCAATTAGTTGCCTGCAGAACGCTTTCATCTTTTCTCACATATTTTCTCGTGATACTCTCAAGGTGTCCGCTCGAGAAAAAGCTTCTCTGCCCTCTATCTCTCGGTGTGGGCGTCCAACTGGGACACTGGGATTCTTGCTGGTTTCAGGCATGCCGCAAAGTCAATCATGATCTTTTCAAATCATTTTCTTCTATCCTGCCTATAAATTACTTTTGCTGGGGTGCCGACTTTGTAAACCCAATTGGCCTCAAACTTGTGGATCGTGAGAGTTTGTCGTGGGATGTCACTGCGGTCATGCCCCGAATCCTGAATTCTCACGGCCGACAGAGTTGCATTCTCAAACCTTCTGCAGCAGCGAAGCATCCCTTCATCCGTATTCTGCGTATCTGTCCATCTCTTGACCGTTTCAAGTCATACCTCCAGACGACGTTCGAATGCAACCTGCAGATCCTTCACGGAGCGACGCATCCGATCACTTGTGACCCGAACACAGGATCTGAGCCTCTATTGCCCCGAATGAGGAGGTTCTCCCGTTATCAGTTGCACGCCTTTGTACTGTCCTTCGTCACGTGCGGAGACAACTCGGCCAACGCCTCACTTTCACCTGTGCCTGACACGCAACTTATCCCCTTCCGTAGCTCACTGCTAGCCCTAATATGCCTTATGTCACACTTCCTGTGGATCAAATACGCGTATATTACCGCACAAACCTTCCAAACGATGACTTAAGTCAGATCGCGTCATCGGAGAAGGCGACACTCCTTATCCTGCATCCAACATATCTTTCCTCGTGAGTGTTTAAACTTTTGGTTGCTTTTTACTTCTCCACTTAAAGATGATAGCGATCACTTGTCATCACAGTTCGATGATCCATTGATGAAAGACTACTTCAACCTGATTGCCTTCGATGCGGTTTGTTGCGGACGAACCGAGGCGCCAAATTACCTGAGCCTTAGTCAGGCGGCAGTTCATGATGGATATGTTGATGCTGCAATCATTGCACTATTCCACGAATATTTGAGTCTTCCACCCGTGCATGTTATGGCGAGCGAGCACAGACCAGTTCAAGGCGCAACAAGATTCGTCCTGCTCTTTCCAGAAAAGGTATTGAGTCTTGCTACTTGTTCTCCTCCGCGGAACATCTTGTGAGTGAAAAGCCATTTTTTGTTATGTGTCTTGATATCTTCTCCCCTCTAAGGAACAAGTCTGACTGGATCGTGCAGGCATGGCACAGTTTGCAGGATGCATGGAATGAATGCGACGATTTGAATGGCCTTGACGCGGTTTTCAGTGAGCTTCTATACTTCGGGTTCGCTTCAGTGAGCTCTTCCTTAGTGAACTTCCTGGAGAGGCCTCTGACCATGTTGATAGACATTGGATCAAGACCAAACTGACGATATTGTCAATTACTGGTATCATTTCTATCCACCAGCTCGTATCACGCGCACAATTGCACCTTACCTAATAACCAACAATGTAAGTTGTGCATATGCTATGTTGATGTACGTGTTTTGATTCGATGGCCTGACTCACCACTGTAGCGAAAGCATGTCACTCCCATGGAATTTAGTTGGTTCACACGGCCACTGCTAATAATTCAAGTAATGCGGATCTTTTGTGGCTTGCTTTGTCGATCTGACCTCAAGTACAGGGAACCAATGAAGAGCAGGCAGTACTGCCCCCATTGTGCCATATTCCGGGGGGTGTACAACTTGTCGCCATCAAAGATGCCTCGTATTGCCCTGCCATCCCCGCAAAACGGCACGGAAAGTGAACGAATTGGTTGTCAACTTCATCAAGAATCTCGATGGAGTAGGGCAAACATCTTATCCGCTCCCTCATGACCGCCTCGAAAGATTTAGCACTGCTCTGGGGAAGATTGCTCAGCTTGAAGGGCGCCCTGAAGTACGTAGTAGAGACCCACTGAGTGCTTTCTCATACTCTCGCATAACATCAACCGAGGCACAGGCCAACTACGAGGGGTCAGTGAATGACTCCCTGTTACTGTGTCACTGCTAATCACAAACTTTCTCTCTCACAGTATTATTTTACAGAAGATGGAGATCGAGAAACGCGGATTTGATCCCGCAAAGCCAGAAGGTACTATCATTCGGCCCTATTCGGAGAGATCCTTGATCTATGAGCACCGCCCCCGAGCTCCATCCATCATCAGTTTGACCAAGGAAACGCGCATAACGGAGAACATCGGTACACAGGGTGCAGAAGTACCTTAGGAGGGGCGGCTTCAAATAGGGTGGAGTCATGTGGGCATAGTCCATTATGAACATGATTAGGATGAGTCTACTTTCGTTTCGCTGAATTCTTGCGTCGCTTCCCCCCGACAGCTGCGCCCTTCCTCATGCCGCTCTCGTTAGCAATACCACTGTCGGTGCCTTCATCGCTGGTACCCTCGGCCGCGGGATTTCATGCTGGGCCTTTGAGTGGTTCACTTCGAGTTTGACGTTTCGCAGTCTTGACAGCCCCTTCGAAAGTAGAGATAGCACCCAAATGTCACGTATATGAGGGAATGGGACGATTGACTCGTCCAAAAGCACGGGCTCATCACCTGGGATGGACTTCCACGAATATGAGCAGCGAATAACGTCAAACAATAGGTGACGCACCATATAAACGCGAGGGCCTTCAACTAATAAGTCTACCATTCTTCCACGGTTTCCGTCGTCGGAGAAATCTGTGAGGGGGACTCTAACCTTCCGCTTCCCCTCAATCGGGATGCCTTTGGGGCCATATGCGGCAGCTTTTCCGAGGCGAATGAGCCTTCCAACACGCTTCAAATCCCGCTTTTGGTTGATACGAAGTATGATATACTGGATTCCAGAGCTGAGGAATGCGAGGAAAATCAAGACACTGCCGAGACCAGGCCGGAAACGCGAATAATAATAACCAGTGCCTAATTGAGGGAGCAGAAGGCTTAAGCTTAAGTGTACGAAATTTCGTCTTGAATTTCCCGGCTATACGTACCGCGCCACTTTGGGACCCCGTTCTTGTAAAAGAAGTCGTACCTTAAGGGAGATGATTATTACGAGCTGACTCGTATCAATATGAAAAAGCGCGCCTTTTACGACCTGCCTCATCACGGAGGATCTTTGAGATCACCCCAAGCCTCGCATAGCGCTCCTCGGCATCCTTTAGCCCTCGATTTTTGTCGGGACTTGGGGACATTAGCAAAGCCCATGTTGAGGTAGACAAGCACACTCACTGCATCGTGACACTCTTCTTGCGATATGCCTTCCCAATATCAGCGGACGAGGCGCTAGGGCTCACGCCCAAGAACGAGTAGAAGGATGTTGCCTTCCCTGCCAGATGTTCATAAGCATCTTGGAAAAAATCTGGATGTTGTGGACTTGCATACCCTCAGTTGCTTCCAAAGCTGACACTAGGTCAAATATTTCATGATCCTCCTGTGGTCACACGGATGCATGAGCGCGGCATTTGACTCTACAAGTCAAGGTACCTTTGTCCACCTGGATGAGGGAGTTAGCAAGCTGGAACACCTGCGGATTCATGCCACCAAGGACATACGCTGCAGAGAGGGAGGAGAGCACAAGTACCGTGTATATCAAGCGGATGACGTACATCCCCCTTCAAACCACCAGAGGTCGCGAAGTGCCAAAATTTCGAGCTGTCTCGTGGCGCGCCACTCAATTGATGCGTTCACATCACGTTATCATCAACCCAAAATGGCAACATCGTCTGCGCCCAATATTGTGACACCTGGCGATGGGATCGTACGCTCGTCTACCCCGCCAAACCACACAACCTTTGCGTCTAGGCAAATAGTGGTAGGGGTGGTCCAGGATTTTCCTCTTTTCATTTGCCTAACACTGTGTCAGGCTTCGGGTTTCTCCAATTCAAACCAAAGGAAGTCCGCACGAGCTCAAACACGGTGCTATGGAGTTGCGATGGTCGCCGACTCATCTCATGCGGGCATGAAAGAGGAATAAGGGTGTGGACTCCTTCCAATGTGCGTTTACGATATGGCGTGTTGTTAGCGTTACCCTAATGCCGCCCAGTTCGAAGAACGCAGCACTACATCGTTGACAGGCAGTTTAACCAATGCAGTGAACTGTGCAGCAACCCATCCTACCAACCCCGACCTCATCTGTGGTGGAAGCAGACTAGATAAGAAACTCGTTTTTTGGGACCAGAGAAGTGAGTGAATCATGCATCCTGCTCCTTGCTGCTCATCGAACTCCTTCTCCAGGGAAGTCCGATTATCGTGTGGTGGAGCTGACTCAATCAGTTGACCAAATTCAATACTCTCCTGACGGAATTCATATTCTGGCTCGCCATCGCGCGGAAGGCGAAAACCCAGATACAATTTCTTTATACGATGTCAATCTGGAGCCCTCGTCAAAAAGGTGGGGGGAAGCAGCGATAGTTTGAGTGCCCAGGTTTGTCCTAGCGGCTTCTTTTGATTGTATTTGCACTCTTAAGCTGCGCATTAGATAGATCAAGCCACCTTCAATCACACTGGGGAGCTGATTTATCTCGCCGGAGGGTCTGGAAGCATCTCGATCCTGGATTACCCGTCCTTGGAGTATCTGGATCGTGTTATGGGTCACACGAAGTCGTGTCTCTCAATCGGGGTGGATACTCGTGGTCGATACATTGCTTCAGGCGGGAGTGACGCTCTTGTCAACATATGGGACATTCAAGACTGGATTTGTGTCCGCACCATATCGAATGCAGAGTAAGAGAATCTGCAACAGTGGTCTCGCCCCCTATGCTTATCGTTTCTCCAGATCTCCGGTCGTTGCCACAGCATTCTCATGTGATGGAGAATTTATTGCTAGTTCTTCGGAGAGCAACTACATTGACATCGTGAGTCTTTAGCATGCCTTCCTATTCGGCCCCCCATGGCGATCTTCGCTTACTTGTTGTCCAGACTGAATCTGAGACGGGGCTGCACAACACCAGGGTCCCTCAACGAGTCAAGGCCACATCCTTGGCTTGGCACCCTATACAGCAGCAGATTCTGGCCTCTGCTGGGGGAGACAGAAAAGGGGAATCATGGATCAGCTTGTTAGGTCAATCATAAGGGATCGGTGTTTGGCGGGAGAATTGGCATGAGTGAACACCGCTTCATGGAGTGATTTCTAATTCAGTGCATAAACAAATACCCATCTGGGTGATTCATGATCCTAGCTGTTAATGACTATGCTAGATAATCATCAGAAGCAAAACCCGAAGTAGGCTATCTACGGCCATAGGACTTGGGAAGCACCGCATCCCGTCTGATCTGCGAAGTTAAGCCTAGTACTGCTCAGCTAGTACCATGGTAGGGGACTACATGGGAATCCTGGGTGCTGTAGTTTTTTCTTTTCTATCAGCTCCTTGCAATCCTGAACTTCACAGCTGAACCCCTGTCAGCCTAGCTTCGGATTCAATAACACACCTGCCAACTCTTCAACCTTTTTTTCCTGCGCATGATAATTCAGGAAGCTAACATTCGCACTTCAACAGCATCGCGGTGTCTTGTACATTTTTGTGAAGCATAAATGGATACTGTGTCGAATGGTTAGAATGGCCGTTAATTTCAATCAAATAAGTGTTGGAAAAAAAATACGGTTTGTACAACGGATGGCGGACTGGTAAATATAAAGTATATACATTTGACGTAGGCAACAATAAGTAAATGATTCAAGCCTGATTTCAAGCAAGGTAGGAGAGGGGATATAGTATCAGCACTGTTCAGCTTCGAGTTCCCTCTATTATCTTGTAGTTGTCAAACTACCTCCAGGTCCACTACCAACTGCTGGCCGTCTTTCCATCATTGCACAGGGCCTCTCCTTCTTGATTGACCGATGTAAACATGATGAACTGAGTGCCGAGCATCCATTTTCCGAGCAGGCAGATTACGGTGCATTGAGATCCGGTCTAAGAATAAGTTGAAAGGTGATATGCTTGAGAATGGGAAAGATTGGGTTCCGTTTAGTGCGCGATACTCACGCAGCCCTGGTTAACGCATTCCTTCCACCGAACCTACTTAGGTTACGAGCCTTGTGGGATTAACGAAGCTCCTATTTGACACGTTCAGACTCCAAAGCAACGCAACAGCATTCTGAGCCAGAGCAGCGTGTTTCTCGTGGGTGGAGTTGTGTTCGGCACGGCGCCGCGGTGTGACACGGATACTTGGTACACCTTGTGAAGACAAGGTCATCTTACAACATTCATCCGGCGTCTCGAGTTGTGGAAGCTCAGAAAGCATGAACTCCGAGTGCCTGAGATCGAGAATACGAATACCTAGCCCGAAGAAAGCGGAGGATTGTTCCGGTCTGAGTGACAGCCTGGCATTGGACGCATACCCACAAAGGGGGAGAAAGTATCAGATGTAGAGGCGGAGCACGAGCCCGTCATATCGCCGAAATGCACCATATGAAAACTGTCCGAACGATAGCGCTTCAAACGGTCTTCATAAGACAAAACCACATGGCAGGATCTGTTTCTACACTCAGGCCCTCTAAGGGCCATCCAATAGTTGGAGAGATGCTCCGTAATCATCCTGGAAATTTTTCTAGCCATGACCGGAATTGGTGTGGCGTTCCCTTGATCACTGCTCACCTAATGCAAGGGAAGTACCCTTTGTAGGCTACCCTTGATGTCTAGCTGGAAGGGACGCTTACTCGAAACCTATACTGGTAAGCGCGCTGTGAGGCCAGCTTGTCTAATAGTCTCCAAGATAAATGCCATCAGCAAACAGTCTTCAAACGGTTTGAAAACAACAACACGATCATCTCGGTTCATTCCCAGACACTTTTGTTAGAGTGGAACGGCAAAATAACTTGGCTATTTCCTTCACAAGGTAGGTTGGTTAACGGTTAGACCATAGAGCGGACCTGTTGCCCTTTCCGCCTTCCGAGGTCGTTGTACTTGTGGCTGCAGCTTCATTTCATGTGTGATCTAATTACGGGTGAAGGTAATAAGTATGACAATATGACAATCAAATTCGGACAACTCCGCTACAATAAATAAAGCTAAGGTCGCAACTAAACAGCTAGACCTTGTTGACCGATCTGATCGAATATCTGAAGTACTTACATGTAATAAGCTTTTCCGTCGAGTTGATAGGTTATAGATATGGCTCTTTGTTTTAAGTAGAGGTTTGAAACAAAATCCGTATCCGGCGGTTAGAAATCCGCGGATATGCGGATCATTATAATCCAGAAATTGCATTTTGTTCGAATGGCCTCGACGAGAGCTTTCTAACAGTGCTTGGAAAAATTGGAACAAAAAAATTATGAAAACATAGGAGAGGTGTCTAGGACAGTGGGAAACATTGAATCCGCAGATTAGAAACCGCAGATACTATCCTCTCAAAAGCCAAATCCGTATCCGCGGATTTTCTGCGGATATCCAATCCGAAGCAACCACCAAACCACATAAAAAAACAGAGTCACTTGCACACCCAAGACAGGACTGAAAGGCCAACAGGCTGACCAACCGAATCATAAAAATGAGAACCAGACGGAGAGAGTACTATGAAATGGATCATGAGGCCACACATGAATTTCATACGATAGATAAGAGACTCAATAACCAGAACAGTATTCTGCGCGACAATATTTTTTAATGCTTGGGATCATTGAATGTTCAATGAGAATACTGGCAGAGATCATATACTATTGTATGGAGATGTATCAGAAAGAATTGCTGGAGATCACTGGGGCGGACGTAGGAGAGCTTCCGAAATCTGAGTGCCTTACACATTCAATATCTGCCTGATATAGCAGCGTACCAATCCAGACCCCTGGAAGGGTGGGGGAGACTAGATAGAGGAGTGGCTGTTCAGCAATTTTTGGATGAACATCCTGCGGCTTGAGACAGTATGCAGGGAGAAACTCGGCAGAGAGAAATGCATATATAACGAACAAAAGCAGCGCGATAACTTGCAGGGACTGTAAGAAGGGTTGCGTACGATGCTCAAGGAAAGAGGGCAACGACGGATTCAACGGAACAAGCGCACATGTTCAGTTCAAGAAGGACGGTTATATAGACGCCGAGTTGCCTGAACTTCAATTTCATTTTGGACAGCTCTACAGCCTTTTCATCGCGGATGTATAAATATCTTTATCCGGCATCTCCTCCCAGTGCTTGCTTCCACCACCCCTCTAAGCAATCGCAAACACAATGGCCCCAACAGAGAAAGCGCACATGAAATTCTTTTTCGACATTTCCTCCCCATACAGCAATCTCGCATTCAACGTCATAGTTAGGTGGGTAGTAGCGCTCACCTCATGCGCGGCGCTTCACAATATGCTCATACTCCTGACTTCTAACCCCCCGCTTCTCTCAGATATAGGAAGGCTTGGAACATGGATATCGAGTTCTTTCCTGTGGGCATCTGTGCGCTTGATCTTCTGAGTTTATGAAAAGCTGATCTGAGCGTTTCCAGATTTTCCTCGGTAGGCCACAAGTCACATAAACCTTCTCCAACTCTGAGGGCGACATTTTCAGGAGGTGTAATGGTCTTCTCTGGTAACCAAGCCCCTTCAGCGGACCCCAATCAGAGGCAGATGATTGAATACGTGGTAAGATCAAAGCCCATTAGTTTTCACACTTTATTTAACCCCCCCCCCTATCGCAGCGAACAGACGGTGCACGTCTGTCCGATCGCTTTGGAGGCGCGTTTTCACCGTATCTCACAAGCGGTCTGATGTTTGCTAACTGAATTCATTACAGTCGACCTTCGCTCCCCACCTGGACACCCTATGCAGACCACAAGCTTGAACAAAATAAGATTTCTCCGAGCCGTAAAGGCGGAAAAAAGCCCTGAAATTCTTGAAGAATGTATTCGGTTGATTTTTGTACGTTGTTTCTTATCCTTATCACTCATGAGCTGAAGTCATGCTCACAATGTCCCCTCTCCTACTTCCCCTTCTTCATCACACCACAATCACACGCAAAAAGTTGGAGTTCTACAGCACGCAAACCGATTACCGCAAGGAAGAGTTTTGGGATTGCCTTGTTCCCATGCTCTCACGTGAGGAGGTAGCCCGGCTACGGAAACTGTCGCAAACCGACGAACACAAGGAAGGGGTCAAGACCGATGTCGCCCATGTTGTTACAAATTATGGGATGTTTGGTGCACCTTGGATGGTTGTGCGACGGCCCTCCGACGGGGCGGAGGATGTTTTCTTCGGCACGGATAAGCTGGATTCTATTGCTTGGTGGCTTGGTATGCAACCCTTTCCTCCTGACGAATGCCTATCCCAGAATCCCCCCCTCCCCCCGCAATTATTCACGAATGTTCCCTTTCTTTTGGTATAGGTCCAGGGTACAAATGGAATGGACCCTACCCAGATGGCTCAAATCCCTTTTCGATAACCATGCCACCTCGTCAAGGTCAAGACGCCAGGTTATAACGAGAACGGAATTGCTGAAAACACATTCTGTTTCCCCCTCTGTTGATCTCTTATTCCCGCGTATGCCTTCATATTCAAAGACTTCGGAACCAGTGGTTCAGCCTTGTTGCATTACTAATCTTTGCCCGGTTTGATCGGAAGGCCTTTGCCTGCAATCCGTGATATATATATATGTGTGTAGGTACGGCTGACTGTCACCACACCAGGATCACCTTGTGATTCAAGTCCCTAGTCCATCCCTCTCTCACCTTCACGGACCTTCGATGCCGCCAGCTGATTCTTCTCAAGCACCGTAACCTTCTAGGAATGTCCCATCTTTCAGGAAGCGAATATCCCAAGGTCCCTGAGTGGTGAAATTCGCCAGTTTGTAAAAAGCGATTGCATGGCCGGCTCCGGATAGTTTGTAACCCGGAAAGACCATTTGTGTTCTTGATAAAACCTGTATCACAATGCGAGCAGTGCGCAACAATCATCAGTCATCGTTTCATCAAGAACTTCAACAATCACCAGGGACGGCCGGCCGGCGGCTTCCATTTTCTCTCGAAAACGAAAGGGGAAGGATTTTTTTGTCCCTCACCTGGGATGGAAAGTAGAATTGGACTCCCGTATCTTTGAACACTTGGCTCAAATAGTCCATAAAATAACGTTGTTGGACTTTGGCAAGTGCGACTCCGAGTTCTTCTGTCCTCGCTTTGGAGATAGAATCAGCATGACCCGTGGCCATGAAAACCCGCTTTTGATCGGGGATTTTGGCGAAGCTTCATGCATAAAAAGGCGTGTGTTCACACGACATGCAATTTGAAATATTAATTGTTGCCCTCGTCAGCGTGTTGGATACGATCATCTTACCTTTTCATTGCCCAACGAGCTGTTTCAAACATGGAATAGAAACCTATCTCCTGGCATACTGTGCATGATTGGTCATCTTCGAACCCATCGATAAGACTTGGAGAACAAGGGGCTCACTTTGCATGTTGGACAAAGAAATGGAGAGCGGATCTCCGTACTTCGTCGGTGCTTCAATTTCCTGTTCAACAACACCTATGTAAAATGGAGATCAACACCTGCGGGGGCACAAGCACTCAATTAGACAACGCCGGCCTCAGGATACTCACCATTATAAATAATCACATTAGGCAAATCCTTGGCGAAAAACGCATTATCAAGCGTGCCCATCACAGATCCGGAGCTCGTCAGCTCTATGAAAAACGTCCGATACCCTAATTCCTCGGCCTCTAGCCAACGTGGACTTCGGTTGCCCACCACGACATTCTGTGACCATTCACCCGATGGGCAGGGCAGGCGGGCAGATTAGATTAGAGAGAGTGTGTGTGCGTGTGCGTGTGCGTGTGTGTAAACGACCCAAAGGGAAAAGCAAGGACATTGATCTGCGTCAGCCTCCAAGCGTGGGTAGGGGCACACCCTTCTCCCGGTGCCGAGATGCCTTGAAATACTCACCCAGCCTCTATCAAGAAACTCTTTGACGGCAATGATACCAATATTACGTCCAGCGCCCAAGATCAGCACGGTAGGCTTTCGAACGCCGCCCATGAAGCCCGTGGAGGAGGCTGAGTGTTCTAGCGGTTTGGAGGGTGGCGGTCGTAGGAAGAAAAACGACCGAGTCACATATCCTAGCGCATCAGCCCCATATGTATATGGCTGTTAACAGCCGCGTGGGGAAGCAATAGTTTCGTTTTTTTTTGTTCCTTTGCGGGCGAGTTCTCATTCAGTGACTGGTCAAGCTTTCCATATAAGGTCATCGCAGCTTCCATGACTTGCTTATGTCAGCAAGCGGCGCCAAACGGCAACCATGTTGAACGATTTACCTTGCCGCGCGCTGGAGAATGATCCATCGCGAGCTCATGTATTGGACCGTCGTGTATTCTGGCATACATGCACAAAGATGAAATGCAGGAGTGAAGCTGTCCATGGTGAGGGGGTACAGAGTGAAATATGAGCGCTGGATCGGTGGATGAAACATGGAGAATCAAACAGGGGAGGGGGATTAGGGGAATTCACAGGAAACGACAAACGGAAGTAAGCATCATGCAAATTTGGTAAGCAGCGAGCCAAACGCTGGGGTCAGGACAAAAAGTTCATAACGTTAGTGGTTGAACAGCGGAAAAAGCAGGAGAACGAAGTCAGAAGATACATGGGGGACTGAAGATGGCGAACAGGGAAGGTCATGAGAGAGGCCGTCGTAAAGTCAAAACAAAGCTCAAAGAATACGGTAGTCGTGGAAGCGGTCCCGAAAGGGGCATTATGTGCGATAAATAAAGGGTATCAGGGGTCGTTACAATTGCGAATCGAGATGAAGCGGAGGATTCAGTACTGCACACGCCTACAGGAGTCCTCCTCAAGCGCATCATGGAAGTCTTCCTGACTCAATGAGTTACGATGACTCGATTCATGGTTATTGCTGCCCGATGAAGATGTTCCGGCGTGTGAAGGTGACATCTTCGGCGACGCAGGCACAGCACTGCTGATGACGAAAGGATCTTCGAGAGACAATTGTTCAATGCCAATGAAATGCCCAGATAAGAAGTCAGGAGATCCCTCAAAACCATCGGAGAAGGTGTCTTCGTATTCACGTCGGGCGGCTTCGTATTTGAGTTTTTCTTGTTCCGCTCGCGCAAGGAATGGCTAAACATCGGATTCGTTATGTGCCCGCACCGGAATGAGGATTCATCAAGTCCTACCTTCTTCTCTTCATCCGACATGCTCCTCCATTTGGCAGCCGCGAGAACGCTTTGCCTTGTCGTTCCGGTCTCATCACCAAAAACTTCCTTGATCAGTTCAGGACTCGATCTTATCTTTTGCAGAAACATGAAGTAAGCCGATAACGGCTTCTTCGGTGCATTTGGATCCTTCATGTTTGCTTTCCTTGATTTACCATCCTTTCGCTGAGCCGTGCGAAACTGGTTTTCTGCCCTAACATCTTGAGGGGTAAGAGTCCTCTCCCAGGCTTGCATCTGGCGGTCTCGCTCAGCTTTCGCCGCCTGGGCACGACGTTTGAAAGGCTGGGAACCCATAAAATCAATTAGGGCAAAGGTCGCACGATAAGGAAATCAAAGCTGATAAGAATTAATCAGAGCATACCTCACGCTGTTCAGCACTTAAACCCTTGTATTGCTGGGCGAGTTCCTTTGCAGCCTGAGCAACATTAAGCTTCTGATCTGGATATCGTGACCGATACAAGTGTAAATGATCGGTGAAGTAAATCTGCCACGTCGATGGTGCTGCCTTCGGCGGGCATAACATTGACTTCTTAGGGGCTGGATAGGGGCGCAAGCGTCGCGGTTGGGCGGGCCGTCGTGAGATCGGGCGGATTAAGGAGGAAGAATCATATGAAAATCCACCATCAGCCACATTCAGGACGTGTCAGAGTGGAAACAACCTACAGTTGTCTTTCGAGTCTCGTTTCCGTTTCTTCTTCTGATTTTCATCGCTTTCATTGTCTAGTACCGGTTCTGGAGAACTAGTTGCCGCAGCCGGAGCGCTGGTGCCCGAGTACCGCACTTGACTGAAGACGGGACTCGAAGGTAATGGAGAAGGGGCAGCGCAGGGGCTCATTGATAAACTTGCCATTTGAACAGCTGGCGTTCGATTAACTGGGGGAGAGAAGGCGACTTTGGTGCTTGGGGGTGATGATGGGGATATGCCGTGATGCGCTGGACTGTAAAAAACATCGGTTTCTGAACGCCGGATCGGGCGACGCCTTATGGGCCTTGGCGACGTGTCCGAATGCCAGTCGGCTCTTAATGGTGAATGCTCGCCCCCAGAGGACCCCGACCTGGAGTGTGAAGTAAATCGGTTGAGTGGCCGGAAGTCAGGCACGTTCGTCGGCAGCGAAGAAGACAGGTTCGGGGGCTTAGATGGAGGAAACTCGGGGCCATGTCCGTCTGTCGACGGTAACGAGGAGGATGGGGTTAAGGGGAACGGAAGGCTGCTAGGCGCCGATAGTGGAGTGTACGATGAGTCGGAAGGAGGATATACTGACGACGAACTCCCCTGTTCCGGAGGCGACGGTGAATGTAGATAAGATGGATCTGACTGTGCCTGAGAGAATTGGAAGTTCATGTGAGTGTTGTGCTCCCCCGTGGGGGTGGGGGACCACGACCACTCAATATCATCGAAAAGATCAAATGACTGGTTAGATTGGGCGTTGGGTACGATGGCGCTTGGGGGATAAGGGGCTGCAGAGGCATCGGTTGGGGAATGATGCTCGGGAGGCATGGTAGTAAGCGATAGCGGCATAGGTCGAGAGACAGGATGTGGCCGAGAAGCATACTCGGCAGGGAATGCCTGGTAGTCAGGTGTGTGTGCGAAGCGATGCATAGGGGTGTGCGCAGCGGGGAGGTCGCCTTTGGGCGAAGCCAGGGATGCCTTGGGGAATAGTCTTGAGGGATGGAAGGGGGATGCGGGGCAATGTTGGCAACGACGGATGGTCGATAGTAAGACTAATGAGGGATGAGTGCGAAGGGAACGGTGCATTCGCGCACTCAGGAGCAGCCCACATTAAGGCCCAATTCAATTCTATGCGGCAGTTTCCGGCTGGGCGCTTGCGTCTAATTTCTCATGAACCTTGGATCCGCCGGCGCTTATCATGCATTGCACAATATGCACTTTTTGCACAAGGCACAAGAGTGTTGTTTCTGGAGATTGCCATTGTCACCCCAGGTCGGGCATGGCTGTTGTCCCACCGGCCGAATGTGTTGCTGCTTCGGGACGCAGCGATTTCCGAGTGACAAACTCAAATGAGAATTGAGTTGAACACGCCATCTCCGCTTGTCCCACACCTACAAAGGGACGGCAGTCTCATTCCCCATGGCCTCCGCCTCATGAGAACAATGAAGATTATCCATCTGATCACTGATCTCACCGATGAGAACACGCCGAGAAGGCATGCACTCGCGCCATGTCGGGCGATTCAATGCATACATCTCCATTTCATCGAAACAGCTGACTTTGATGATTTGGGAGGGCAAACAAACCCACGTTGTTCATTTCCGCTCACGAGAACCGCAATGGCCAAAAAGGCAATCAGGTCGGGTCCAAGATTCATCGAGCCATGTGGATGGATCCGGCGATACGTTGCTGCCCACCGAATAGCCTCAAGGTACAGAAGGTGGCGGTCGAGTGGCTTGCCAACTTGATGATAACACGGATTCTGCATTGAAAGTGTTTCAGCAAATTTGTTTCAGGTTAAGAAGCCCTTAGTTGACGAGGCAGCAGCTTTCTAGAATTATGCCGAGCTGGTCAAAGTGTAAGGCAGGAGGACGTTTTTGCTTCCAAAGTCTCCGTTACAGTGCAAATGGGTCTATAGCAATACGATCCTATCACTTGGTCGACGATCGCCATGATACACACTCTTTCCAGCCTACACGACAATCCCCGTTTGACGTTTGAGCAAATGTCAATCAATCTAACAGCTGAAATTGCATACCTCCCATCCTTTCACGTCTTTCATGATCTCCCGTTCGCGTGTTATCTGAGCCTGCTGACGCCGATAGGCATCCCGATCATTTTCGGCCAGAATAAGTGGGGTAAGGTGGATACGGGACCAGATGTTTTCACGCTTCAGCTCACTGCGAACGGAAAGTGGAACCCATGGGAAAAGGTGGTCAATCGGGAACGCGTTCTACACACCGCTTCTCCAAGTTGCCCTGGCCAACTCGATAAAACCCATAGGCGCAGATAGCCGTAACGCCGGCCAAGATAACTGCACCGCTAGGCCCTCTGAGGGGTAAATTACGTTTGTATCGAAGGGCTTCATAACCACCAGGCGGCGGCATATCCCTACGGGACGTGCTTGCTTATCAGCAGCCTCTCTCTCGCGCGCACTATTGTAACATACTGCCTAAACGCCTGCGAAGACACTGCAACAAACCGGCATCAGACGTAAAGAAAAGGCCATTTAGGCGCTGGTCGCAACTCACTGTTGGCTACTGAATACTGGCAATTGCCGTCAATTTGCATCCGAACAGCGCAAATCCTTCAGCGTGCCAAAACTACTCTTCGCGCTCTCCCATTTCAGCGTTTCCCTCTTTTTTGAACTATTTAACAATGGGAAAGTGGGCACCTGGTCAGTTAGGAGCGTATGAATATTGTATTGGGGTTATTAACTTGAAGCTTGGGATTCTCATAGGTCATTACGACGATGTCCTTATTATCAAGCTCAAGAAAATATTGTCAGTAAACGCGTTCGAATCGCGTCTCGCCTGGAAAGATTGCTTATAGTTGCCGTAGCGCCCGCGCCCTGGAGTTGAATGAGTTTACGAGACGCGATGACTTAAACCGTCGTGGAGAAAGTGGCGACTCATCAAAGCGCCCATTGTTCACTTTTGAACAATTTACTGCTGAGCTTGATGATAGCGACCCTTTCGTTCTCGGTTTAATTGGTGTTTTGGTGAAAGTGGGTGTTTATTGGCCTTTTTGCCTTCCATTCCACCCTGAAGATGCCGCTGTGCAGGAGGTGGCATCCCGGCGCGATCGTCAGGGGACTGGTGTATCACCCCATGATCCCACCACAGGCCGTATCTCGGAGCCCTCAGAAATCGCACTCAGAGCGCTGTTAGACTCCTCATCTGCGGTGGATGCCGGTTCATCCGGTGGCTGGGCATCTCGCGCCTTCAATAACGCGGATTCATCCCACCCGGAAGGGAATTGGTTGCAACGGCTCGAGGAAATACATGGGCGGGAAGTTTCGCGGTATGATGATGTAGTGATGTCAGAGCCATCATATACCCCGCCATCAAATGCCGGGGCGGCTGATTACTGGACGGGACACTGGGAAGATGTCACTCCGCCAGTGGCCCCTCGTTCACCTGATCCATCCACTGGATCCAGTGTTCTTGTTGGTCGTCGCCGTGCTCTTCAAAGAGCGCGCACTGCGGAATTCGCATCGCATACATCACGACGAAGGTCTAGTCAACGGATAGGGCTGTTAGATGAACGCAATCGAGATGGTGAGGCCGGGGATGATGACCCTCTTTCGGGTATTCCTACACCAACCCTTCTCGTTCGGCCCCCCGGTGGGAGAGAAAGGCGTGGTTATGATGCTGTGCGAGACGCAGCCATGCGAGAGAGTGGTTCCTCTGAGCTCGGGCCCCGATCCAGCGAGGGCCCGCATTGGGTCCCGCCCAGACTGCCCTCTCCCAGCGACCATGATTCGGCGTTGACGAGTCGCGCCCTTCTACTCCGATCACGCACTCCCATTGCCCCTGCATCGCAAGGAGGCCCCACTAGGACGCTACGTCGAGGTGGTCTCCGAGCGCCTGAACTTGAGTTGGTCTCAAGGTTCCATTCCCCGCCCCCTCGCCCTTTGGCTGTATACCGGTCGCCATCTCCCATGTACTCGCCCCTCACTCCTAGTGATCGTCCTGCAGGTGCAAGTGCCGTGCCAACGTCTGTGGCAGGAGAACCCCCGACTGTCGTCGTCCAGCTTGGCACTCCTCGTTCACTCTCTCCTAGCGAGAATTAAAAAAAGCGTGTTGACTTGACGCACTATTCAACATTCCGGATACCACTACCAGATTCGTGCCTTACAAGGAGCTTTGTTATGGACTTGGGACAAGCATTTATCTATGGGCTCTCCATTAGATAGAGCGATCATGGTAATCTCTCCTAACTTCGAGTTCTTGTATCCTGCCCTTTATTTGGGATACCCGGACTGGGTTTCCTCTGTGTTTGTACTGTAACAACTCTGTACAAAAAAGCTTTATTTATCCTCTTTCTTTGCCTGGACAGAATCAAGAATGTTGTAGGGGATCACGGTCTAGGTAGCAAACTTCGAGTGTAGTTCCTAACGCCCTCCAGCCAGATAGGCCAGGTAGGCGGGGATCCTGGGTCTTTGATTTTGGCATCGAGGTTATTACTTTTGCAACGAAGTTCGGATCATTCAGAGGAGAAAGGTCCGGTGTCGGTAGGAACTGGTCGTAGAGCAGATCTGATAAATGCAGAACGTCATTTGGTACCGATTAATGTGCCGCACCTGCTTGACACTAGCATAAGGAGCTTCCCATCCATTTGTCTCTCGCACAATGATCGGAGGGCTAGAAGCAAAGGAATGATATATCCTGGTATCGAACAGTCTGAATAAGACTCCGTCGACGCGAAGGAAGAACCTCGACAGGATAAAGAATGAAGTTGGCATTACGCGCTGTACAAACTTATGTTATTTGAATGCGGGAGGGGCTGAACTTCGGGAGGGAACGAACGACGCGTGTCAGAAGGAAAGCACATCCGTTATCGTGGAGCTCATCCTCAAAGAGAGGGATTTCGGAGTAGAAGAGAATTGGGTCTGGTCTCGAGAGTTCCTCAGTAGGGATCCGATGCAAAACGTTCTCGGGGTCGCCTGGATTAAACTGCGAAGCACTTACTGCTCAAACACTCCTCTGCATCGTGCGACGCGAAACTCACTTTGAACTCGCCTTTTGAGATATGTCCAGGATATGTTGTCGTAAACGTCCAATCAAATGGCTTAGCTTGCACAGTCGGGGGCATTGGGTTTGCCGACGCAGAGCCTGTCCTTGATATTTCCAGCGTTGGCGGATATTTAATTCTTATAGATGATCAGGGGAGCTAACCGGCTCTGTAGCCATTCCTTGGCATAGCCGACCTTAACGCCGCCGTCCCCATGTTCAAGCTCACCCAACTTCACAGGCCCAAGAGCTCCCAGAGCATTGAAAGTGTATTCAAATGTCATAATCTTGTTGGAGATGACTAGGGAATTGGTTCCAAAGAGCATCTCAGGCATCGGCAATCCATTGAGGGAATCCTGGATGACACTGAGCTCTTGAGCATTTGAAATTGGACGCAGCATAGCAGAAATAGTCCAGGAAGGCAAGGAAATGCTGCTAGACCCTTCAACCGTGGAAGTGACCTCATGCTCGATGGTTGTCATTGCGAAGACGTGGAGAGCTTGCCAAGATCTTGCTCCCGGAAAGCGCCGTTCCGCGATTGGCTTCTCCCCGCAGTGACGCGTAAATGGAGCAGCAATCACGACCTTCATCACCGGAGCAAAATTTGTGGAGTTCTATCCTGAATTCCGTTTCCTCAAGCCGGTCGATACCATCGGGAAATGTTGTTGTTCTCGGGGAACCCGGCACGGGAAAGTCAACTTTGATTAATGCGATCCTTCAGAAGCCTGCTAGTGTCGTACATAACGATGGCGATTGGGGAGGGAAGAGCGATTTTGCTTTAGGGTACGAATGGGCGAACGTTAAAGACGAGAAAGACGAAGGTGTGAACTGCCGAGTCGTCATTTCAGCAGTATTTGATGTTCTTACTGGAGGCAGACACTTTGGCACGACTGTCCGTGTACAGTGTTCCTTCGTGTGCACACGCTTACGTCTCCCTTCTGCCTCGATTCCTCTCTCCAAGAACATCCTTGCCGCATACACTTGTCCTAATTACAATTGATTGGACCCGTCCATGGACATTCATTCAACAACTCGAAGCATGGTTTAACTGGATCGAACAATGGCTTGATAAAGACACCTCCAGAGAAATGAAGATAGCAAAAGAGGAGGGGAGAGAGAGATGTGAGCCGTTCTGCTTCATCTCTCCTTGAATGGCTGACATTGGTATGCCGCAGTGCAGTCACACCTCCAACACTACACAGAACCGTCCGCGTCTATCAGTGGCGTAGAGCCCGTTTCCATCGGGGCTGCGGCGCTGAACGCTACCCTCTTGCCACTGGGGCAAGGTACCCTCATTCATAACTCTTCTGGAATCCCCATTGTAGTGGTTTGTTCGAAAGCAGACCTGATTGACAATGATGATACTGGTTTGGCGGGGTTGAAAGGGCGAGGGGGGGACTGGGAAGAACGTTCGGATACAGTAATGCAAGTGCTGAGGACAATTTGTCTGAAATGTAAGGCACTGTTCAAATTCCGGCCTCTGTACTGATTTAATTGGTAGACGGCGCTGCACTGTTCTATACGAGTCAACAGCCTGCCACCCTCGCAGCTTTGCGCCAGTATATTCTTCATTTCTTATTCATTCCCCCATCCCCTCCTGCTGGTTCTCCACCCCTAAAGTATTCATTTGCATTTTCACAACGACCGAATACGCTGGATCGTGACCGTATCCTTGTCCCTGCTGGTTGGGACAGTTGGGGTAAGATAGCTGTTCTCCGGGAGGGTTTTGATGCCACGCGCTGGGGAGAGGCATGGGAGCGCGACATGGAGTCAGGGGAAGCTGTCCCAGGAGGAGCCAGGGAGTTGTTCGCCTCATTGATTGGGGAAGATGAGGGTGCAAAGGTGCGACAAATTACTGTGCGCTCCTTCCAAAGTGACTGACATGATTATTAGGAGCAAATGTTGCCACCGCTCATTGTCACACAACCGGAGCAGACGTTCTTGGCTCAACATTATGAGAGCCTGTCCAAGGACCGTGATCCTCGTCAGCAGTTCAGACAACCTGCAGCCTCTGACCCTTCTGCACAGGGTTATTCTGCAGGCGCTGGGGTGGTGGGACCCATGGGTAGCTCGATTTTAGCGTTACCCAGCGTAGAGAAGGTTATGAAAGAGCTAGAAGGGGAAGACGCATCTTCAAGGTTGCTTCGGGCCACTGGTGCGGCATCTCGAAGAGTAAGCCTTGGAGTAACTTAATCCATCCCCACTGGTGCTGAGCCTTCCCTGAAGGATAATCGACCGCCCGCAATACCCACTGTTCCCAACCTTGCATTACCTTCCCTTAGTGCCAGTGTCCGAAGCTCAGCGCCGTCCAGTGCCGGGCCAGGTTCTGTTCCCCCCAGCGCCACTGGAGATGGGCGATCGCAGAACGAAGTTTTGCAAAACTTTTTCCAGAGTCTTCTAACGAATCGTGCTTCTGGAAGTGGACCGTCCCCCAGGGCGCCTGCCACCGCGCTTCCAAGCGCAAACGGATCAAGCCCAGGGGTGAATGGGAACACCACATCATGATTGTTCATCTTGCATTTACCACCCTCATAGATACCTGTTATTATACAGCAAGTTCTACCGCTTATTTCATGTGGCGCTTATTATTCTCAATGAGGCAATTCAATGCATTGAAGTTGTGGCCTGGCAGTCACCGTCTATTGAGTTTCCATTTCTGCAGCCTCGACATCATTGGCTTGCGCAATGTCTGTGGAAGTTATTGTACCAGTCGAAGCGACCAAACCGTATGGAATGATAGCGTGTGGGTCATAGTTGTTATCTCATTGGTTCCGTTAGGGTGGAGTTGGAGAAAGAGTCGTCCGTTCAGGTGGATCCCGGTCTGCTGTCTGCGACCGATCCCAATCCAGTGGATGCCGAAGCATACAAGTGCGTGTATCGCAAATTTGATTAAACTGCGTGGGATTCAGCTTATGGTGGTCGTAGCGCTGATCGCGAGGCATATCTCAGTGAACTCGCGCGTGAAGGAACTCAGGCTATATTCCAGTCTCTTTTCTCCCTTCCCACCAAACAGTCCCCAGATGGACCGCTGGCACAACTTCCAAATCCCACAACATTACTTCCCAGAGCCAAGCCACTCCCTAAGCCGAAGCCTCCAACGAAGTGGGAGCAGTTCGTTGCTGCCAAAGGCATCCGCCAACGGCGGAAGGAGAGCAAAGTATGGGACGACAATAAACAAGACTGGGTTAGGAGATGGGGTAGAGGAGGGAAAAATAAAGAAAAAGAGGAACAATGGCTTCACGAGATTCCGGATGGCGCTCGTACGCTATCGTTATCATCTTGGGAAAGCTCGCAGCTAATTAAACACTATTTTCAGCTGATGATTATGACCCTGTGGCCATTGCTCGCCAGGAGAGGAAGGGCCGTGTCCAAAAGAATGAACGACAACGCCTGGCGAACATCGCTAGGGCGGAGCGAGCGCAACGAAAGACGCAGATTGAGAAAACACTCGTCCATGCTAAGAAGAGTACAGCGAGTATGGGGAAGTAGGTGGACTCGCGCGTTTTCAGGTGAATCCGTGATGTATTCCTGACATTCCCGAAGGTTTGACAAGAAACTTGAGGGCGAGCCAACTCAGCGGGGAGCTAAGCGCAAGGTCAGTGTTTGGCGATATGAACATTGTGACCTCTCGTATTGACCATCGACGCCATGCTAGTTTAAGTCTAATGAAATAACAGCAGCTGAAGAGAAGGACGCTTCTCTTGCTCTGCTTTCTCGGCTAGAGAAGGGTGGGGGTCTTGCCAAGAAAAGCAAAACGGTTCATGCTCAAGGGCCTGATGGTGAGAATGTTCTTAACGTGCGCAAAGCCATCCGTTTTGCTAGTAAAGGTGGGGGAGCCGCTGCCCTGGCTAAGGAGTCGCCGAGGCGGAACGGGAAATCCAATGGCAACACGAAGGGGAAGCGGAAATGAAATCTGTTGATTGTGTTCGCCATCTCACGTTTGGACTCTGCTCTCTGTTGTTATATATAATCCGTTAGCCATTTCGTAGTGTCGCTTGTGGCTTATTCTATACATCAGCCTTTAAACATTTGGGGTCACGAAGTCTTTGTCGCCCAGTTAAGGCCCGCGTGATTGATCTACTCTATGAGCGAACACATCCTGATTGGCTATCATGATTACAAACACAACAAGGGGAAATCAAGTGCCTTTGGGTAAGTCAGCAGGATTTAATCGACTGAAATCTACCTTCCCTGACTCGATCCATTCAGTCTTCACAAGCGAATCCTTCGACTGAACGAATAATTTGTACACCAATTTAATAGTGCTCTCGCTCACACCTGCGACCTGACTGATGTCTTTGATGGGCTTATGGTGTCCCAGTAGGAGTGTGGTGAAAAGAATGGCACCTCCCGCGATGCTGACAGGGCTGCGTCCTTGTGCAACTGAATGCTCGCGTGCCAGAAGCACGACATCGCGACAAACACCTTGCACGCTCGGATGAAGATCGAGGTGGTTGCAATAACGAGCGAGCAAGTCTTCGGCGGAAGAGCCAGTGCTGGCACCCCCGCCTGCGCCATCTGTCGCGCCAGATGCAGCTGGGGTTCCACCAGCGGAGATAGTAGTGGGGCGAGCAGTGAGGCCGAAAGCCTGCTCGATGACTTTGAAGCACTGTCCAATAATCTTTTTAGGAACACGGGTGAGCTGGCAGATTTCCTTGAAAGAGCGGGGGACGTTTCCTTGGCGGCAAGCAATGAAAATGCAGCAGGCGACAATCGCATCTGTGGATTTTCCGCGAAGAATTTTCTCTTCGTCTGTGCGTTTATACAATTGTTTCGCAATATCTGCAATAGCTTTCGGCAAGCTGATCGAGTCGCACATGTTGCCAATGTCTCTGTAGGCAGCCATGAGATTCTTCTCGCTCTTTGCACTCGCCGATTTTGCAGCGGTGCGTTGAAGCTCCCTAGCAATTCCTGAGCCCCCGTCCTTGAAACCAATCATCGTGTCGAGTTGGTCCATTCCCTCCAACAAAGGGTTTGAAGCAGCTCCGACACGGGACGGATCATCTCCGTCATCATTGGCGAACGTCTAGAACACACTATGGTCACACTGGAGAGATGCTTTGTATCCTTGGGAAACTTACGCGCCCTGCGAGGTCAAGTGGGTCAGGAGGCATGCGTACAGGAGCACAGGAGACGATAGAAGCATACACTCGCTCCTCGTATCTACTATTCGGTCTCCCAAAACCAGTCCACAATCACCACATACGAGGTCTCCACTTCCGAATTCCTCGACAATCTTAGGGTTAGGGTCCTTACAATCCGGACATATTAAGCGGACGGCAAGATCTGGCCCAGCGTTTGGCTGTTTCGCGCTCAAGGATTGTGCAAAGGACATGACGCAAGAGTGAAGGCGTAAGACGGTTGCGCAGTCTGATGCTAAGAAGTCCGTGGGCAGTGTCTCGTTGGGTCAAGGGGAGACTCGATGGTGAGGTGGTGGTTGACGCCTCAATGCGCGCGGGTAGATACAATAAACACGGCCAACTCCGCTATAATTACAGCTAAGGCATGACTTGAAGGAAGACGTGATCACGTGTCTCGTGTGGTGGCGCCGATTGCAACACTAATTGCCAACGCCTCAACTTCCTTTAAGCCTCGTGGGGACTTCAATAACGTCCAGTGCCTAGGCTACTGTTGGAGAGTAACGGAACAAAGGGATGTCGCGTCGTCCAGGACTCGCTGGCTTCGAGGCACACACCCAATCGCTTCAGTCATTCGCAGCTCTTTCGAATGCCCTGAACCAGACACAGATTGAAGCCCTTCATTCCCAGCTCTCTCAGTTCCGTTCTGCCCTTCATAAATTCGCATCGGAGCATCGTGAAACGATACGCGCGGATCCAGAATTTCGCCGCTCCTTTCAGCAGATGTGCGCCTCCATCGGTGTGGATCCTCTTGCTGGACCACGGAAGGGCGGGTGGTGGTCCGAGGCTCTCGGCCTAGGGGATTGGCAACATGAGCTCGGGGTGCAAATCGTTGATATTTGTTTAAACACCCGCGATCGAAATGGGGGCATCATATCGGTGTCTGAGCTTATTCGTCTCCTTTCCAAACTTCGAGGCGTTCCTACGGATGGAAAAGGCGGAAAGGTCAAGGGGATGATCACCGTTAATGACATAAAGCGAAGTATAAAGACACTAGAGCCGCTGGGTAAAGGGTATCAGATTGTTGGCCCTCCTGACAATCTCATGGTGCAATCCATCATCAAGGAAGTTGACGATGACCAAACACAGGCTCTTGCTCTGGCCGTAAAACTTGGGGGCTCATTTACTCGAGACGACATGGAATCACAACTAAACTGGACTCAAGCTCGGGCTGGTGCATGCATAGGGAATATGGTGTCGTCAGGGACATGTTGGATAGACGAGTATGATGGGAGAACAGCATACTGGGTCCCTTCTGTTGTAGAATGGGATGATTAAGAATCAACCTTAATTCTGCATCAAGTAATTTGCTCCGTTCAGGTCTCACAAATGAGCAGATGAAAATGAATCGCCACCAAATACATGCGTGAACTGTTTTAAATGCCGATAAGTAATTATGAAGCAGAATGCAAATGTCATATGGCGAGAAAGAATAGGTCAATGCAAAAAAGCTAGTTCGGGAAGCAGGGGCTGTTTAAAAGAGGAAGGCACAAGGAGACGCCGCTGATTACCAGGTAGGAAGATCTAATAGTAAACGCCCTGACCTTCGGGAGGGGCGTATACCCTAGTGGGGTATTGTTCGTACCCGTAACCGACTCCACCGTCCATTTGCCCAGGAACAGCATACCCAGGGTACGGCATCTCATGTGTGTAGTAACCGTAAGGTTGCCCATCGGGCGTATATTGATGCATGGGTGTATATGCTGGATAGGCTACCGGGTAGAAAGGGGCACCAGGGTATGGCTGCATCATCTGGACATCGGGCTGATATACGGGTATCGCATCCTCGGAAGCCTCTGGTTGGGTGTCGGCACTGACGGAAGATCGCAGGTTCGAAGGGCGCAATAGGACTTTGCCTTTAGCATGTAATGTTAGGGAATTCGGAGTCGTCGGTAGATGATTAAGGGTTGTCATCTCACCATTCGTATCTGGAGCCCGACTAGGTGCGCGGATTTCCACTGCACGAGACTGTCTTCGAGAATTGAAAGGAGGCGTAGCTTCACGTGGGCCATCGACAGCATAGGGAGGATACTGAGGCGAATCGTAACCAGAGTAACCGAAATGCCCAGAATGCACACCCGGCGGAATGGGCGGTGTGCTCACGGGGGGAACGAAATCTGCGGTGAGGGAATGAGAGTGACGACGATAGGGATGCGGGTGGGGTGCATAGAAAGGAGCGGATCGGGGATCATAAATGGGCTGCGGTGGAGGTGTTAGAATGACAGGACGTCCAGTTGCAATCTCGTACAACACGCCGTTTTCACTAATAGCGACGCCTGCAGGGAGGGGGAGGTAAGGGGAATAACGAGATTCAGGATAAGAATGTGATGGTGGTACTTCAGTGGGCGGCGAAGGGGGTGCAGTATCATGGTTCTCTGCGTGAACGGGCTTATCGGAACCAGGCGCCGGGCTGACTGGATGTGGCTCGGGCTCCTGTGGATCGGCAGCAGACCAGGTATCTGGACCGTTCGGTCTGGGAGGTGTCTCTGGGTTAGGTTTCGCTTCGATATCCAAAGTGGTGTGGGGTTGTTTGGTGGCATCGGGTGGGGGTGTGGAAGTTTTCGTGATGGCGGGTTCTGGTTCGGCTGTGTCCTGGGTTCGTAATGGAGTGCCCTGTGGCTCTGGTTCCTTCGGCTCGGAAGAGTCCGGAACACGCTTCCCAGGTAATCGGACGACAGCAGGTTTTTCCGAAACACTGACCTCGCTACGACCATCAATAGGGTCGGCGAGTTGGGAATGCGGGCGATTGTGTAGAGGCTGTAGCAATGGGACATTCCGGGGCTCTCCTGTATTCGAAAGTTTGATGCGAACATCAGTTGGGGATGATCCACCATTTGACTTGGATTGCAATCCAGTGACAAGAGTTTTGTCCAAGGGTTTTGTCCAGGCACGCTCCGGTTTCGAACGTTTGAGCGGCGAGAGCTTTGATAAATTTGGCGAGCGGGACCTGCCAGAGTTGGTTGGTGCTTCTTCTGTGGTTGGTGGCGCATCGGCCACAGCACGACTACGACCTCTCCCGGATCCCTGGCGTGATGCTCTTGATGAATTAAAGCGATGGCGCCCTGAGCGCCTCTCGTCTCTATCGAGCTCCTCGAAGCCGTCATGTTTCCAAGACTGTTCGACAGGCGGGATATGAGCTGAACCAGTTTGACCACTCGTGTCCCCATCCGCTGCGTCACCTGTTTCGCCGTTGCCAAGTCGTGTGCTCGAATTGCCGCCACGGCCTCGACCACGGCCTCGTAAACCGAAACCACCTCTTCCACGTCCTTGCCAACGGCCTCGCCACCAACCGCTCATGCTCCGCAAGTCCTTGTCCATTAACCGTTCATCATGACCCCAAAAAGCACCGACGCGAGGAACGAAAGATGGGTCATTGGATAAACGCTCTAAGTAAGCCTGGCGCGCATTTACTTTTGGTGGTCGTGGTGTAGGCGCCACAGTCACGGAAACGGTGGCAACCTCAGTGGGTGCATCAATGGGAGATTCGACTGCTATTGGATCCGCAGGCGCCGTTGCCGATTTCGCTATTTTCGTTTTTACATCTTTTCTCCGGTTTTTGCGTTTTGGCGGCGCCTTTGTTTCCTCTGTGGACGGGCCTCCGACTTGAGCATCCATTTGGTCAAATTGTATGGTAGGCATATCAACGGCATGTATGCCTCCCGATGCCACCCCAGACCAGATGTCGGTTGTGGGAGGGATGAGAGTGCTGTGGCCATTCAGTCGAGCACTGACAGAGGGCGGCGAAGGAGCTGTGGAACGGACAGATCGATCCTTAGGACCAGAAACATCTCCGGACAAGGGAGAGGTGTGAGACGGCCCCTTCTCATCCTCCTCATCGGTCTCATGTGCAGATTCAGTAGCTTCGCTGGAGAAGTCAGAATCTGTAAGCGCTTCGCGCTCAACCTCATCATCGCTGAGTTCTCCTCTTCCTCTTCCCCGTCGCCGTAAGAATCGCTTTCCCCGCTTCTCCTGTGTGCTCGCTCCATTAGGATGATGCGGAGTAACATTCTGGGGCGGAGAAGATGACACGACTGCCAGCATTTGCGTCGCTGTGTAAGAAATTGAATAAATCGTTGAGCACGTTAATCCAAGGAACGAAGAAGATACTTTAAGAGCAACACAAGAGGCGCGGAGAGGTGTTAGGTTTAGCAAGAAAAGAACGCAGAGTGAGAACAGAACTCGTTGAAATCTGACGTCGTTTCGGAGAGACTGGTTAAAACCTTGCGGCACAAATAGAAAAAGGAAGTCTCCGCGCGCAGTGACCTTACTCAGCAAACAAACAAAAACAAGCCCAAGTGTCTCACTTGGTTTCTGCCGGAGCATAGCAGTACCCTGACCTACCCGTAGCACCATCTACCATGGAGATCAACATCCCACCATGGGTTGTATGCCGTCATTTCTACACAAAGTAGAACAATCCTTGCCAATATATGGGTAGGCACCGTGATCAATGTGTGTCCAACCTCTTGTACGTGTCACCATTCTGTGTATGCCTTTCAAAATGTTAGCCAGTATCTATCGCTAAAATATTAAAGAGTTATGGATATACATATCAACGAGGGACATTCTGTACGTGACCTGGCTGATATGCATGATGAGGCTGGGGGTCATTCATCCACGTGGAATCTTTGCCTCAACATTGCGGCAACTACGAGTGTTCAGAATACCTAGACCTACTGTGGATATGACCAATGGCTTACAGCTTGACAGCACTTGGGAGCCGACTTTGAGATGACAGATGCAATAGGGTGACCGGAACGCTTGAAAAGTTTTTCTCTTTGCTTGGCATGAACTGGCGTCACCCTTGACTATCATCCACTCTGATATGCAGACAACTCCGCCGACCTAAGGAATAGTCATAGCATCACACCTCCGAATCACATAGCTCGCAATTGTCTTGTATATACACCTGTTTCAGTCTCCGTTGTGTAAAGCATAAAGTGATCAATTGAGTTATGATAGTCCACACTCTGAATGGCCGAGGTGAGATCTGCCCCCCATCTAGGTTGACGACGGTGTTCATCGCACTTGTTACACGGTGTACCTCATGCTGGTGATTGGTAGAATTACGATACGGAAAGGTCACCGTGAACCTAGTCGTAGGATTTCTGGTGCTTTCGGCAAATTACCACCTTAGTCTACGGATACACACGGCGCCGGCAGTCAGAGTCTACTCACCCGCCTCATGTTCAATCTTGTCGGTCATATCCTTGGGCAAGAAGTCATCGAGGCACAAAATTGGCCACGAAAGTAATCAATAATTTACCGCATGAGGGAAACCGTGGTGGACCCAAAAGCTGATAGACAGCCAGGAAACACAATAGTCTGAGGCAAAGAGCTGCAAATGCGGTCAATCTGATTGTAGAAGTTGTTCGCTCTCTCGTCCATATATGGAGCAAGAAGGAAAGTGTCCGGGTAGTCTTCCCCGCTCTCCCAGATTTGTTTCGTGATGGTGTCGTGATGGTGCACAACCCCACCACAACCAGTACGAACAGTCTATCCACTTGAAGCCCAAGTAATAATAGTTCTCCGATCGTGACCTTCTGAAAGTGAGGGATGTTGTATGCTTCGTGATTCGCAGAGAAAGACATATCTCCAGCTGTGAGGCTGGCAATGTGGCTTGCAAGTGGAGACCCTTGTCATGAGGTCGAAATAAGAGGTTCCAGAAAGGTGTGTACACATCCGTCCAGGCAATGACAGCACGAGATTGATGTCAAATGTTGCCTGTGTCCTAAATGAAGATCTGATTCACTTTAGGTGGCCTAGCATTGGGAATTGTTGCAGCAATGCGGAAGTCTCCGGCACCGCCCAACCAGCGGAAGAAACGTGATTTCTGGTCATAGCTTCGCCTGAAAGCCAGTCGTTGAACGTCTCTTTACCCCGCTAGGTAGTACGCCGTATAAACTAACAGCTGTAGAGCGCAATGATGCAGACTGGAAGCTTCGCATTGAGGCAAGAATTGAAGGCAAATCAGCAAAACTTCTCTCGACACCGAGATGGATGAGTGTGGGTTGCTCCACCTTAACTTGCAATATAAGCCCTGCTGAAAAATTCACGAGCGCCAAAACTCAAGAGGGCTATCGACCCTCCCATCCCCCGCCGATGATGAATCCGTCAAAACTTTCGTGTCCCAATTGCTCCCATCTGAAAATCCTTCCGCACATCACCCGGTTCATTCGTGAAATGATGCGCTTCCCCTTGTATGCAACATCTGTAGGTGCTAATTTTTGACGTCACTTTGGCCTTTCCTTTCTTGTAAATTATTTTATATTGTGTGTTGCAGAGTCAATCGAGCGCTCTAGTCAGTTGCTAGTCGGAGAAAGGTAGGATTGAATTGGAGGCTGTGCATGATCCTCAATCACATGAATGTGGTGTGAAGTCCAAAGGGCTGTTCAGTCCCAACGATGCCAGTATCAGATTGGCCGCATGATGGTCTTTCTCGCGAGGAAAAGATAGACAGGCTCTTCTCACAAAATTTTTGTAATGAGGAACACATCCAAGCCTTTTCCCGCGCCCTAGGTACCCCAGATGAGGAGAGTGGCCCCCCAAGTCCTGTCGAGACGTTCTCGAGCTTTGGACAATCCCATAGTTCCAAAGTAGCGAATTCCCCACAACAACCGAGAGTCCATAAGGTATCAGCAGTGAGCGACTTTGCTCCAATCCACACCAAGGTGAAAAGGTTCGCATAATATGTCCCCGCCCCCCCAGCTCCTATGTTGTTACTTATGTTGTATCCCTCATAGGCGAAGGAGAGGTGCCCCACACGTAAAGCAAGAGAAACTATACCAAATATTTCGATGGCCATTGTTGGTATGTCATTCGGACTAACTGCATGATCTAAAGTTCATATAAAACAGATACTCCTGAATACAATCATCGGGATTGAGTTTGGGATGTACGTTTTGATCAGGCAAATAGTGAATGCGTTCGAATGGCTACTAGCTTGTAAGTCGTTGCAAACTGGATGTAATTCGATGTCTTATAACACAATTTACAGGGCGAGGTCCCAAAGGAGTTTTGCGGTCTCATTTGCGAAGTGCAAGGTCATGGGATGAATGGAAGCAAGCTGCAAACGCGATGGATGAATATTTGGGTTTCAATGAGTGGAAGAAGGTCGCTACATTTTAATTCTGTTCGTGATTCCTAATTCATAAAGGGGGATTCCCATGACGCCGACTAGAATGATGAAGACACTTATTACGATCACTCACTGGTGAGCCGAGTGCGTTTCCTCTTACTTGAGCACACCCGACTATTTTCCAAATTGCGTAGGTCCGCAAAGTGCGACGTTCGTTGAGAACATACCGCCAGAACAATGATGTCCGTGCACTAATGGGTGTTCTGGAGGTTTGCCTCCGAGATAACTTTGCCGGTGCTGAGAACCCTCGGTTGTACTCAGAAACATTTATTGGGACGAAGGATGCCATCGAAGGTGTGTGGGCGCCATTAATTCAGTATTCACGCCTATTCATACGTGTATCTTACCGGAGCTTACATCAAGGAAGTTGAAGATGCACTAGCGTTCGTTAGATCGACACGGGAATTGAGCGATGAAGAGAAGAGAAGGTTTTTTCGGAATGCTTGCCGAAGTTTTGGCTCTTCGGCGCTTTGCTTTTCAGGGGGTGGCGCCTTTGGTTTCTGTAAGCTGGTCATAGGGGCATGATGCTATATCCGAGCAGAAATTAATCGGAATGTCGCTTTCCTCAGATCACTTCGGTGTGTTGAAAGCATTCCTTGATACAGACCTTATGCCGAGAGTATTTAACGGCACTTCTGCTGGTGGGCTCACTGCAGGTATGAGGGGTTTAATCCTCTGTTATTGCCTTATTGACCACTTTCCCCGGTCAGCATTTGCATGCACCCATACGGACGAGGAGCTTCGACTAATGACAGGGCCGCGCTTAGCGGATCATATTACATGTTTTGAGGAATCATTCAGCACCACGCTTTCTCGGTTGTTCCAGACTGGCGCAATGTTTGACACCCTGGCATGGGCCCGGAAGGTTGACGATTCTTCCGATCTCTTCGTGGCTATTCTAATCGCAGTCATTGGAATGGGTCAATATTAGTCTATGTTCTTTACAAGAGGCTCTATGACATTTCGGGAAGCGTACGAGCGCACAGGGAAGGTGCTCAACGTTTCGGTAATTCCGTCGGATCGTCATTCGTGAGTAAGGACCTTGTTGTTGTAATGCCTATTGACTGGGCCTGCTTCCATTAGTCCCACCAAACTATTGAACTACCTTACCGCGCCGGACTGCATTATTTGGTCCGCGATAATCGCCTCATCAGCTGTTCCTACCATCCTCAGTGAGTAGACTCATAACTCACATACGAGATCAGAGTCGAATCTCTCCCAAAGATCCAGTCGTCTTGATGCAGAAAACCAAGTATGGCCAAGTTGTCCCGTGGAATTGGGGTGGTAGATTTAAAGATGGTAGTCTTCGGTAAGGAAATGCAATGACCAGAACCAGACATTTCGCAAATTGAAGAGCTGCACCACAGTGTAGATGTACCGATACAGTCCTTGAATTTACTCTTCAACGGTAATGAGTTTTCTTCACGCCTGCATGGAATTTTCATTCAACTTAGTCATGCCATGGCAGTGAACAATACCATCGTATCTCAAGTGAACCCTCATGTTCATCTGTTCTTCTTCGCGTCTCGGGGTTCTCCTGGACGACCGGTCGCCCACCGGAAGGGGAAAGGGTGGCGAGGAGGATTCCTTTTGTCGGCGGCTGAGCAGTTCCTGAAGCTCGAGCTGACCAAAAATTTCAAGGTATGTGCATTTCGCACCCAACTGTATATGGTTGTCCTGGTTGGATTAATTGTACGGACTGAATCAGGTAATTCGCGATCTGGAGCTTATGCCCCAGATTCTCGGCCAAGATTGGTCAAGCGTTTTTCTGCAGCGTTTTGATGGCAGTGTAACGTACGTTCAATTTCTCTTCACTGAACTCCTTTGTAGGCTTAAGCTTAGACCTGCAGAATTCGTCCACGAACCATTGCCAAGGTGAACATGAATGGGCCACGTTGACGACTGCACCGGTTCCTAATGATTTTTAAAAGGATTTCCTTCGAATCCTGAGTGACCCAACGCGTACTGAAATGCAACGGATGCAACACGCAGGGGAGCTTGCGACTTGGCCCAGGGTGAGTCTTCTGTATCAGTTCCCAAATCTTCCCCTGTCGCTCACTCTAGCCCACAGCTTCACATGGTCGAGAACCGATTTCGAATTGAACGAGAGATATTTCGAGGCCGGCTGGCGTTTCGCCAGCTGGATACACGAGGCATTTCTCGTCGTGTGGGCGTTCCACTTCCTGGTCCCGAGACAAACACCCCAGACTTCAGACCAGAAGTTAACCCAGGCACGCCAGCGGACAGAAAGAGCGGCCCGAAGGCTGCCACCCTAGCAACCCCCTGATCCCAGTTAGGCCAGGCGCTGAGCTTGATGAGGAACGAACTCCAAAATATTTCAAGAGAAGAAGTAGAATCGGGGTGGAACAGCCCGCCGATGGGAATCACCATGATGGTTTCACTGCAGAAGACTCCCAAGATGATCATTACGGAGACGACGAGCATCACCGACCTATAGCCATCACCTCTCAGGCATCGTTGCAAAGGCGACGAATCGGAGAACTTCGCCGCAGACATTCCCGAGGTCGATAGCTAGAAGTCGCAACTTGTCATCACCTTACATCAATATCCCCCTCCTTCCACCTCAGATGGTGGAGAACTGTTTTCGCATCTTAGGAATGCCTCCTTTCCACGATTGGCCCCATTTGGCGCACCTAATCTGTCAGAGGGGTTGTCCTCTTCCTTATCTTCTGATGACACCGAGGAAGAAAATGACCATGACGAAACTCGCGATCGTGATCCACCGCTAGCAACGGCAGTTGATTGGCACGAATCAAGTAGCGATAGTATTGAAGATGCAGACGTTACATGGGAAGTCCCTTTGCATAACGCAACGAAAACGGATTGTGAACCATCCGTTACCAAACCCGTACAAGATTCATGATACGTGTACAGTGATTAACTATGATCAATCCATTATCTTGACTTCCCCTTCAAATTACATGTCCATCCAATCCCGAAGTTTACCGTTGGCAACTTGGCGGCAATCTGCAACTTTCTTGTCAATCTCAGGTCTTTGCATTATTGTTATTAGAATTCTTGGGATCGTAGCGTACGCTGAGGCCAACCGTGATTCACGTTTGTATGATGTTGAGTCTTGCGGCGTATAGATCTACTCTTATTTCCTTTCTTGGGATACTCGCTGCCAAAGTCAGTGGGCATTCATAGCGCTTGACTATAAAACACGAATTTTTGGATCACTCTACTTCTACTTCTCCTCAGTTCACGCATAGCGGATTGAGCGAGAACATCGCTAGTTTCCACATTCATCTTATATGTCGGGGCCGTGTCCAAAATTAAAAGTGGTCACCAAAACCTCGAGTTGACTCGTTTTTATTTCGGTTCCCGGTTGGTGTACCTCCGTCCCCGTTGACTGAGCTGGCAACCCGATCCTGTGTAGCCTATGCGTCCGGTTTCCGTGGCGCTGAATCACATCAAGTGGCAGTTTTTGCTTGTGTGTTGGGTAAAACTACCTACGCGATCTCACTTCAACTCAAAGTGGCCACGGTGGTTGCCGACCATTCTGATCACGGTACCTATTTCCCATGAGTATTAACATTTCCCCAGATCAGCAGGAAGAGACGTCGTGGACAAGGTAACTCTGTTGTACCCTTTATGTGGCCCAGTTTTCTCAGGAAATGAAGCCAGGTTCCCACACATGATTTTATTTCCGACCCTGCTTTTGCAGTTGCAGAACATCATATCTCGCCGAGTCATACACTTCGGACTGCGGACTCGTGGACCAATGTTTGGGGTCTTTTTATGGCTGAAAATGCAGAATTGAACTGAAGTTCTGCGCCATTGTGTAGTTCCGCGGTGGAAATGGTGAAATTGACAGCGATCTTGATAATATATAATGATCTTCGTGTATACCGAGGACCATGCATGCACGCATGTTCCCGGGTTTCGAAGCTCGTTTTTCGCATCCATGCATGTTTCAGGTCCGGCACCTGGCCCGTGCAAAATGTCATGCTGCCATGGCCTTGATTAGCCGCGCCCACTATTTGAGGCATTTCCACGTGCTTTCTGGCAATGCTCAGCAAAGTGGTTTCGCGATTGCCACCCGATATATTGGATCTCATTTGTCCACACTTTCCCATAAATGATATGGTGTCTTGTGCAAACGAGGATACACACCGTGTTGCCGAGGTAAAGATCATCATTCTCTACAGGTGCTATGGGGGTTCCTATAGTACAGCTTGACTGTTGTTACTCGTAAGGATGGTTCTAGAATGATGACAAACTGTGGCCAAAATCATGGTGCCGCGCGTGAGGGCACACAGCGTATTAGCCCCGGGCGGTATCATGAGCCGTAATCCAGCAGTCATATGCTCGATCTCCATGAACTCATATTAATCACTGATGGCACAATAGGGCTCGTGTCAAGCATATAAAGCGCGATTATTCACCTCTCCATTCTGGAGTCCCCTTTGACCATGGCTCCTGCTCAAGTGGCCAAAGTGGTGTTATATTATGATATCTCTTCAACATATTCATTGCTTGCCATGACGACTCTATTTCGGTACCTGTACCTCCTGAGCCTGGTCCCCTGCGTCTTCTTGCTGACACCTCAACGCTAAAGGTATCAAAAAGCCTGGAATCTGTCGATTGAGCTTTTCCCTGTACGTGATGGAGATCGCTTCTAGCTACCTGCTTTTGACATACAACCGCCATGCGCAGATTTTTACTGGTGCGCTCCATGTTACTCTGAGGCCTAGCTTTGTTGCCGCTTCCCAATGAGGACGCCACTTTCTCTTGCAGGGAGTATAATCCAGATCACGGGAAACCCACCGCCTTTGAAGGCAACGGCTCATGCTCCGTACTTGGTATGCGAGATTGCACTATGCTTATGCACGGGCCACCAGTAACAAATATGTGCCTCATTCAGCTCCAGGATGTTCACACGTTGTCCGACCGTTTGGGAGGTACGCGCGACAGCGTGTTAACTCGAGCTTTTGAATTGTTTAGTGATAGATGACCACAGTCGACATCCGGTCTCCTCCTGGTCATCCCACGACATCAGTTCTTTGAATGTGATGCGCTTTATGAGAGTGGTGTATAGGGAAGAATCACAGAAGACTCTGTATGAATGTACACGATTGCTTTTCGTGAGTCCACCAGCAAAAGCCCATGAGTCCTATTCGCCTACCTGAAACTCCGCTTGCGTAGCTCGAGTTCTTCAGCGTTCAATCAGTCTACAGCACTCCTTCATTTTTTGATTGCCTCACACCGTTTCCATTCACACGCACGAGGCTTAGGGAGATCATTGAAAAGTCGCAGATTCGAGAGAACAAAAAAGGGTTAATATCAGATGCACAAGAAATCGTTGCCAAGTATGGAATTTTTGGCGTTCCTCTCATCACGGCCACCAGGCCTGATGGTGGGATGACTCAAGCATGGTTCGGTCAAGATGCAATTGAATCAATAGGTTGGTGGCTTGGTGAGTTGCCTCGATCCATCGTGTGGAACGCACGTCGGGCGGGAAAAGTTTCGCTGACGCGCGATGCGTCGGAACCGGTGCCATAGGTCCAGAATACAAATGGAATGGCCCTTATCCTGACGGACGGGATTCCTCAAGGCCTATTATCACTCAAGCGGACGTGAACAATGCACGCATCGAGGCCAGGCTCTAGTCCCCACATAACCGCCCAGGATCGCATTCACATTCGTTTCCCACCGTTTCACATCTCCGTTCTAGAGTCAACATTGTTTTTGTGAAGTATTATAACTTGATACAGATTTGTATCTGGAGACCGTGTGATCCTGAGGATTAAAATCCGTTGCGCCGCGCAGCCGACCGACCCTCCAGATAAAGGGAAATGATGTATCAGTGGGCATGTGCTATTATTTCTTGACAGTCGTCTTTCCGGCGGTTCTCCTCAACGCCCGCTTCCTTTCCTTTTCGAGAAGCTAAGCAGTGACAAGAGTTGAATCAGCCAAACGCACATTCTAAAAAGTGGGGAAGACCTTTGTTGTACCCTTTGTTGTTCAGTCGCACTTAGTTTGGATATGCGGGCGTCTTCGAGACGTTTCTTTTCAGCACGCTTGTTTTCTTCCAACTCAGCGAGTTTCTCTGCTGTGCGCTCTTTCTCGAGCCGTTCATCCCACTCTTTGCGGGTGTTTCGGAGTTTCTTGTACGTTTCTGCTTGTAACACGGCGGAGCGAGCTGGATGGTTTGGAGGAAGTGCGATGGCTCCATAGAGCTGTCCAAGGGCATCAACGAGTTCAAATGCAGCTCGGATGATAGGGTCTGCTGCCGTAACCCGAGACGTGGGAGGGGCCTTGAACGTCAATTGAACATGTCGCACGCGGGTCAAGAGGGACGGCAGAGGTTGTTTCGCATCGTATGTGTCCGGTTTGAAAGGTAGTTGGTCTGTGACCTGTAAAGCGATAAGTATGGGATTGGATAGGGTTGAGTGTGAAGGACGGACAATTAAGGATTTGAAATCTTGTAGTGCATCGGCGTTCTTCAAGGACTCCAGCAGAGATGGAACAGCTCCAGATGTGAGAACCGACTGGTTAATGTCTGCTGTTTCGGTCATGATTTGCACTGTCGGGTGGACACGAATCGCATCCGTTGTTTTCGTAAAGACACCCTGGGGTCTATGGAATCAGAGTGAGGTGGAGATTCGGGGGATGAACCTCATACCAAGTCCCAGCGGTCCTCTCGAAGTTTCTTAAGGTGGTTCTTATTCACCGCAGCCCAAACAAACCCAGGCCCTTTTGCCGCATCATACCGGAGCTTGAAGTCAAGCGTAATATCGTCTTTGGGCTCAAAGTCAAGTTCGATAAGGCCGCGAATGAATGAATAAGCAAGTTGGAAGAGGTCATGACGGGGTTTGAGGGTGAATACCGTCTAATCATTCAGGGTAGACTTGTGGATTTTCCAGGCGCACAATGGAACTACGTACATGGAGATAATGAACACTTCGGCGTCCAGTGGAAAATCCAAATAAGTCCGTTGGTCCGTCAGCGACTACTTCGTTAGCAGAAAAAGGTGTGCTAAATTGTGAGGCATATAAAGCAGTGTGTGCATTAATCCAAGCATAAGCTCTGTTACTATTGGTGCGTTTTCCAATAAAGTAGTTGATCAAGTAGAGTATCAGGAAAGCGAAGAGGATGCCTTCTTTCCGGAATTCAGCTGGTCGAAAAACTAACCGCTTCCAGCGGAGCTCAAAGCCGTCATACTCCTGGGCGAGTAATGGAACACCAGGAGGAGCGATGAATGCACTCAAGGGAGGCCAGTTGATGGCGCGTGTGACGGGAATGAATGCAGTTAAAAAGAGCAGTAGGATGAAGCCCTCCATTCTAACGCCTCCGACTGAATACTTGAGCCCAAGCTGCACTCGTTCCTGCGCGATACACTGGTCCCAGGCCTTCTGGTCGCGGATTTAAGCGGTGTTAACAACGGAGCCGTTCGGAAATAGAGTCGGTGATTGGCCGAGCTTGCGAGGCTTTTGTTTCCAGAGGGGTTCGATTTTTTTCACCTATTGCTCATCACGGGATCACTATAATATGAACCTATAAGCACCCCACCTGAAGTACCCTCTTAGATATATAGACGCTCCTTCAGTGCGTGCACCTGTGCACTGGTGCACTGATAGTACTTATAGTACTTATATTACTGTACTGTCCAAAATCCTACTTTCTTGACTAAACTTGCTATTCTCTCGATCCTTAACTCCACAGTGGGTTCTCCGGGATTTCCGCAAGGTCCGGGCTCAGTGTCCACTACTCACTCGTTGTGAGCTAGATCACTGCCCTTATTCCTACTGTTGGAATTCCACACACTCACACCCTCTCTAGCGTGTCCTAGCACCTTAGAGAAAATTGGGGGAGGGGAGAACTTCTTTTCAAAAACCCGGTATGTACAGGATTATATCTAATAATTATTTTTAGAAACAATAGATGGGGAATATTGGTACCATATGGCACCTGGATACCTTATTAGGCGAAATAATAAAAAAAGGTAACAGTAACAATAAAAGAATATCAATCAATATCTGAAATGATGGCAAAATATGAGAATATATGAAAATAAGCGACTTCCCAATGGATTTACGGAATTAAGAGCCGAAATTGGAAATGTAGCTGGAGATAACTCTCCCGCAGCCAATGAGCATTTTTACCAATTTATTAGACGCTGCGGGAACGAGTGAGGCTGGAATTCTGGGTTGCCGCTTGAGATTCCCACGCCCGCACATACCCGTGACCTGCTGTGCCTAACTTCTCCAACACGGAACTCTGTCAAATCTCCACCGATTGGGATGTTCTTGGTATCGTCAGAATCGTATGAATTAGGACTATTTTTAGATACCAAATTTGTACCGAGTCGTCACGTGAATGAAAGTCGTTTCCTAATTGTAGAATCAGGTATCTGAGCCGAGTCTGTGCATGGGCGATTATCCCGCCTACAGCGGTGATATAGGAACAGTGAGATACAGGAGGGGAAATGGGCATGCATGCCGGTGATACATTGAGCAGCGGGAAAGGTGGTCCATGTGAGAAAGAAAGAAAGAAAGAAAGAAAGAAAGAAAGAAAGGAAGAAAGGGGGAAAGGAGAAAGGAAGAGGGAAGTGGTGTGGAGCAGGGGAGCGGAGCGAGGGTCGGGCAGGGCATGTCCTGACATATCCCCACTTGAGTGCCAACTTCTTGCTGGAAGTGCTTCTCAAGGAAATGCACACCTGGCTACATACAAACATCTTCCTACATACAAAGGACTCCATCACCTTGGGAATGGACTTGTATCTGGAGTTACAACTCACCTTGGTGGAATCCTATATGTCAACAAAAACCATTGGATCCCTTTCATAATCAGCCCCAAAGAGTCCATAGTTCTTCTTGCAGACTCCACAAAGCTGGTGCTGGCCCATCAAGAGGAACAGTGGAGGCAATGGGCATCATTCAATGGTGGTTGAACATGTCCTATTTGGGATCAAATAAGCCTGCGGTATCATTTGGAGTCGCTTCACTCGCGATAGCATACCAGAATGATGTCACATCTTGCAGGTTCTTTGTGTTGAATGTGTCATATCTGTGCATACCTGATCCCAACCTGACTCCCGGACCTCCTCCTTCACCACCTCCGGAGTCCTACCCTACTGCTGTCTGTTCTGATATTCACCTTTGGTCCTGGCACCACACCTCCTCTTACCTCCCATGCCACCTCCACTCCTCCTTCCCTCTCCTCCCCTATCTCCGTCCACTCCGATACTCACCTCAGACTGAACACTGCCCCTCTCACCACCCTCCTACTACTCCTCCTCCTACTCCTCCGCTCCTCCCTCACAACACCTCCACCCTTCCATCATCCTCCTATGCTTCTCCCGTCTGCTCCAATACTCACCTTCGGACCTGACAACTCTCCTTTCCACCACTCCTTCCCTCTTCCCTTTCTCCTCTCTCTTCCCTCTGGTACTCTTCTGCTGACCTCCTGCCAAGTTACGACCTTCCACCGCTGTCCCGTACTTCGTACTCGGGCACCGCTCATTCCTTTGCTCCGAGCCTTCGTCATAGTCCCTACCTCGGACTTTGACTCCACCTCAGTCTTAGTCCATTGCATTGGTGACCTCATACTACATAAACACCATTGCCAATATTCCTTGGACTTTCAACCCCACCTCCATAACCTCTGTAACCTCCATAACCTCTGAGCTCCATGGATCACCTTCAGCACTTTTGCTGCTTGTAATGTATTTCTCGCATTTTCCCCTCATCCCTATTTGGACTGCTGCTTCTTCCCATTCTAGCCAGTTAGTCATCATCCCCACTTCCCCTCATCCTCCTGCCCCTCTGGGCCTTGCCCTCCTTACCTCCTTTCGGATGTATCACAGGTTCTGCCTTATGACCTTCGGTACCGCTCCGCTTCTGTCATCCCTTGTTCCCGTTCGGATGCCTTCGTTCTGATTCGGATCCCCTTTGTTTCCTTGTGCTTTTGCCCCCTCCATTATATATATCGGCGCTTGTACATACTTGTTTTAGGCTCAGTCCGAAATCGACCTGAAATGCCCCCTAGAGACTTCCTGCTCGCCTACTGTGAAATTAAGGACCAAATGGACAAACAGCAATGGCACAGTGCTCCGCTTGAGTTGCTGAGGCCAAGGTCCCTCCACGCTAAGTCTCCAATTCCACTCCGGAGTTGTCTGAATCCATGCATCACATCATCTCTAACATCAAATCATATTTGGGGCCTCCAACTGTCAGTTGTAAGGTGGTTGAGAAAAACTGCCAGTGAAACACTTCCCAACTGGAAAATGACCAGTCTGGACTGCTATGGTACTTCAGCCACTAACCCCTGAAGAACATCATAAACAAGTCTCAGTTGGGTTTGAAAAATTAAAAGGGAGATCCAAAGAGCTGGAGAAGGCCATGCAGCTCAAAGAAATGAGGCAGCAGCAGAGGCGTCGAGAGTTGGCTGCTGTGAGACAGCAGCAACTTTGTGCCAAGATTGCAGCAGAGTGGGTAGACAAGAACAAGGTATGTAGAGGCCTACTTACTTTCAAAAGATACCTAATATTCTTAAGTTGATAGGTGCCTCTAATGAAACTCCAAAATGGAAAGCCCCAGGCAGTCAAGGAGATGTCAAGACCAAAATGGTGGATTCAGCAATGGCTACAGGAATGCAAACCAACATACCATCTTTCCATGGCCACACAAGCATGGAGATGAAAAGTGCCTAGGCTAGCATCAGCGACTAATTGGTTCCAACTGATTTTCTGGATGATCATAAGTGAAACAATGGAAAAGGTCGGCTGGAAGATGGGACCAGTGGAGGTCTTGGAAGTTATTCTGTTTGCTGAGGGCAGACATAGTTGGGAAGTGGATAGACTGGAGTGGATTGCAGCCATGTTGGTCAATGGCAGTCTTGGCAAAGGTTGCAAAAGGGAATTGTCCAGGCAGCAGTCTTACTTGAACAGGGATACTGGTTAGCAATTGATCAAGCACTAATGTGGATTTTAACTCACATAAATAATGTAGGCATCTTACCCAGAAACAATTGAAGAGATAAAGTGAGCATTCGACAAGCAGGCATTGCTCTTGATGTGCACCAGATCCATGGAGTGATCATCCAATATACTCATCCTGAAATATTCAGGATTGTAGTCAACAGAGATTGTAGCACATTTTCTGTGAGCACAAAGTGGGTTCGGAAGTTTCTCATGATGAAAATGAACTGGAGCCTGTGATGGGCAACATGTGCTGCCCAGAAGCTCCCTCACAATGCTGATTATCAGCTTTGTGCATCACTCCTCCATCAAGCCCACTCCATTCACCTCTATTGCATTCCCAGCAACCTGTGAGTGAATTCTGATCAAACACAGATCATTTACCAACAAGGCTCAAATTCAACTTACAAGAAGAAAGGCTCATGTCAGGTCTCTACTCTTGGCTGAGATGAAAAGCGTGCATTCACACTCAACATAGCTATCTCAGAAAGTGGGACTCTTCTACCCTTCCAGGCAATCTTCAAGGGAAAGACTACTGCTAGTCTTCCCACTGCAAACTCCCCTTCCTGCAATGAAGTGGATCAACTTCGCTTTGTCTTTGAACCCTCGGGTACTGACAACTACTGGGCAAATTTGAAGACAATGAAATCTTTTGTCACAAATATTCTTGTTTCATACTTTATTGCTGAGAAGGAGCATCTGTTGCTTGACCCACTTCAAGAATGCATCTGGCAACTTGATGTGTGGTCTGTTCATGCTTCACTTGAGTTCTGAACTTGGATTTTCGACAACTATCCCTGGATTGTCCTTGACTATGTTCCTGGAGGGTGCACAGGTCTTTGGTGACCCTGCGATGTTGGTATTCAATGGGTACTCAAGCTTGTGGTGAAGCAATCTCAGCAAAGCACCATTGTGCATGAGGTCCATTCTCAGTTGCAGCGAGGTGTTGGTCCATGTGATATTGCACTTGATACGAAGATTTCCACACTGAGGGGCTGTGTCCCTGCCACTCTGGTTGATGCATACCACTCAATTAACAACCCCCAGTGGATCCAAAAGGTAATTTACAGCTTTCAGTCCAATGCAGCTACATCTAATAAGTATTCATAGGCTTTTGAATTGTGCTGCTTGGGTGAATTCAACTTATCCCATCCTAGCCTCACATCCCCTTCACTACAGGCCATCCTTGGTGGTCTTCCACATCAAGACCCCCCTCTCGCTCAAGCCATAACGGTGTAAGGGGGCAAGGGATCTACCACCCTAATGAGAAAGAGAGGGGGACAAGTGTTTGGAAGTGCTCAGGGGAGGTTCGGATGAAGAGGGGGGAGGAGAAATGGCCCGGGTGCGATGTGAAAAAAATGATAATCTTGTAAATCTCACTGATAATCAAACTAATGGGAACTCTGTCCCTGCACTATGTCTTGAGCCTCTTTGGCTTCGTATTCGCTGCTCTGGGCACTGGTAAACTTTGCTAGAACTTCATGTCTGTTGGGGAGCACCTCTCTCTGTTGGGGGAGTCCTCTTTGTAAATACAGGAAAGAGGGTAACTATAAATATGAAAGAAATACATGGAAATCCGAATGATCCGACGGGTTTAGGACGGCAACAGATCCACAAGGAACACTTAAGAAAAAAAGTAATATCAAAGCAATATTGATGTTGTTAAGGAAATAAAGAACCATGCGATCGCCTCAACCGCTGAACCAAGTGTGTCACTCGTAACATCGTTCGACTCGTGTTAACAAGGGCTTTCCAACAATACCAAATTCGTCCGGATCGGTGGAGAATTGATGGAGATATGGAGGAAGCGGCGGAATATGCGGGTGACAGTTACCCAATTTGGAAACTGATGGTTGTCCGTGGTCAGGAATGGCTTGAAAAAATCGGAAAAATATGGAAAATGTGGAAGGGGTATCTGGCACAGTGGTAGATGTGTTTTGGAAGTGGGGTGCTTGATGAGAGTGGTAGAATCACGATAATCGGCTCATTTGCATGGTACCAGCTGTGCCTGCCTACAATGGCACCACACAAGAATCCCACTGATGGCAGTGGGGTTCATCCCAATTCTGCCACACTAATTCATGAAGAGCAGTTCTCTGAGGCCATTGACGATGATGTAGAGGTATCATTGGAGGATGTCTATGAACATCTCAATGGAGAAGCCCTCCCTGAAGGGCTTGCAGAGGTGGATGGCAGTCTTCAGCTGGACATGACAGTTGCTGAAGACCATGATGGGGCATCCATTGGAGACACCAGTGTGGTGGTCGGGACTCCAGCTGATAGCGATGGATTGGGATGGGGTAAACAAGTCAGATGGGTGAAAAAGAGCTGGAAATGTATCACTTTTAGTTTTACATGTGACCAAATCCAATCGAAAAATCACACAGCCACTTGTAGCCACCAAACAGCGTGATTCCGGACATTGCAACCACAAAGCCAGCATGATGCATGACAAACTTTGTAAAAGCACCCAACCAGAAGGCCTGCATGATGCATGACCGGTTGTTGGTTGTACAGTACTACCAGGCCCAAAGGGCCTGAGAAGCTCTGGGGTACTGTGACCCAAAAACTCGGAAAACCCCTTGTTGCTGCAACCCCTTCAGAGTTCACCATCACATGTCACTCCAGCAACTCGCTGGCAATGTCTCTGGGTCTGTCATCATCATCATTGACATCATCAATGACTTAAATGATATTTCTTTATCGGACTGTTCATTCTCTCATAAATTGATTATCACCAAGACATTGATACCTCATTTCTTTGTATTTCTGTCACTTCAGCATCGTCACTGACGGTGTCAACATCAGCTTGGCCCTAATTTCTCTTAGGTTCTTTTGATGTTTTTTGATGTTTTACTTATACTTAAGGAAATGTATAATTGAGCCATCAGTGAAAATGCGCTTGGTAGGCCATGAGTTGCCTTATATGGTTGAACTGGAACATCATTGTTATATTGTTTTTGAGGAAGGTTTCAGAACCACCAAAGCAAGTACACATGTCACCAGTGTTAGTTCAATTTTCAGTGTGTCACCCCACCCAACCCGTTGTCAGGCAAGACAAGGCATTTGCAAGATTTCCAGGGCTTGGGATTTGTTGGTGCCCCATGCTTCTGCTTCCTGCCAGAGCCATTAATTGCTTGTAAGCTCCCTGGGGAAACTGTTGCTTACGAGCTGGTTTTCTTATTAGAACTGGGTTCTTGTCAGGGTCGCATCCGCGGTCGAGGCGGTCCGGGCGTAACATCCGGTGCTGAGGACCTCACGGGGGATGGATCGGGCATGCGTACTGGCAGCCCCGATGCGGGACGGCGATCCCTGGCCACTTAGACTGAAGTGGGAATGTTGAGAAGAAGGTTACTTCTTCGGTTCCCACCCCAGGTGTGTTTATATACATGCGGCTTGGGTCACATGAGGTCTGCCACGTCACCCCACATACAGCCGCAGTCACCCAGGTGTCCCCGTGGGGGATCCCGAGGGTGTATGCTGCACGCGCGCGCACTAGGTTGCACCCTAGAGCCGTCCGGGGCCGTCCGGGGCTAGGCACGTCGTGTGTGCGTCGCGGGCGGGTCAATAATACATGGATATAAGGGAAAGGTCGTCCGTGTGAAGTAGAAATAGAAATAGAAATAGAAATGGAAATAGAAGGGGAAGTGGGAGAGGGATAGAGGGGGAAGGGGTATGAAGGAGGGGTGCAGGGTGGGAGAAGGGGAACCGGGTGAGGTGGGCCCAGGTGGAGGCGGGTCAGGCGGGTGTGCCCTGACAGTTCTGCAGTTGCTGCTGCCTACCCTATCTCTGTCCGCTCCGATACTCACCTTCAGATCAAACATCACTCCTCTCACCACCCTCCTCTTCTTACTCCTCACGACCCCTCCACCCTTCCATCACTCTCCGACCCTACCTCCATCTGTTCCGATATTTACCTTCAGACCTGACATCATTCCTTCCCCACTCCTCTCATCACTCTCCTCCCTCCGACCCTCTTCTGCCAAACCTCTGCCAAGTTACAACCTTCCACCGCTGTCCTGTACCCTCGGACACCGCTCATACCTTCGCTCCGAGATCCCATCATAGTTCCGACCTTGGCTTAAGTCCATTGCATTGGTGACCTCATAATACGTAAACACCATTGCCAACATTCCTCAGACTTTCAACCCCACCTCTGTAAGCTCTGCAACCTCCGAGCTTCATGGATCATACTTGGTACTTTCACCGATTGTAATGTATCTTTCGCGCTTTCCCCTCACCCTTATTTGGACTGCTGCTTCTCTCCATTCTAGCCAGTTAGTCATCATCCCCACTTCACCTCATCCTCCTGCCCCTCTGGGCTTCGCCCTCCCTATCTCCTTTTGGATGTACCACAGGTTCTAACCTATGACCTTTTGGTGCCACTCTGCTTCTGTCATCCCTTTGTTCCTGTTCAGATGCCTTTGTTCCATTCCAGACCCCCTTTGATTTTCTTGTGCTTTCGTCTCCCTATTATATACAGGCACTTGTACATACTTGTTTTGGACCTTCAGTCTAAAATCGACCTGAAATGCCCCCTAGAGACTTCCTGCTCACTGCCTCTGAAATTAAGGACCAAATGGACAAACAGCAATGGCACAGTGCTCCACATGAGTCGCTGAGGCCAAGGTCCCTCCTTGCTAAGTCTCTGGTTCCCCTCTGGAATCGTCCACCCTCACCCAGTTCTAACACCCACCAATGTTCCAGATGGCACAAACCTTGGCCACACTAGTGGTATGTCACCATCCATGTGTAAGGGGTTGGTGTAGGTGCCAACCCTGGTCAGCCTAGTTCCTCAGGCTAAGTTGCTCTTTCCACTTTCCCACACTATTGTATGTACTTTGTATATACATGTTTATTACAAGACAATTATAATGGGAAATAAGGGGTGGGGTTACCACTCCTTACACCACATCTGTACTGTTTGTTGTGTTGTCCTGGGAGCTACTGGTAGTGGAACTCAAGAAAGCATCATCAGTCAGCGGTGGGTGTCTCAGAATGCCTCCTGATCAATGTACATGGTCTGTGACTTGCCACTATTTCCGCTCTGGGCTTGGGCTGCTTCCAGTTCTAGACTAGCAAGCTCCTCCTTCTGCTGTTCAATCTCCTCTGTTGTCAATGTAACCCATTTGATCTTCCCACTCTTCCACCCATCAACAGCCACTTGTGGTCAACAAGAGCCCTCTTGGGCTCAACTATCTTACCTCCTGGGTAGTTTGTCATGTTGATCTTGACACCATGCCAGATCGTGAGCTTCAGGGCACCCACTCCATTGGAAGCTGAGTATTGCCAGTTACCCTCCCTAGTATCAGCACTTAAACAAGTTATCTGATGACATTGACAAAACATCACACACATAGTTCAGATTTCATCCACTCTGCCAGCTGCTGACACAACGGGCCTGATTGTGCTTTGTGAAGCTTTGCAACATCTTTGATCATGGCATCAGTGGTGCCAAGTGGTCCAATTCTACCTTACTGTCTAGTGTCCCAACACAATATGCTTCCATAAACCGGGTATGTTTCCACAAATCCTGGGCTGCTATGCCCAACCAGTACACCTTTGCTTTCTCTGACACCCACACAGCTGGAGTGAACAAATCGCTGTTGGACCCTTTCATCATCATGACCATGACTTGGATGCTGCATGACTGGGTCACAGTCTCTGCCTGCATTCTGTCATTCTTTGGTCGCTAACTTCTCATCCTTGAAACCTACAATCTGGAAGAGCTGGTCTTGGGCATGCAGCGCAAGGTGGTGCACAGACAGTTTGGGTGAGATAATATTTTCTTTCAGAGTCTGGTTCTCCCTTTTGATGGTGACACCTTCTGTCACGGCTGTGCATTCCGGCCTGTTCCCCACCCATCCCAATGCTGCCCAAGCCCATTCCCGCTATGCGAGCGTGAGCACGAGCCCCGACCTCAGCCCTATCCTCCATGAGGACTCCCTGCTCACTCCCCCACTTGCCCCTAGGCTCCCCTGCACCTGGCCGACTCCCCCACAGCCACACCAACCTTCCCACCCTGAGTCTGCCTCTGGCACCATGCCCAGCACGACTCCCCTACCCTGCCCACTTGGCCCCTACAGGGCCGCTATCATCCCCGTGCCCGACTCCAGCCCAACTCCGAGTCCAGCACTGCTACGATACCATCGCCGCTATCGCGGCCCTACGCTCTTTCCTTTATTTATCTGTTATTGTTTGTTTTGACCCTCAGTCATTGCCGGCCGCTATGTGGCCAACCCTGCTCCTTATTCTTGTTTGCTTCCGGACCCTTCGGCCTCCAGCCCGGGTCCGCTTCCATTCATTTCTTCCTCCTATATATATCCTGTATGATACTTTATTGTACCTTAGCTCTAATATCGAAGTGACCCCTAAGTCCTGACCCCAATGTCAGGGCACACCCTGCCCGACCCCCGCTCCGCAACGCTGCAAGAGGGCTTGCGGCTCTCTATGCCGACTAAGCTCGTGGGGCCAAACTCTCCAAAACCTCTACTTTCTCTCTTGACTTCGCTATGCTCTCGATCCTTAACTCCGCGGTGGGTTCTCCGGGATTTCTGCAAGGTCCGGGCTCAGCATCCACTGCTCACTTGTTGTGAGCTAGATCACTGCCCTTATTCCTACTGTTGGAATTCCACACACTCACACCCTCTCTAGCGCATCCTAGCACCTTAGAGAATTTTTGGGGGAGGGGAGAACTTCTTTTCCAAAATCCGGTATGTACAGGATATAAGGAACAATTATTTTAGAATAATTGATGTGGAATATTGATGCCATATGGTACCTGCATACCTTATTAGGCGAAATAATAAAATGGGTAACAGTATCAATAAAAGAATATCAATCAATAACTGAAATGATGGCAAAATATGAAAATAAAAGAAAATAAGCGATTTCTTGACAGATTTACGGAATTAAGATCCGAAATTGGAAATGTAGCGCCGATAAGCATTTTTACCAATTTATTAGACGCCGTGGGAACGAGTGAGGCTGGAATTCTGGGTTGCTGCTTGAGATTCCCACACCCGCACATGCCCGTGACCTGCTGTGCCTAACTTCTCCAACATGGAACTCCGTCAAATCTCCACCGATTGAGACGTTCTTGGTATCGTCAGAATCGTACGAATTAGGACTATTTTTAGATACCAAATTCGTATCGAGTTGATGTGTGAATGGAAGTGGTTTTATAGTCGTGAAATCGGGTATCCGAGCCGGCTCTGCACGTGGGCGATTATCCCACCTACAACGCTTCTCCCTCTTCCTTTCTCCTTTCCTCCTTTCCTCCTTTCTTTCTTTCTCTCTCTCACATGGACCACCTTTCCCGCTGCTCAATGTATCACCGGCATGCATGCCCATTTCCCCTCCTGTATCTTACCATCCCTACATCGCTGCCACTGCCACCACACTCGCCCCGCACCCACAGCGGGCCCTCTCAGGATCTCCCACGGAGACACCCAGAGAGCCGTGGCTGTGTGCAGGGGTGACATGGCATGCCCCACGTGACCGATCCCACATGTAGATAATAACAGCTGGAGTGGGAACCGAAGAAGTAGCCTTCTTCTCATATTCCCACTTCAGACTAAGTGGTCAGGGATGCTCACCCCGCGACAGGATCGCTGCTACACACAGCCGCTATTCATCCCATCGAGTCCTGCATGCTGGGACCTCGCTGCTTTCAGAGCTGTCCCTGACACCCAACAAGGAAACCCCAGTGAGTCTGAAATGAGGGCCAAGAGACAGCTAGGGGGCACAGCGCTCCTTTAGAGTTGCTGAGGCCAAATGCCCTACCCTCGGGCCTTGTCACGGCATAATGGCCATCACAGCCTATAGCGGCCCGCTAATGGTGACCTTCGGTGCCGACCCCGGACCAGTGTCTAACACCTTCCAAGATCACTCATACGAGGTACTCTCCAAAAGTGTAATCCTGCATCGTGGAATCATGAGGAGTCATGACATGTCACAAAATTTCATGACCCCTCATGACATGTCATGACAGTTGAATTGAATCAGACATTTTTTACATTGAAAATTTTGGATTTCATGACAGTTCATGACAAATTGTCATGAACTGTCACCAAATTTCATGAACCATCATGAACCATCATGTGCTGACAAGGTTCATGACTGCTGGTGACACAATATGACATGATGCCTCATGGAGGTTCATGAGTGGTCATGATGTTCATGAACCCTCATGACCTTTCATGACAGGTCATGAAGGTTCATGGAGTGTCATGGAGTGTCATATGTTTCTTTTGACCTTTCCCCATCATGTAAAATGCTATAATGTCCCATGATGCATCATGGACATTCATAATGCTCCATGAACATGTATGATGAGTCAATGCATGAGATGTCACAAGCACTTATGAACTGTCATGTGACAGACCTTATTTGTGACAGCACTGACTGATCAACCTCCAACTCATGGACTTGTGTCAGCACTGCACTGAACTCCGCTTTTCCTCCAGCCACCTTTGCTGCTTGGTGTCAGAAACAGTGCTTGAGGGTATTCATGGGAAGTGGAGCAGAGTATGGCAGTGTGAGTGATCACTTAGCTGATAGGTTACTCCATTGCAAGGCATCAGGGGGTTGGGATGTTGGTTTCAACAACTCAGTGGGAGCGTTGTGCCACATGCTCTAGGCTATCGTGTATTCAGGTGTAGTGGAGGGAACCTGGTGGTGATGTAGGCTCAAGTGAAGATGAAGTCAGAGGTGAACTATTGTCAGGGCATACCCTGCCTGACCCCACGCTGCACTGTGCTGCCCTACTCCACTTCCCCTGCCATCACTTCTTGCTCCTCCTATCTCACCTTCCCCCTCACCTTTCCTTTTTCCTTTTTCTGTCATATCCATTCCCGGCCATCGACTTCCGGGCTCTCCGACCCCTCCGTTCTAACTCCGCTCCCCCCTCACCAACCTCGGAGCCCCCGTATTCCGCAAACCTCTCGGTACCCCTCGATGGTCACCACCCCCTCATTTCAATTTATTACCCACGCCTCCCTAAGTACGGAGTCCCGAAGACTTCCGGACAGCTCCGACGTCCGCTAGCGCACTCCCGCCTCCGCTGGGCAATACACTCGCCTGCCCTGCAGAGTCCACCTTCGGGCCTATCCCTCCTTTCCGTTTCTGGGTTAACGCCTGCCTTTCCGCTAACCCCGCGAACCGACTCGTCGGTAATATTCAGTCGGCTAATGTCTTAACCCCGTTAGCTCCGCTCCGTCCGGCTCCGCCAATTGCGGAACCATCTCCGCTGTAACCATATATATACACTACTTGTACATAGGTTACGCCCCAGCAGATAAATCAACTAGAGTTACCCCCACTAGGTTCTAGGTGCCAGTCAGTAAGTTAGGGCATGGACGTGTCACTAGGCACAGCGCTCCTGGCAGAAGTCGCTGAGGCCAAAGCCCTCCGTTACGGAGACATTCCTTCGTCTTAAATCTGGTCTCTGACATTTTCCTCTTTCTCTCTATTTCTGTTCTATGGTCAACTTCCTCTTTCTCTATGTACCACCAGTGCACCCACATACCTGGGAACGCTGCACACCCCTCCTGTACCACTACACCCTAATGCCACTGCCCGTATCGCTGCACCCACTGCACACATTCCCACCCACACAGTGGCCACCCCCAGGATCTCCTGCAGAGACACCCAGAGGGGTGTGGCTGTGTGCAGAGATGACATGGCTCCTTCCATGCGACCTCAGCCACATGTATATAACAGCACCTGGGGTGGGAACAGAAGAAGCAGCCTTCTTCTCACTTTCCCACTTCAGACTAAGTGGTCAGGGATGCTCACCCCATGACAGGACCACTGCTATGCATAGCTGCTACTCATCCCATCAAGTCCCCCATGCTGGGACTTTGCCACTTTTGGAGCTGTCCCTGACAACTATGGACAAGAGGACTTGGGGGGTATTCTAGTTGACATTCAAACTGGGGTACATAAGTAGTATACTATCTACAATGCATAAATATGAAAGGGAGAACAGAAGAGGGGCTGGTCAGTCTGGCACCTGAATGGGAGGCAGAGCGGTGAACATGACAAACTAAATGAGGGATGAGAACCAGGGAGACAGAGAGTGAGAGAATGAATGAGAGTGGAATGAACAATTAAACAAAGAGGCAAAGTAGGGAGGCAACTGACAACCTGGGTGCCAATATAGTAGCAGATCAAGTGTCAATATTTTACTTATTCATTCTTCACCTCGGTTCTTGTCTTTGATGATCCCCACTCACTTCTGCACTGGACTGACTGGCCCTTCCCATGATTTCTCTCCCTTATTTATACCTTGTAAATGCTTTCAGGGACCTTAGTCTGAAATCAACTAGAGCAACCCCCTCTTGTGTGATGCTTTCATATCACTTTCAACTTAAGGGTAACATGTAATTAACCATTATGCCCCCAACTGTCATTGTTGTACCAACAATCCTAATTTATGATCAATCACAATGATTCTTGGGAAGACTCATAGTGATTCATGAAGGTCCATGAGGGTCCATGATCCTTTATGAAGGCTCATGACACTTCATGACACTTCATAGATAGGCATGTAACCACTCAAAACCTGCCTGGAACCACTTAAGTCATGAGCAATCATGACCCCCCATGCAGGTTCATGACATCTCATGAAATTCCATGATGGTTTGTCATGAACCGGCATGACTGTGTATGACACTTCATGCTGCTTCATGAAGTTTGGTGACCATTCATGAAATGTCATGACTTCCATGACGGTTCATGAACCGCCATTACACTTTTTGCAAGTTACTGACTTGTACATAATGTTCGTCCATTGGGGTCAAGGGATTCTTAACGTCATCAAATATGATCTCTTCATTGTTGATGTCATTGTCAGGGCACAGCCCTCGACCCCACACACCCTCAGACACCCCTTCCCCCCTCCTAATCACCCTTCCCCCATTTTCCCCCATTTTTCCTCCACTGTTCTGCAATGGTACAGGTATGCGAACCTGTGGGAATGTTCTGGGCAAGCAACTCACCCAGAAACCAGCACAGCCACAACCGTGGGAAAGACCTGACAACTGCACAGTTCTCAGGCCCCTTTTGTAGCGGCCTCACAGGGGGTTGAGAAGGTTACCCTTCTTCTCAACTCATTCCCTGTGAAGGCAAGTTGTAATTAGCCACTTCCTAATGTGCACCAACTCATTCCCTGTGAAGCCCAGGGCAAGTCCCCTCAGTGACTTTGAGGAACTAGTGGCTGGAGAGGACTCTCCAGTGCCACTCCTGGACCTCCTCAGTATGCCCCCTCTACTGTAGTTGATGGCACTTCAGTGCAAAATCGACAACTAGATCCCCCCAGAGTTCATGCCCCCCCATTCTGAAGTTAAGGACCCAACAATAGTGTAATCGAATGTTGGCACAGCACTCCCCTCTGAGTCGCTGAGGCCACAGTCCCTCTGCTCATCCTCTACCTCCGGCCTCCCTTCCAGGGAAAGGTCCAGACATGCACGTTCCCTTTTGCCATGTTCTGACGATCATGGGTGAGATCCTTCTAGCACATGTTTTTTGCCCTCTGGAAGCCAATAGTGCTTTGATGTACTGTACGCACATGACCAACAACTGGATGGTTTTGGACTGTGACAAAATTTTATGTTGGACATCCAACTGGCAGGCCTGGATTTAGTGTGACAGCCAACCGGGAGCCAGGAACAGTGTGACAATGGAAGTGCCTGGCCAGACTGTTCTTGATGATCTTCCACACCAAGATACCACTCTTGCTCAAGCCATAACTGTGCCATGCAAGCATCCCATTGATGCCAGTGGAATTCATCCTAATTCCACTGCATTAGTCCATGAAGACCAATACTCTGAGACTGTTGAAGATGCTGTAGAGGTAGAATTGGATGATGTTTGTAAGCATCTTGTCAGGGTTCAGCACCATGCCTTAGGGTGCCCCGGACTCCCCACCTACTTTACTCCCTTCTGTTCTTTGATTGTTGCCTTGTTGTTGTCGTGTGCACATGCACATGGGATAGTGTGGGAACTTTCTGAGTGAGCAGCTTGCCCAGAATGTTCCCATGCTTACTGGGCACTGCCACCTGGATGGTCCCTCTGGGTCACACTACACAACTCTAGGAGCTGTATAGTTGTGGGCATGTGACCCATTCCTTTATATAGCGACCATGTGGGGAGATGAGACCTTTACCCTTCTTCTCATCTCATGCCCCGCATAGGCAAGTGTACATATTTCACTTTCTTTTACTATACATCTCATGCCCTGCATTGTGTGAGGACAGGTCAGATGGGGGTTGAGGTCAGGGAGCCTCCAAGTCCGAGGCCAAGCCCTGACACATCTTAATGGAGAAGCGCTCCCTGATGGACTTGTGGAGGTGAATGGTGGTCTTCAGCTGGATGTGACAGCAGGTGAAGGTGATGCAGAATCCATTGGAGAAGATGAGAAATCTAGAAAAAGGGTTTGCCAAGTATGTACCAGTTTCGATTTTTTTAATTACCAATTCAGGAAAAATTGAATTGAAAAATTGCACCACCACTGGGAGCCACCCAAAGACCATGATGCCAGACATTGCAACTGCAAAGCCACTGTGATGTGTGGCAAACTTCTGAAAAGTGCCCAACTGGAAGGCCTGTGTGACATGTGACTGGTTGTTGGTCGTGTGCGTACAGTACTCTCATACAGATTTCTACACACCTGTTGGCATGGTCAGGGGCATGGTGGGCGATAACACAGAAAGAAGATACACTTCACCTTGGAATCATTCCACTCACACTTCCTGAGACACATCCTGTCTTGCATCCTGTAGTTCTAGTGGTGATCAGCAGTGAGAGCATGGTTCATGTGGATTCCATACATGTTGGCTTGGCCCAGACCCTTTGCTCTGGTTCTCTACATGTGGAACCACATGTCCATGATGGATGGGGCTTGATTGGACAAAGAGAACACATCAATCAAGGAGGTTGTTGACATGTCTAAGGTTGCAGTAAATTAGTAAACAGTGGGAAAATAGAAAACACACCTTCACCACCCAAAAAACCAGTTACAATATCATTGCCTTCAACTATAGTTGTGCATCTTGAGATGTAAATGAGACTGGTCGAAGATGCCAGGATTCTGAAAGCAGGGGATCACAATGCAAGAAGTTGAAGTTCAATTTCCCATGCCCACCTTCTAATTTTGGTTCTGGATCATGCCTGGACTACTTCTTCAACATGCTATCTCATAATGATGGTGGCAAAGTGAAATGCCAAAGAAGTACCTTAAGATGTAGTCGCAATGCCCATAAGTTGGAACACCTATCTGTTAGAGATGTGTCGCGGATTCAGACGACTCTGGAGTGGAATCGGAGACTTAGCGTGGAGGGACCTTGGCCTCAGTGACTCAAGTGGAGCGCTGTGCCATTGCTGTTTGTCCATTTGGTCCTTAATTTCACAGTAGGCGAGCAGGAAGTCTCTAGGGGGCATTTCAGGTCGATTTCGGACTGAGCCCAAAATGAGTATGTACAAGCGCCGATATATATAATGGAGGGGGCAAAAGCACAAGGAAACAAAGGGGATCCGAATCGGAACGAAGACGTCTGAATGGGAACAAAGGGTAGACAGAAGCGGAGCGGTACTGAAGGTCATAAGGCAGGACCTGTGATATGTCCGAAAGGAGGTAGGGAGGGTGAGGCCCAGAGGGGCAGGAGGATGAGGAGAAGTGGGGATGATGACTAACTGGCTAGAATGGGAAGAAGCAGCAGTCCAAATAGGGATGAGGGGAAAACGTGAGAGATACATTACAAACGGCGAAAGTGCCGAAGGCGATCCATGAAGCTTGGAGGTTGCGGAGCTTATGGAGGTTACGGAGGCAGGGTTGAAAGTCCGAGGAATATTGGCAATGGTGTTTACGTAGTATGAGGTCACCAATGCAATGGACTAAGACCGAGGTGGAGTCAAAGTCCGAGGTAGGGACTATGACGGAGGCTCGGAGCAAAGGTACAAGCGGTTGCCCAAGTACAAAGTACGGGACAGCAGTGGAAGGTCGTAACTTGGTGGGAGGTCGGTGGAAGAGTACCAGAGGGAGGAGAGAGGAGAAAGGGAAGTAAGAAGGAGTGGTGGAAAGGAGAGTTGTCAGGTCCAAAGGTGAGTATCGGAGCAGACGGGGGAAGCGTAGGAGGGTGACAGAAGGGTGGAGGTGTTGTGAGGGAGGAGCAGAGGAGTAGGAGGAGGAGTAGTAGGAGGGTGGTGAGAGGGGTGGTGTTCGGTCCGAGGTGAGTATCGGAACAGACGGAGATAGGGGAGGAGAGGGAAGGAGGAGTAGAGGTGGCATGGGAGGTAGAAGGAGGTGTGTTGCCAGGACCGAAGGTGAGTATCGGAACGGACAGCAGTAGGATAAGACTCCGGAGGTGGGGAAGGAGGAGGTCCGGAAGTTGGGTCAGGATCGGGTATGCACAGATATGACACTATCCATTAGATGCCTCTGTGATAGTGCAACTAAGAAGTATTCCAACTGAGCATCAATTAAAATTATTGACCCCCAACACTGTTTGTGCTGCCTTTGGTAGGTTTAAATATGGTGCCATCCAACAATGTTGGGCCATTGTTGATTGGAGTGCAGACCAGGCAAGACCAGTATTCTGCAATTTAAATGTGTATATTATGCTAATATCCAATGTTATTCCTAACATGGGCACTTTTATATCCTACAAAAACTGTGGTTACCCCTGTCAAAGTGTAAGGTCGGTGTAGGTGCCGACCTATGTAGTTCCTCAAGTCTGTCAAAGAGATAAGCTGTATAGAGCTATATTTTGACGGGTGTGGAGGAAAGGAGTTAAACTCCATTCATCTCACACTCTGTTATATAAATATGTAATTACATTGTTGTACATTATTTATATCAAGGGAATGAAGATGGTCGGCCTCAAGGGACATCACTCCTTACACTCTCCTCCCTTGCGATATTTACTATCGCATAAAGCAGGCTGGAGTGTTTGGCCTCCCAAAGAAATATAATAAAATAGGAAAGATGAATGGAGAAAGAGGTAAAGGCAGTTAGGCCTTACAGAACTGTTTGTTGACAGTCTGAAATAAAATTAGAGATAAAGGTGGTTAGACCTTTATTAAACTGTTGTTGAGACAGTTCAAGAATTAATGCAAAGTGTCATATCCATCCCCGGCCATTGACTTCCGGTCCCTCCGTTCCCTCCGGTCTAACTCCGCTCCTTCTTCACTAACCTCGGAGCTCCCGTATTCTGCAATCCTCTCGGTACCCCTCGATGGTTACCACCCCCTCATTTCAATTTATTACCTACACCTCCCTAAGTACGGAGCCCCGAAGACTTCCGGACAGCTCCGACGTCCGCTAGCGCACTCCCACCTCCGCTGGGCAATACAATCGCCTGCCCTGCAGAGCCCACCTTTGGGCCTATCCCTCCTTTCCGTTTCTGGGTTATCGCCTGCCTTTCCGCTAACCCCGCGACCCGACTCGTCGGTAATATTCAGTTGGCTAATGTTTAACCCCGTTAGCTCCGCTCCGTTTGGCTCCGCCAATTGCGGATGCATCTTCGCTGTAACCATATATATATATCCCACTTGTACATAGGGTAATAAAATCAACTAGAGTTACCCCCCTTAGGTTCTGATTGCCAGTCAGTAAGTTAGGGCATGGACGTGTCACTAGGCACAGCGCTCTTGGCAGAAGTCACTGAGGCCGAAGCCCTCCGCTATGGAGACACTCCCTCATCTCGAATCTGGTCTCTGACACAAAGGCTGTTAGGCCTTCACGGAACCATTGATTTGATGGTTCAAGAATTCAAAGTAATGTTAAGGCTGTTAGTGTCATATCCATACAATCCCGACCTCTGCTCCAGGCTCCCGGAACTCCGAACCTGACTTCTGGAGTCCTACTTCCCTTCCATCACCTCCTCCTTGCCGACTCCCAAGAGGTTATCCCACCTCCGGCTCGGACACCACCTTTGGTCCGACTCCGGAACATTCCGGGTCCGACCCCAACCTCGACACCTTCCAGACGAGTATGCAAAACCTAAAGCTCCTGACTCCAGACCTCTGCTCCGGAATCCCATTCGCGTCTCCGTCTCCGGAACCTCCAGTCTTAGCTCCGACCTCGGACTTTGACCCCACCTCCGCTTATACCCATTGTATTGGTTAGCTCATTCCATTTAATTATGTTTGCCAATATTCCGGAGTTTAACTTCCGAGTTCGGACTTTCCGGACTTACCTCGGACCTTGCAACTATTGCATTGTCCTACTCAATTCCGCTATTCTCCCTCATTCCTATTTGGGCTACTGCTTCCTTTCTATTCAGTCAGCTAGCCATTCCCCACTCCCAACCTCCTTCCTTCCTCCTTGGGCCTTGGCCCTTCACTCCTCCTTTGGGAAACACCATTGAGTCAAACCCTTGACCCTCAGTGTTGTTCCTCTTTCCAGCTCCCTTTGTCTCCTTTCGGAGTACCCTCGCTCCTTTTGATTCCGGACCCCTCCTTATATACAATGTACATAGTAACTTGTAACCTCAGTCCGAAATCGACATGAATTCTCCCCAAGAGACTTTCCCTCTGCTAGATCCGAAATTAGGGACCCCTAGGACAACCAGCAATGGCACAGTGCTCCGCCTGAGTCGCTGAGGCCGAGGTCCTTCCACGCTAAGTCTCCGATTCCATTCCGGAGTCGTCTGAATCCGCCCATTCTAACAGTTAGGCCTTCACAGAACCATTGATTTGATGGTTCAAGAATTCAAAGTAATGTAGAGGCCATTAAGCCTCTACAGAGCTGTTGGTGTGACAGCACAAGAGTTCCCAATTCAACAGGAATAAATCAAGATTAAAAATTTAAGATAAAATTAAAACATAAGGTAGAGGTGGTTAGACCTCAACTTGTGAAGGTGATTAGGCCTTCAAATTCCCGGTTCCAGGGAATTAATCAATAAAAGGAATGATAAAATAAAATAAAAACATAAGGGTCGTGAAACCCTAGGCC